CATCAAAGACACCCTCCATCTTTAGTCTCCCCGTGACCACGGCTGCTGCATAGCATCCGAAACGTCGAGCCGTAGTTACAATAGTTTCCCAAAAAAGGTTTTACTAATATATATCGCGTTTTAAACCGTTAAAGTGTTTTATTCGAATAGATAATATTATAGCGCGTCTTACAAGATATAGCTTAGTACTTTGGTAATTCACTTCATAGATTTAAAAGCTTTTAGAAGTGTAACAGAGATAGTGTTGAAGTACTCAGCCACAAAAACGGCATTCCTTAGAAATCGCTGTGATGATTCGACCACCCTTCACAACTTATCCTATTGTAGGGTTTTTTACCGGGTGAGTTTTTTTATACAATTCAAAGCAACATTCGTTACTTTGCACGACTTTTCTAAAACTAATAAAAAGATACAGTTAGGAACAATTGAAAACTTAAATATTTTTCACATGTTATTTCATGATGCCATTATACATATATATTAATAATCGATTTTTAAATTAAAAGAATTTTAAGTCACGGGCAGGATTTGAACCGACATCCACATCGTTCCGACAAACCAATTGAGCTACCGTATTACGGTAAGGACAAGCTCAATCGGTTAGAGCAATCGACAATCGATTTTGAAGTTCAACAAATCAATCTTACTGTAGGTATATGAACAGTATTTTTACAAAGTAGATACAAAAGGTGAGTAAAATAACACATGATATTCAAAAATCCTCTGCAAGGTTTGAATGGGGGAAATGTGACATCGCCATCCTTCAACCATGGTTGGAGGATGGTGTGGTCTGATCAGCATTCCTTCTACCGGTGAACCTCCATGAAGAATAATTTAAATATTTAATTTTAAATAAAATACTTTGACGGTCTCAAACACGATATATTTACGTTAATTTAACTGCGGCGAAAACGTCGGGATATAGTAAAAATAATTTTGAAATAAGTTTAATTAATATAAATCGCGTTTTAAACCGTTTAAGTGTTTTATTTAATGTATATGTGTATTACTCGCGTAAACTACCTAAAGTATTTTATTATATAATTTAAATGGTACCTTCATGGATTGCTTAAAAATTTAACGATGCGAAGGTTACCTAAACTAAATGGCGCGACTAATCCACCCCGCCTTCCTTCCTTTTCCATTTTTAAAGACATTAATAAGGATGTTTTAGTGGTATTGTTATTGATTTGTTCCAATCAAACGCATTATATGTTTAATTTAATGCGGTGTATCTTTACTAAAATTATATTTTTAATTCATTATATTAATGCAGACGAACAAAGTTTGTCACGTGAAAACAGAAGAACATAGAAGTCAAACAACAATTTATTCTTTTTTATTCAGACAATATTATGACGGGCTCCGTTGGTCCAATGATAACATTGTAAGGTTTATAATCAACGAGTCGTGGCTTCGATCCCTATCGGGTTCCACATGTTTGTAATCACTTTATAATTCGTCTATATCATGTTGGACTTCGTCTGTAAATCCGTATATTAAATAGGTTGTAGATGAGAAAGAGATTCACTCTGTGAATTTCCGAATAACCGAAGTCAAAACAGATCGACAGCGCATCGTGCTCCCCACCTAAGCTAACTAAGCCTACCATCAAGGGAACCCCATGCGTCGCTTTACTTATAAAAACAACACGATAAGGGGCCGATATGGATGAGCGGATGTGGGGTCAACTTCCGCTTTAAAAAGTTGAGCAGTTTTTAATCCTATTCTATACAATAAAATAGGACACTACTTATATCTCATGCATCATACTAATATTAATTTGGCATTGAATTTTTTACTAGATTTAAGAAAGTTCAAATAAGGATATTAAAAAGAATGTCAAATACACACAACTAGACATTTTGAGACAAGACACTTTAAATGTGCACAATGGCCATGCAATACAAATAAATAAAACACTTTATCGGCTTGAAACGCGAATTATATTAGTTAAACTTATTTGAAAATTCTTTAACTACGGCTCCCGGTAACCACGGCTGCTGCAAGGCATCCGAAACTTCGGGTCGATTTATTTAAATGTGTAGGCACTACTCGCGTAAATTCGCGTACAGACAGTATTTAATACGTATAATTCCACCATTTTGTTTATTTTTTTTAATTGTAAGGAAGTAAAACTTATACCTATGTACCTGTCTGTCGACGATTTGGTGGAACTCCCCGGAAGTTAGGCAAATTTATTAGATTAATAGATTTTTAAAACGTCTGACTACAGTAGGTATCTTTAAAAATAAGCCCAATATTGTGCTTATTTTTACTTTACTTTATTTTACCGAAGAAAGAAATGTAGATTTAACGGTTTAAAACGTGAAATACTTAACTAGGTTACATACATGTGAAATAAGTATTGTAAACCGTTAAGTATTTAATTTAAATATATACTAACAGCTCGCGTTAAACAGTACAGCTATACTTGCATTAGAGGGTATTTGATCAAGATTTAAGTCACCGGAACAGTTTTTATGGGGAATTTCTAGATACCATGCATTTATTATAGGCGAACTCACTGACGCACAACCATAATGAACTTTTTTAGTAGCACATATAGATTGCCTTCATAACTCAGTAAAACATATGCCTATGTGTTAACAGCGAGAGCTTTAAACATAGTTCAAATCTACCATCAAACGAACTTTTTTCATTTGCTCCATGCGTATACGTCACATGTGGGGCCTAAGTTTATATAGATGATATTAAATGAGCGCAATGAATATATATAATACAATATTAAAGCTAAATTATATATATACAACACATTATCTCAAAGAGAAAATTTTAACAACAAAAGTAGTCCATCAAAGTGAGAGTTTGTAAACTTACCTTGCAGTAGGAGTAAAGCGTAAATATACATCACATCCATGTTTATACACGTTAGTTTTCGTTAAAGCACTCGCGTCGATTTTTCGTACAGCGCAGACATGGCGCGCAACACGTGCGCAACCGAAGCGGGTTCGTGCGCGAGTAGCCAACGGAACGACACAAAGCAGCGGCGACGAGCACAATCCGACAGGTGTTTCGACGCACAGGTAATTGCGCGGGCGCCGAAACTTTCGCGCGCCGAATAATGGTAGGGGAACATTACGGCCGCCTGACTGCTGTCTGCACTGGCGCGTGCCCCGGGTTTGCTTTTATAATTTTTCTATATACTAATTTTGACGATTAGAAAGCTACATTTAATCTGAGTAACATAGGCTTTATAAGGTTAGAAGAACTTTAGTAAGACTTTAATAATGTAACCCACTGTGGTAGAAAAAAGGTGCGCGCGCAGTTAAGAACTTTTCACTGTAGAACATAAGAATGTTCCTAAGTAAATGTATTAGTTAAATTAAATTTTAAATAATACAATACTTATTTTAACAGGTTGGGCTAAGTAAAATATTTCGCGTTTTAAACTGCTAAAAGTGTTTTATTTGTATACTTTGACGATTCGAAATCGTATATACCTATTACCTACAATTGAACAGATATTCTAAATTTGAAAACAAAATATTTCTACTCTAGACTCTTCTAGTCGGTTCATTAAGTAATAAGTATACAGTTATTTCGTATACAACTTTATACCTAATATTATATTAATATGTCGAATTTGACTTAGAATATTGTTAAAATCATTGATGATATAATGCTCGTAAATGGGGTCAGATGATAAGTATCGAGGGTTTTAAAAGTTCAAATTCTATTATAAAGTAGTTCCGACGGTCAGCACATCCCGGACAACAACACAATAGCCGCAAAACCACAAAATACAATAAGTATAGGCTTTCATATGATCACTGCAAAATATATGACGGTAATTTAAAAATCGAAAATAAATTGAAAAAATTTTCGACTCGGGCAGGACTTGAACCGGCATCGTCAGCTTTCGGAATTGAGCATTCAATTGGTAGAGCAACAGCACATTTCAGCAATTCTTACAATCTATCTGGATGTTAGAAGGTTATAGTTTCAAGACTAAATTTAGATTACACTACACTTTCCTTTGTTAAGCACTATTAATATTCCCTTGGCGAACTGCTACCTTAAAAAGAGTACAGGCTCTACGAATTGTTCCCAATAACCAAATTGATACGACGCTGTTCGAAATAGTCGTGTGCTATTTTTATAAATTGAATATTACCAACTAGTCTTTATTATAATAACAATAGGGTTTGAATTAAATGTGAAAGTGCTTGGACCATAGGGTGGAGGTAAATATAGTATCGTTGATATTATAGACCGCCCAATTGTGAAAGCAATAGAACCTCATTTCTCAAACCTTTAAAATGTATATCCTAGTCCATGTACGGAGGTTGGAGGTAATGCTTATTATTATTAAATACCATTACAAACTGTTATTTGGCTTATACAATACTTGATAGAGAAATATTTAAAACACGCGTTTTAATTTTGAATATATGAACGAAAACATCACAGTGTATTTTAAATTTATATAGCATAATACATGTAACAATATGTATAATGTGTAAAAAGGATTTAAGTAATATTAAAGACATTGTCCAAATTAAATGACCATTTGAAAGATGAACTCGATAGTTATTATTCTAGTATTCTGTGTGTTCATTAAGTTTAACTAATATATATCGCCTTTTAAACCGTTAAAGTATTTTATTTAAATGAAATAATAATTTTACTTTAATCAAAAATCTCCCAATTCAAGAAACTGGGTTTCTTTTTGCTATAATCTCGTTTGTTTGGACCTTTGTTGGGATATCTGTGGATCTAGAATTTCAGTCTATGGTGACAGCTGACAACTGTCAAAATGCTATTGTCAAAGTTAATGGAAGGTTATGTTTATTGGTGAAAAAATGAAAACAAGGTTATAGTTTATAGATTTTAAACCGGACTACGAAATATTTACATCGCTCTACTAGCTAATTTAATTAGATAAATCAAGTAGTTTACTGCACCTAAGTTACTTTTTAAGCTTTAAAAATATAATGTTTCCAAGTTTTTAAACTAAGTGTTGAAATTGATTTATGATGAGCGCTAGTTTGCCTTCCGATTGCGCCAAGCAATGGGAAGTTTTACTACTTTTGTTACTATCGGAAGAGAAGAAGATCGATAGGACCACGGATACTGAGATTGACACGATGAACTATTTTTACAATAGCGAAGGTGTTAAGTAAGTGTAATAAACATAACATTGGTGAAAAGCACAGCTCTTGTCCTCCTGATTATCACAGAGTTTTTTGCTATTTACCTCGTCTACGAAGCCATAAACACATAAACATAAATAGGAAATAATAATAAAAACATTTATAATACAACAATCCATGAAGAGACAATTTTTGTGACAAACAAGAAAAATGTCATGTTATATCAATAAGACTGAAATAAATCATTAAAGACACTTTCTCAAATGTAATAAATAAATAATCAATCTTTGAAATTTATTTTATTTATTTATTATTGTTTTATTATTTGCAAAACACACCTCAGAAAATATATACTAATGATGGAAAAAAAGAATTTGTAAATAGGAGTTGACATCTTTTAATTTTGACTGTCTCTGTAGTTAAATGTTTTAGAGTATTACCTAGCATTGTTTCAAGCGTGAGAGGTCTTAGGTTCGAATCTCATGGTAGCAAGAGATAGTTTCAGTTACACAAAGCACAGAAGTCTTATCAACTACTTAACTCGTAATAAAACCAATCAGTAAAGCAGACGAAAAACCCCTAAAGTGTTCACTCCATGCCCCATTAGAAAACGATTTCAAGAATTAGGTTAATCTTACTGATTGCTAAAAGATGTAACTATTCTCATATTAAAATAATGGTATTAGCTTATTCTAGGTTTGAATTCAGTTTAGCAAAATAGTCCGTTTAACATAATACACCTATATTTATGTTTGTATAGAGATATGAGGGGAGAGGCATTACTGTAGGAATAGATTCTAATTTTTTTAAATATTCAATTTGATTTGTGTTTTTTTTTAATGATAAAGGACGATAGACCCTTGAAATTCTTCAGCTATATAACATCTAAATAACATGCGCCGTTGACCTGATTTAATTTTTGATATTTTGAAATCTACTAAATGCTATTAAAAGAGGGTAGTTTGTGATTTGGACGGAATTTCAAAATTCTTACCTCCCATCTAATATCCAGATATCTAGACATGTTTTAAAAAAATAATAAATTGAGTAGAAACATATTGGACCTTGTGGTACCCTCAACCTGTTGATTATTAGGTGTGAATTATTGTCATTCCACCAATGAGCCTGTCAAATGTTTCTAAAAACATTTATCATACTTGTTTCCAGAAAAATCTTACTACAGTGGTTACATCAAATGCATGTATCGTATGCGAGAAAAACCAGTGAAAGCGATACAGCACTAAAATGTAATGATGTGTCATTCTTATGGAGACAACGAGGTAATGATAAATACCATGCCAACCTCATAGAAGAAAGCTACCATTGTTACTCAAAAAGTGTCATCTATGCTAAGCAGAATGGCACGGAATATTCTTTAGCTCTAGCAAACCGATCAGCTGCATTGTTAAGATTGAAAAAGTTTAAGGTTGGTACTTTTTTGTATATAGGAAGAATTTGTTTGTTTGTTTGAACGAGCTAATCTCAGGAACTACCGGCTCGAATTGTAAAATTATTTTTGTGTTGGTTAGAGAATTTATCGAGGAGTTAGGAGGAGGAGAATAGGAGCAAAAAATAAAGGGGGGAAATGTGGATACTTTGTGGGTTTATATTTATAATTGTCTTTGTAAGTGAACCATAAGGATTTATTAAATAATGCAGATTCCATTCTATTTAGGAGTGTCTTTCTGATATTGAGTTATCTATATCAAGTGGCTACAAGCGAGAGATGTTACACAAGTTACTTTTGAGGAGAGCGGACTGCTACATTGAGTTAAATCAATCAGTAAATGCCCAAACTTGTATATTAGAAGCCTCCAAACATGCTGCCTCGCTAAAGTTATCAACATCACAAATGGGTACTTCACGCTTTACTTTACTGTACTATAGATTTTTTTTTAATATAGAGGAGGACAGACAGGCATGGTTCACTTGATGGGAGGTGACATACCCCAGCCATAAATCAACTAAATAAGATGCGTTATCGACCTATTTCGACTTTGGATATTTGAATGAAATTGTTATATGGAAGTGTATAGTGTGAAATCACCTATACACTTCTATATAACAATGATGATGACTGACGATGAACATACTTCTTTGTCCGTTTCACTGACTTCTATGTTGCCCGGTCAAAGCTAACTTTTCTTTTTTTGGGATTCAAACCCAGGGTCTTTAACTAAAGATGCAGCTGTTATAAAGCAGGAATATGCATGAAATTAATAATTATTTATAATTTGTACTTTAGTAGTACACATTTAAATAAAAAGCTTTTGTGATTTAAAACGCCTAATTTAGAAGTCTTTACTTGGTCGTACGGTAGTGAAATTAAATTTTAAAATATGTAAATATATTTTTCGTATTAAACCGTTTGAAGTGTTTGATTTAAATTAACATTTCACATTATATTTATTTTTAATTTCCAGCATTTTTGTAGGTCCTTTTTAAATTCGTGATTTATCATTAGGATTACTTTTGTTGATGCAGTAACCTGGTTTGATTCCAGCTGAGTTTGAGCGTCATGTGAGACTTCTGGAGAAGAAACTGCACACTGCCCCACCAGATGTAGAAGACTTTGAGGTTGTTCTGCCAGAGTGCCATAAGGGCCTGAACCCAGACTTCACCTCAGCTTCGAATGCAATAGAACTAAGGTAATGGACATGCACCAAAAGATTAGATTAAGGTTTAGAGGACTTTAATAATTAAAAATCCATGGTCAGAGCGACAGCACAGACGGCTGTGGAAGCCGATTCAAGCCCTGCCCGAGTAGTAAATTTTTAAACAGTAATAAGCAAAATTTCGGTTAGATTATTTGATAGACCTTCACATTCGGAAATGGCCTCTGCTTCTGCGGTTCTAATAGTTTTGGAAGTACTTCATAGTAACTTCCTTTACACATAGTAAAATATCCTATACAATTTTTATTTGTCAAGTACTTTTTTTTGGTATCCTCTTAAGTATTGTCTGTTGTTTACGCTAGTAGTATACATTTAAACCACTTTTAAAGGTTTAAAACGGGAAATATATTAAGTTTTCAAATAAGTGTAACTGATATATATCGCGTTTCAAACAACATGTTGGCTTGTCTAGAAATATCGACACGGTAGGAAGACACGTTGTAACCAGAGAGGCATTAAGACGTGGTGATGTTCTCTTCTCGGAGAAACCGTACGCCTGGGTGACGTTGCCTTCCGAAGAACCAATTTGCGACATGTGCTGTGAACCAGATATTAATCCAATACCGTAAGTGTGCTAACAAATTTACTAACATTTGGAAATGTGTGTATTATTTACAGCTGTGCCAGCCACTTCCGAGTAGAATAGTTATTTTGCGCATCAAAATAACTTTTTATAATATTATAAACATGTCAGACCCGGTGAGGATCGAACCCAGGTCCCCTTGATTTTATGTCATACTTTGCTAGCAGTACACCAAAGATCCGGTCAAAGTGCTAAGCAAGTTTACGAGTGAGATCCTCAATTCGAAAATTTTGCACAGTAGTTTATAAACAGTAGGCACGACTAGTATATCCTAGAAACGATTAATTTGTTAAATTTTTTCAGTTGCAGTGAATGCTCCCGAAGCGTATACTGCAGTGTGGAGTGTCGGTCTCAAGCATACGCCATGTTTCATAAGTGGGAGTGCGCAGGAGCACAGAGCGATCTCTTCTCGACTATTGGCATCGCCCATTTGGCTCTAAGGTATTTAAAACTAAAGTAATTGAACACGCAAAACATTTAATAAACTGTGTGTTATAGTTAATCTAGCGCAAAATTGACTGTAGTTAGTTCTTCTCTGTCTTATAATTTGGTTTTTTTATTATTCTCGACATATTAACTAGTTTACCACTAATAACAGAACAATTGCGAACGCGAGAGCCTAGGAGAGAATAGGGGACGCCCCCCCACATTTGTCTCTCTAGCTTATAATCCTTATTTTTTCATTAGAAAAATCATGTTTCCTTTCTTTTCCTATTTTATAGTTTTAAGAGGCAATAAAATTGTTGGCTACATTTGTTGGCTGTAAAAAAATTAACATTTCCAAATACATTTCAGAGTATTACTTATAAGCGCCCACCACGGCTTCCCTTCAACGCTTAAGCACCTTCAGAAACCGCAAACAGCTTCAGATCTCTTCAAAAGCTACATTCAAGTGGACAAGCTGCAAATATACAAATGTGACAGACCAGATTTCTACAGGATGTTCAATTTAGTTACGAACTTTGATAAGATGAACAATTCAGATTATATACAGTATGCTGTGGTAAGTTTGTCCTGCTATAAGTAAAACTAACATTTATAAAGCTTTTTATATTTAAATAGAGGTGAGATTTTTATATAATACATTGTCTGTAGTTTACGCGAGTAGTACATATTTGGTTAAAACCTTTTTAACGGTTTGAAACGTCAAATATGTTAGTTAACTCGTCAGTAAAGGGTCATACATAAAGTACGTCACACGTATTTCATGTTTTTTTGAGATTTTATATCATGCTCGTAATTATAATAATATTTTGCACAACGTACAAACACTTAAATAAAACACAAACGGTTGAAACGCGATATATATTAGTTAATACTTATTTGAAAATTATTTTAACTACGGCCCAAATTTTAACTGAAATATATTGCGTTTTACGCGTCTACTATTCGTGTAAACTACAGTTTTGAACGTACAAACCTTAAAATATTAGTATAAAATTTAATGAAAATTGTCTGTTTGCAGACAGCCACTATGCTAACATTATATCTAGAAAAATACACGACATTCTTCGAGACTGTTTTTAAGTCTTCATCAACGCTGTGTGACAAAGAAATGCGGCTGTTTGCTGCCGCGCTGATGCTGCGCGGCTTAGGGCAGCTAGTTTGCAATGGACATGCCACATTGAGTCTGACCACTACGAATGAGTATGATAACGGTAAGTGAGTTTGATATATACGAGTAAATTAAAAATATATTTACATTGAAAAACAATTACGCAGGCAGGACTTGAACCGGCATCTACAACGTTCGATTGCTATGAACAATTGAACTATAGTGTCCTTAACAAGTGAATAGGTGGTTCTATCCCCACCGGTTTCAAAATTTTTCTAATGAATTTAATTTCGGAATACGTAAGGCACTAAATAGGTCGGCCGCGCACCTTGTTTAGATGTAATATGGCTTGGTAACCATCAAGTGAACCTCGTGCTCGTCTGTCTTCCTCTATAATAACAACAAAAAATGATTAATAGTATTTTTCAGGTCGAACGATTACGGAGAGGGAGGTCCGCCGTGCAACAGCCATATACCCCTCAGCAGCTATGATGAATCACTCTTGCGACCCCAATATCATCAACACGTAAGCTTTAAACGCCAATTGACGTATAATTCACCTTCCATCGAGTGCAACCCGTGCTTCTCTCTCCTTTATGACGAGAAAAACATTTATAAATCCTATTTTAGATTGAAAAAAATTTTACCGTTGTTCGATGTTCCGTGCTCTTGCTCTAACTAATTGAGCTACCGTGTATAAAAATATTTTTGTTCTGAAGTTTCTACAGGAATCGCCTGATTATACGGTGTTCGCGAGAGCTTTCGCCCGGTGCTCAAGTCTTCAATTGTTACGGACCGCACCGTGCTCGCGAAACGACCGCACAACGGCGTGCTCAACTGCGCGCGCAATACATGTTCCATTGCATGTGCAGCGCGTGCGCAGACAGCGAGCGACGCCAGTTCGTGGTCAGTATTTCAGTTCAATTCTAGTGTTTGGGTAAAGCTACAAATCAAATCAAAAAGCATTCATGTAGATATGTATTTTTTAAATAAAACACTTTAACGGTTCAAACGCGTTATATATTAGTTAAACTTGTTTGAGTGTCTCCCGGTGACCTCAGCTGCTGCAAAGCGTACGAAACGTTGGGCCGAATTTAAAAATATTTTTAAAAAAGTGTCCTACTCGCGTAAACTACAGACAGTATTTACTTTTTTTTCCTTATTACATGAATCGTATTGATGACAAATGCCGTTTGTTTTAAAATTGTCTACATTTTTTGGGCCACACAAAACATTTTCATTAATATATTGACGTCGTGAGGAATTGACAATTTAACATAATGTGTCGTCTCATTTACAAGTTAACATTATTCATTTAGAAATATCATTTTATTTGCGCTATCATAATCCCGTATGTATTATTTAAGTCTAATATGCACCTAACTACTCTCGTTATTACGGTTTTTGGTATCGGGGTGCTATTTTCATTTTTTTTTATTATTGATCTAAAAGTGAAATGCTTGTATGAAAATGTAGCAAAAGAAAGCCAAGTACTTAATGTGTATTTTATATATCAGGTGCTATTCAGCGCATATGCGTGCCAGTCGTGCAAGGGGCCCGTCACATGGCATGGCAAGAACGCCCAATGCCAACAATGCCATGCGGACTTTCACCCGGAAAAGGCGCTCGCCAAACTGGACCGCGCTGAAGAACTTTCCCTGCAAGGTATACACTCTGCACACAGACGGCCTTGTTGGTGCAAGTCTAAGGTTCGATCCCCACCGGGCCCAACATTTTTCTAATCGATTTGTAACTTTTCTGAAACATGTTGGCACTTCGTCTGGAATTCTGGACAATGCAATATCGAAATTCCGTCAAGGTCACGAAATACCATCCACAGAAAAAATCTCTCAAGTTTAATCGTTTACTCGCGTATCAGTTTCAGTCTGTGGATTTCCGAATATCCGAAATAGGTCGACATCGCATTTTGTTTAAATGTTATGTGGCTGGGTAATTTTCCCATAAAGTGAACGTTACATAACGAGCTACTACATAATTTATCAGATGTTAAGTTCAATAGTAGTAATGTCTGTAATTCGTGAGTATTACATAATTTAAACCGTTTCAAACGCAAAATTATAATAAAATGAAAGTTTTTAAATAAAATATACTTTATTCTCTATAAAATTTTAAAAATTATTTAGATACAGATATAAGATAACAACAGATACATAAAATGCCTCTATGTTAATCTGTGTGTAAATGAATGTAAATGGCCTGTTGCAGCGGAGCAAGCGAGCAGCCCTGAGCAGCGCTGCGATCGGATGCAAGCGTCATACAAGCTCAAACAGCAGGTTTGGCATCGGCACCATGCGTCTCTCAGAGCGGCCGCTGATAAGTTGGCGAGGTTCTATGCCGATGCTGGTAAGATAGTCTCTCCCTACCAATATCGGAAAAGCTCTATGTATAATATCATATTTCCAACTCTTAAATTAGTTTCATTTGTTTTTGTGTTATGTATTATGAATAATAGAGCTGTAATTAATAAATAGCTTAATTCTATTTATTGATAAATTATTATTTAGTACACAACATACACATAATTACAAGGAAACAAAAAAAAATAACATCTATAAACTATGAAGTGTAACGGCGGCCTTGTCGCTGTAGGGCGATCTCTTCCAGGCAACCCTTTGGAAACTACTAATCTCAGTAATAATTATTTCGAATTGAATTTTGTGTCGGTTGGACTATTATGGAGGAAGGCTATAAAACATTAGCCTGCGATAAAAAAAAATTACTAATTATTTTGTCTGATAAATTCCAGGAGAGTTCAGCAAGAGTGTCGAACTAATCAAACAGAATATTCAAAGCCTGGAGTATCAGTTTGGATCATTTAGTGTTGAGGTAAATATTTAAATAACATTTTAACACTATCTGTAGTTTACGCGAGTTGTACACATTTAAATGAAACATTTTAACGGTTAAAACGAGATATATATTATATCTATATAAACTTCGCTCACGACACACTAGTGACCACGGCTGCTGCAAAGCATCCGAAACGTCGGGCCGTTGTAAAACAAAATCAAATAAGTTTAACTAATATACAACGTTATTCTTTGTTGATACTAAAGCTGAAACACGCCAAACGGCTTTTTATTCACAGAATCAGGATAAAAAATCAAAATTAAAAAGAAATGAAAACTCACGAAGTTATGAATTTTTTTCATGTTATTGTTTATCCCGCAACCACATGGTCACTGAGCAGGCGTCGACGCAGCGCGCTATCTCGCACCCCCTCCTTCTCCTCCGCTCCGCGTCCTGCACCTTACACTACACGATTCACTACTTTTATTTACTTAGTGTCCGCTCACAGAATGTATTCAGAACTTTTGGCAATAACATTTTCCATCACACTTACAGAAAGACAAAGAGAAAATTTTAATCACCATTATTTACACTAATTTAACGAATCTTTGGGCTTTATCATTTTCGAGCAGCTCTTGTGCTCGTCTAAAATGATAAAGGTATAAAGTCCACCACACATAAGACTGACCTACGTTGAATAATCTCCTCGCCTCTGTCTACTGCGACTGGTCTGAACTGGCCATGGTCTCGTAAGCGCTGCGTAACGCTCAGCATTGTGTTTCATGATACCAAGATGCCAAATTGTTAATGATAACGTCTCACTGCTTCGGCAACATTATCACCACACAAAGCAAGTGTTCGCACCATTTCCACATATTGTACATTGGTATAATTGTAAGACATAATAAAAGTAATAATTTTGATTTTGAAAAAGACGTTTGACGTGTTTCAGCTTTAGTATCAACAAAGAATAACCTTGTATAGTATTTAACTTTTCATTATATTTATAATAATTATCTTAATATAGAATTTGGGATTAAGTTTAACATTGCTATATGAAACAGGTGGCTCACGAATTGAGGAAACTGTCGGACGTGATGTTGGAGAGAATAATCAATTCCCCAAGACATACCGACTATAGGTAAGGTTAATATTTACAACAATTTACATATTATAGTAGATAGTGCATAGTTCTGATGTCGTGCTTAAAAAATGTTTTATCCTTTTTATATTATAGAGGAGAAGCATGTTCTTCACTTGGTGTTAGGTAAAATAATCAGCCATATAACATCTAAAAGCTGTCGGCCTCATTTATCTTTAGATATGCGGAAATTCACAGACTGAAGCCGAAAGGCAGAAACTTCACTTCGCCTTCAATATGTGTGGTGATTAGACCCGGTGGGGTCTGTACCCACTGTTGATATAGCCATACATTGCTATGTATACACCGACAAGTTTCTCAAAAACTTTTTCTCTGTCTTTTAGAATGTTTTATAAGATTTCAAAGTGCGATATTGGTTTCCAGGGAATGGTGTTTGGAGGCACACAAAATAGTCCGCAAGGCTGTGCAATTGACAGAGTTGAATTATGGCCCCTGGGAACCACTTGTGCGTAGGTTGGAACGACAAGCGAGACTCGTTGGTACTCTGGTGGCAGACTCGTCGGTTGGTCTCTCGGAATCGGACTGTGTACATCATAATTTGCATTATAACCTCAAAATTTAAGCACATGTAGAATGTAGTGAAACGTGGTTAATTGGGATCGCAAGGGACCAATGCATTAATTGATGGTTTCCAATTCAGCAGGTTTAAAAGTGGCCGCGTTTGGTTGTAAACAAAAAATTAAATAAAACAAAACACTTTAACGGTTTAAAACGCGATATATTAGTTAAACTTATTTGAAAATTATTTTTAACTTCGGTCCGTCGATTCGGATGCTTTGCAGCGGCCGTGGTAACGGGGAGACTGAAGATGGATGATGTCTTCGACGTCAAAGTAAAAATTGTTACGCTACGCGCCATCTGTTCCGTTGAAGTTGGTATTTGGCGAATCTGGCCGGGTCCTTGCAGAACTGACTAACTGTATCTTCGCGTTTGCCGATATGCTGTTTATTGGGATCCAGAGTTTTTAATATAGGATCCCAGGTGTTTGATAATTTAAGGCCGTCCCCCCTATTGTTGTTTTTTAATTTAGATTTCTGCGCCTATTAATCTTAGAAAAAAATCAACTCTCCTTTGCGAGGATTTTTGTTTGGTCAAAGCGAATGTCTTCCGATGAGTGTTGGCATACCGCAGTTTTATGTTCGCGATAATTCTGTTTGACAGAATTAAAGAAGATATATAACGCGTTTTAAACCATTAAAGTGTTTTATTTAAATGTGTACTACTCGTGTAAACTTCAGACAGTATGTAAACAAACATGTGAGAACATGTTAAACCTGACTAATTTGTCTCACTTATGCAGGTAATTGGGCTACAGTCTCAATTATAGGACACTTAAAGTGTGAGAATCCAAATCTCATTTTACCAGGATCAAAAAGAACCGGGGCCTCAATCTCCATAGAGGTTTCTCATTTATCCAGGTCCCAAACCAGGTTTCACTGTAACATTGATCTGCAAAAATTGATGAATAGTTTGTGCACAACGTAATAAGCACCGATTTTTTTCAGTAGCGTAGGCATTGCCTTTAGAAATTGTGAATAAAAATCCAGCCATGTAAATCCTTGGTGTAACATTAGAATTAACTTGTAAACAATTGTATTCACTGAAATGTTAAGTTTTGTAATAATTTATTGAATCACTTTTTAACTGTTTCTAACGCGAAATGTATTAGTTAACTTATTTACAATTTATTTTAAAAAGCCACATCGACTCTAATCTCTAGCTTTTAACTGACGTTGAGTAATTTACGAAAGGTTTGGTTGTACCTCAGCCATATAATATCTAAACAAAATGCGCTGTCGACCCATTCTTAATCCAGGCTGAAACTGAAACGCGATTAAATTTGACCGATTTTTAATCTGTGGATGCTGGTTCATGACCTGGAGTGAATTTCGATATTCATGCCGCCCATTTAACATCCAGATTTCAGTGTCATAAATAATGCCGTTAAAATATTTAATAAATCTATATCTCAATGTTAACATGTGGTATAAAGAGAATAGACTCCGACGCATCACACTGGAGATTGTCTTTAGGACATCATACCGGGTACAAAATAAAAAAAATCATGATTGGTGTAATGTTTATCGAAGAAATAATATATGAAAACCCTTCTTCATACAAAAAGCTATTTCACTCTATGTAACCGTCGTGCCACTGTTTAAATGAGGCGAATAAAACAAAAAAAAAATACAATTATTTATGTATTTATTCAACCAATTATCGCGATAATTACGCCAAATAATCGAAGTTAAAATATAATAAAACATTATGGTGGTTAAAACTTACACGAACTAGTTGTGTTTAAAACAATGAAATTACATAAAATCGTTAAACACTAGAATTGATTTATATTTGTAGGGATCAACGGTTAAATATGAGACGCCGTTGGGAGCAGATAACGCGTTTGATAAATATCCCTTCCTGCATGTTGCGAACATTGTCTGCTCCCAACCGTATATCCATTTAATAATAAATCAATTTGAACAATACCTACTGTAGTTTCATTGAATCCCCTACATTAAAATTATAATTCAGATATTTTAAAATGGAAATGTACCCGAGTACTAGGTTCACAACTGTACTATAACACGTGTTTTTTTACTCCGCCATGTGTTCACCACGACTACTGGAACTACGTAAATGTGGAATATAAAATTTCAAATAATATCCAAGCTGTATATTATTGTTTAAAATGTGCAATGTGATCTGACAAGTGGGAGTCGCCGTAGTAACTGATGGGTACTAAATGTGACCATTCCTCTACATAACATTACTATTTACACGTTTCCTTGTCCTATTCTGTTTCTTATTAATTACTTTAATCTATCAACTTTACAAGTCGATTCAGTTTCTACATTGTTCAAGTTGCAAATTTAGTAGTAATTTTATTTAGACACATTTCGAATATTAAACTATACCAAAACTGAAAGGGAACCTCGTGAGAATGCCGCTAATTGAAGTCTGCTTACCCCTTTTCAGACTAAATAGGAGTTTTCCTAAGAATCGAGGAGTTAAAATGTACATTCAATAACACAACTGAATACTAAACACGCGTCTATCGCTGGCAAATTGTCTAAAAAGACGAGCTTAAGATCAAATGCTTTCAATTCAAATCATTATTGTCAAACATTAAAAATAATTCAATCCGCTGTAAAATTATGCACATAATACAATTATGAGGTGCATCGCAAATAGCATCATTTTGATAAAATTCTCCATTGCAGGTACAGGTGAAGCATTCAGCATGTAAAATTAAATAAATAAATACCAGTCAGGTTTTAAAATTACAGCAAGTTACTGTGGATGATAGTCGCTCAATAGAAGTAAAAAATAAATTAGGAAATATTCCATTTTAAAATGCGCTTTGGCTACTGTAGATGACTAAGCCGAGCGTCGCGTTCTAATAGGACTACGGAGGCAACGCAACGGTGCGCTAGCGAGGCTTGCGAAGCGATTATTGTCATACGCATTGGAACCAGCTACTCTAAATGTTTCGCCGTCTTAGCTCGTCTTTTAGTGGAATGGCAGGGGCCGATTATGAATACGCTTCAAACCGGAACGGTGATACGCCGTATATGCGATACTTAAACTCGCCATAGAAACGACACGCCCCGAGTGTACCAACTGCTAAGCTATTTGCTAGTCGTCGCCGTCGCCACATCCGAAACTTCATAGTGCAAGACCACGTTTTCTTCGTCGGAATCCTCTTCGTAGCGTAGAACCATTTCTTCCTCGGAATCCTCGTAGCGTAGAACCATTTCTTCCTCTTCCTCTTCCGCGTCCCTCATTTGGTGTGTATCGTCGTCCTCTTCTTCGTCCGACGATTTCATTAACTTTATGTCCAACATGGGGTCTACCGGATATTTCGTCTTCTCTCGTGAACGTCCGTCACCTTCGTACCATAGGGGTTCTTCCTCTTCTTCTTCCTAGAAACAGGAATAATGTGTTCTAAAAAACTGGATATAAATATAGTATAATAAAAATCCTGTGAATTGAAATGGTATTAAAATATAGCTAAATTAAATTTTGTAACCTGTACCTGTATAGATAGCCATAAAATACATATGGCTTTTTAATAAGATCTACACAAGTTACCAATATCCCTTATGTGTTATAGCAAAGCGTAAAATCCTTACATCAAATCCGAAGCAAGTATCGAGATCTTTCTCAACTCTTATGCTTTGTGGCTGCTGCTTCACCGCCCTCATGTCCTTCACTTTTATCTTCCCAATCTTGGAATCCTTGACATCCTCTTCTTCTTCGTCTACGACAATTATTAGTACGTATTATTTGTTAAACAGTTGTAAAATATGTAAAGTCAAGTAAAGGGTATAAAGAGATTATAAACTTTAAACGGGGAGACTCCCCGTGACCACGGCTGCTGTAAAGCATCCGAAACGTCGGGCCGTAGTTAAAAATAATTTTCAAACAAGTTTAACTAAAATATATCGCGTTTTAAACCGTTAAAGTGTTTTATTTAAAAGAGTTCTACTTGCAATTATTCGTCTCATATATAAAAACAATGTCCTCTGTGGCCACAACTTTACGATTAAAGGTCATCACTAATTCTCTATGGTTTAAAGTCGGTCATATTTGTTGTGGTCTTTTACCAAGTAAGAAAAATACACTAGAGTATATATAGTATATATCAGCATCAGAAGAATAAGGAACTTAATCTTAACTTACCTTGCTCCATCACTTGAACTTCTTCAGGCGCCATGACGCACACTTGCTGCTCGCTGCCGTCGCTCATTTCCAACAGCTTGAACACCACGTACTGCTGGCCGTCTTCCCCGGGTACAGTCGCAACCATCTCGCCTTGCTTCTCTTCATCGTTGAGCTGTAGCTCCAGGACATCGTCGTCTTCCGCTGTCTCCACTAGCCTCTGTGCAAAACTCATGTCGTTAAAACTTAATGAAAAACAATATTATAAAGAGACTAGCTGTGCCAGCGACTTCGTCGGCCTAGCATAGTTATTTTGGAATTGGGTTAGCCTTTGGAAAGACTACTACAGTATATGAAATGCCTATTCAGTAGGCTTGAGAACGGTTTAGCATATACAAAAAAACCATTTCCAGATCAGCCAGTAGTTTTATATTAAAATATTTACCACCCAACCAACCCTTGGTAACCAAACATGGATATGTATCAACACTTTAAATTGTGTACTATTTGATATACTCACCACATTCGAATGGTTCTTCACTTTCTTCTGTCTTCCAAGCTTCAGAGCGAGGGCCTGTTCCTTGTGGCCAGAGTCGGGGTCGTGAATGGCCAAATGACGAATAAGATTACCTTGAAATGTATTAAACAAGTTAATATTTAATGAGCTTTTGATTTCACAAAGATTTAATCTAAAAGTGGCTTTAATAAGAAATTGTAATGTCTAATTTAATATTTCAAAAACCTTTATGGGCGAAAGTCCTATCGCACTCGTGGCAAGAATGCGTTTTCTCCTTGGGTGGTTTCGGAGCGTAGTTCGGATTGTGGTACAGGTTCTGATGGCGACGAAGAAGTTGCTTCTGTCTGCAAATGACACAGTTTTGTGATTATCAAGTTTTATATCAGCATGGGAACGATAAAAGCTTAGGGTGCCCTTTCTGCCAAGTGGATCACGATAAATAAAAGATTTAACGGTATAAAATGTGAAATATTTTAATTACGGCTTGACGTTTCGAATGCTTTGCAGCATACGTGTCGAGGGGGACTAAAGATAGCGGGTGTCCCTAATCTCAAAGTCAAATCTGCTGCGCCAGCGCCACATTTGCCATTTGATATTTGGAAACACAGTATTCACAACTAATTAAAGACCCATTATAACATAAATAATTCAACTTAAAGATATTCATAGACATTTAACGCTCGCCTATTTTGCGACATAGTCCCCCTCAATATCAAATCAAACATAATTTATTCATAGCTAGGTACACTTGTAAAAGGCTCAAAATTTACCAGTTCTCAAATCAAGGGCGAAGAACGAAGGAGAAATTTGACGATAAGAGAGAGGCAAGAAACTCGCCGCCACTCTTATCGTCAAATTGGAAACAATTCCATTCAAATCATTTAATAATTGATTTGGCATAAGGAAATAATTAACTCACCTAAAGCTTTGGTTACACTGATCGCAGACAAATGGCTTCTCGTCTGTATGTTTCAGCATGTGCGACTTGAGGTGACGTAGAGTGGTCGAGGCATATGGACAGTGATCACACTTGTAGCACTTCTCTCCCTCGTGGGTCTAAAAACACAATTTAAAAAAAAGATTAAAATAACTTTCACTAATCCCGGGAAAAAGTTGAGCCTTTTAAATAAAACAACGGGTTAAAACGCGAAAAATACTTTATTATAAATGGGTCATGGGTTCGATCCCCATTAGGTCCACGCTATTTCTAATTCTTAAATTTATAATCTTTCTGAAACGGGACTTTGTCTGGAAATCTGGATACTAAATGCGTGGTCGGAATATCAAAATGGCACCCGTTTCACGAACCACCGTCCACAGTGTAAAGATTTTAATCGCGTTTCGGTTTCAGCCGGTGGATTTCCAAATGTCCAAAGTTGACTGTTCGGCTCTATCATTAAACAGAGGAACATACCTTATTATGCACTTTGCACGAGTAGCGGTCGGGGAAGGTCTTTCCACAGCGTTTACACTTAAGCGGTTTGTCGGAAGTGTGAAGTTTTTGCACGTGGATACGCAGATCTGTCTTGCGACCGCATTTGGCTGGGCAGAGCTCACACGCGTACACGGGCTTATCGGTCACTGCAATCGATATACGCATAATTAATAACTAGCTGTTCCAGTGGCCTCGTCCGCGTTAAATTATTTTGGGGATCAAAATTAGTTTTCAAAAATCATCTATACCACTATATAAAGCTGAAGAGTTTGTTTGTTTGTTTGAACGTGCTGATCTCAGGAAACCGTAGTGGGTTCGAATTGAAACATTATTTTTGTATTGGTTAGAATATTTATCGAGGAAGCCTATAAAACATCGCCCTGTGACTAATACAAGCGAAAGTACAGCGTGAAATGTGAAAAAAAAATGGAAAATATCATTTATGATTTCTTGATTAACTTGCCAGAACGACGGGAAGGGACGCAACCCACGTAGTGGTTGAAATAACTATTCTACGCGGATGAGGTCGCATACACAGCTAATCTTAAAAGATAAACATATACTGTTTCGTCATTTTTTTAGATTAAATGATCCAAAAAAAATCTAAAGAGGAATCATTCTTTTATACATATTTTTTGGGTACCACAAACCGTTTTTACAGCGCACGTAACGGAGACCCTTAAAGATAAATAATTTTTCCCATTTCTCCCACATGTCCCACTGTATCTTCGCTTCTAGTCGCATCCTGATGTTTTATACCCTAAAGCCTTCTTCAATACATTCTCTACCACAAAAAGATGAATTCCAACCAGTACTTCCCGAGATTAGCGCGTTCAAACAAATAAACGAACTCTTCTTATATATTAGTATAGATTTTTACGCAAGAACATTTAAAGTTATTTAAGTAACTCACAATTATGTATAAGTTTGTGGGCCTTAAGCGTGTTGGACTGAGTGAAGCACATGTTACAATAGTCGCATTTGTACGGCTTCTCGCCCGTGTGCGTCCGCAGGTGTCTCTTCAGCTTGAAGGTATCGGGCGACGCGTAAGTACAGTGCGGACACTAAAACAAAAAAAACAAAAACAGTTTAAAACATAACGTACAGTGTATGGTTTCTTGGCATTTTTGGTAAACAGACACACAATTTACATAATATCGTGATTTTCAAGGTTTACATTGATGTACACTGAAAACCATTTGAGACACTGCATTATCTATTGAACTAATCCACTACCTAAAATTCACTTGGTAAAACCCTAAACTTCATGCTAAAATCAATAATAATTCTAGAATTGCTTTTCGTAAATACATAGATTAAGATTTTCTCTTAGTTTGACATTTACATTAGGATCCACGATCGCTGAAAAGCGTTACAACGTCGAGTTAAATAATGATGACATAAAAATATTCAAAAATAAGTCGTCATTAAAGTAACATTGAATATTGACGTTGTTTTATCTATACATAATCAATATTTCTGTGGCAAACGCAATGACTACACTCTATAAAAAGGAATTACTAAGTAGATATGGTTTGAAATTGGCCATTTCTGTTGTGGTCTTTTACTGTTGTAAAAGTGTTGGGAATGTGAGGTACGGTAGGTGATTGATTGACAGATATTATATTTTCGTCATTTATTTTTTAGGAGATTTGGTTCGTATGATAGCTCTGAATGTTTCTTCAATATGATTTGTACGATAGATAACTGACGTACAGTGAGTACACCCCATATTTTGTACAGTTCAGTTGTAGGAGAACGATAAGGAAGATTTGCGCCTACTTTAAGGATACATCTTTACGTTCTTTCTAGTTCAATGAGGTGAGTATATGAGTGAGAAATATTGAATTTCCGTCCGTATCAGAAACCACCGTCCACAGATAAAAAGCCGTGAAGTTAAATCAGGTTACGGTTTCAGTTTGTTGATTAGCGAATATCCAAAGCTAAAATAGGTCGACAGCACATCTAGTTTAGATGCTATAGGCTGGGCTAATTCACCAATCACCAAGTGAACCCTTCGCGTGGCGGTCCTCTCTCTATCTCTATCATTAAAAATAATTTTGCTTACTTGGTATGGTCGTTCCCCCGTATGACAGCGAAGATGCCGCCTCAACTTCGACAACTCAACCGAGGCATAGTCGCATTCAGAACAACGATGAGGTTTCTCGTGTGTGTGCTTGTAGCGAACGTGTCTTACCAGCTCACCTGAAACATCAGATTTTTGCTTCGTAAACGTAAATAAATAAAACTAATAAAATATACTTTATTCTCTGTAAAATTTTAAAAAATATTTACATTCATAAAAAATTTTTTTGTCTGTCTGTTCGTCGTGATTCTACAGTGTGTTCCAAAGAGAAACATGACCAAAAAAAGAACAACCAAACTCAGTACGGCTTTTAACTTTTAACATGTCTTCTAATACATTTTTATGGTTAATTTATTAACCTAAGGAGCAATTCATATCAATGCCAGGCAACCTTGTCATTAAAGAAGTCTTTTTATTACTTTTTTGAACTTATTTAAATGATTACTTATTATGATTCTGTTAACACTTAACTACTAACTATTTGTTAGTTCATAGTTAAAATGTACTATTAATATAAATGTGTGTTCCATGTAAATATTATATTGATGTTTTTGTTCATAACTATGTTTACAACTTTTAAGCTATCTGTGAAATTATTAAGGATAATATAAAAGGGTAGAGCCAGAGTTGCCTAATAACAAAAAACATGATTTTCAATAAGTTGAAGGCTCTAGCGGCCTCGCATGATTTATAATAAACTTAATTTAGGATTTAAAGAATCATCAATTTCTTTACCTGATGTGGTGAAGGCCGTGGTACAATACTTGCATATATGCGGTTTGACACCGTTATGCATATTCATGTGGTTCTGCAGTGATATGTGAGTCTTGAAGCCTCGGTCGCATACAGTGCACTTGTATGGTCGTTCTTCAGAATGCGATTTCATGTGGCGTAGGAGGAGATACCTGTTGAAGTATTAAAAGTTCATTTGAAGCCCGTTTTTTATTTATGTTGTATATATACATACAGGTAATTGTAAATATTATTAAAGTAAAACTCCTTTTTTAATATATTCGAATTACACCGTTTAATTTATATTATGGGAACCTTTACCTTCTGTGACTGACATAGCTGCAGAAACTGCAGTTGAAGTTTTGTAGAGACGATTTACTCTTCCGCTTCTGTAAGACATATTGTAATCACTATAGGGAGATTGCTAAGCACATATTAAACATTAAATAAATAAAACAGTGCTAAGGCTCAATTCTTGTCTTTAAAACTCTCGCTCAGTAGCTAAGCACTAAAGAATTAAATTACCTTGACCAAAGGGTCTGCCTGATCTTCAGATTTATCTCCAGAGTTTTCTTCTTCTTCTTCCTCTTCGAATGTGTACACATCATTCGTTTTCTCTACCTGAACATAGTAAACATATTTTACACAACTAAATGGTTTTAATAACTAATATCATTTGTAAGTACATAGTTTGTAAAAGTAGAAATGACCTAGGTCAATTATCTTGGTATGGCATTTATTCTAGAATTAACAAAAATCTCTTATTAATTATTTATACCTCACTTTAGACATTGTAAATAAAAAAATACACTTCAAAGATAAAAATTGAAACTTAAAACAAATGTTACTAGTATGCATGTTTGAATAATTAAGTTTTAATTAATTTAAATATCCAGAAATCACAAACTGTATAGCAATTCTAGCTATAGAAAATCCGTTCATAAAAATCTAAATCAGAAATACATCTAAATAATCTCTTGGTGTTTAAACTTCAATACAAGCTAAGCAGATGTGAAAATGTTCCTCATTCACCTTTATATTAATGTCCATTGCAGGTGGATTATCATCTTGGACCACCAAGACGTAACTGACTTCACCGGACTCTGACTCGGCTGGTAGAAGTGCAACAGTTTGATATTCTGTATTGACCTAAAATACACATGTCGTATACATTTACGTGTTACAATTACAAGGGACTGAATCAAAGCAATACAATATTAATAACTATACAGTTTAATTATAATCATCAAATCGTCATCTTCAATATAATTCATTCTTTACCTCCTCCTCCTTAGAACCAAGCTGGTTTTCATAGCTTAAGAATGTTAGTTCAATGTTAAAAAGTTATAAACATCGCAGTAGTTTGCACACCTAAAACCTTGAAGAATAAGTACATAGCATATGCAATCAGTTGCAACAATGTATTTAATAGCAGATCTCAATATGATTTAAGCTGGATCCCATTTACCCCAGTGGGGCATGGGGTGAGCACATTTATGCTTCCATTTCACTGATCGGTCTTTATTTACAGTCGAGTAGTTGATCAGACTTCTGAGCCTTGCCCAATCGGAACAATCTATGGTTAAGTGTTGGAACCCAGAACCTCCGGCGTTTAACGCATTACTAGGTAACACCTTTAATCATACTTTGGTTAAACTACGTGTTAATATTTTAATCCAACTTGCAAATATGATGGGTATATCAAGGTTTATCAAACTGCTTTTACGTAATTCATATCGCTTATTCGAAATTCTTTGAACATAAATACGGCTTGAAGTGTAGTATTTCACTAATCAATACTAATTTTAAGCAATTCTTTACACAGCAATAATAAACTGTCGCGGTAAGTTTTGGTTTTTGTTTATATCAGCATTCCTTGTATATATTTAACAATAAATATTTGAAGGTAAGTATTTATTATGTGTGATTTTTTTATTCATAAGCAGATTACACCATAATATATCAAATTTCATATGTAAAATCCAAAAAGCAGTATACAAATTAAAAGAAATAACACAATGATTATTTTAAATTTAACAAAATGATAATACATACTAATTGGAAGGTGGAATAGATTTAAGATACAAAAAAGCTAGCTATAAAATTTTAAAAGTAGCATAACTAATGCCAAACACAACATTAAATAATATGTATGCGCAAAGTAAATTTTTAACTACGCCAGCAATATATGAATATGAGTAAAGCCTGACTTACCTGAAGATCGTTGGCCTGCACAAGAGACACAGTTGCATTGTCATTCTCTTTGGCCGCCGCTTGAAAGTAGTAACAGCCATCTTCATCGACGAAGTAGGTAACATTTGAATCACCATCTTCACTGGTGCTTTCCTTATCTTAATAGAAAGATTTGTTAATGCTGATACTATTTCAAACAGTGATGTCAATTTTATAATAGTAAAACTGTGTTACCTGCAGTGATGGATTGGGTTGCTACTTCTTGTTCATCAGATGCTTTTGGACTACTGTTGACATTCTTAGAATTTTTGACGTGACGCTTACGCGGCATCATGAAGCCTGCAAAGTATAAGGACTAATTATTTCTTAATACATTAACAGACCCTGTATTTCTATTTAATGTAGTATTAAGTGTCAGTTTTACCCCAATGGTGTAAAACTAATAGTAGATTGTGTCCCGAAGGTTTTAGAAAAAAAATATTTTTCTCAATGCTCTTACTTAAAAAATCCCGCAGAAAATGGCAACTATCTATCCAAGTTTTGCATTTAATGGTTATATTTTTGTTTGCCAAAACTGTTGTTATTTATTATCATCATATGAGTGTAAATACCATTTGACCTTTTATATATCCCTTTATTTGTATTTTTAGGAAATTACGTCTATTACATCATTTCTTTTAAATACAAGTAGCTATAGAGCGAGATGAAGTTGAGGATGGCCCCTAACAACTAGTTGAGTATCGTCTGTTTTCTCATAGAATCAAAGAAATGGAAATTTATATATAGACTGTTATATGTTTCATGCTTTTTATATGGAACTTATTGCATAAATGTATACATGGAATAAGAAATTCTGCAACCTAAGTATACAAACAAGAGAAGGGAGTACTACACCAAGGGCATATCCTTAACAAATGAAGGAACTACTTCAACGGTTTCATTGATTAATTCAACTTTTTATATTACTAACCTACTACGTTATTATATTTTGAACAAAATGTACGCGAAGTTACGTACTCTTTGAGCATAATATGTTCATACGACAAATATGTTATACGGTCGTTAAAATTACGTTATGATGATAAAGAATTATCAATAAATATCTATTTTGTCTATGAAGATTCATGGATAAGAGAAAAAAGCCCCACCTCCACGATTTACAGTCAAACTGGACAAAAGGAACTTATAACTCACTGCACTCTCCCAAAAATTCGAAGATTTAAACAGAATTACGAAATGTAACACTACGTTGTTTTAAAGAAATGTCCGCCATCTTAGCTACAGGCGATATACATGCTTCATCTTTTGCTTTTTGAATTCGAATCTATTTGGTTAATACAATTGTTGTTATTATTAAAAATAATTTTAATCACAATCTACTTTACTACCGCCACATTATGTTCAACTTCAACACTAAAGAAAAGACGACATAGGCGGCGCTGTCATCAACTTACGTTGAAATGATTACACGAGGAATAAGTACCTATATTTTATTGTTTTTCATATTTTGAAATTACACAGCGTTATTTGAAACACGAAAGAAAGAAAGCTAAATTTTTGGTGTAAATTAATTACATATAAAATAATATGTACCTGAATCGCAAACCAATCACTTATATTTATTCATCGAGGGCGTTGCAGTAAATTTTTTAGGGACTATGACGTTTCATCGTTTCCCGTAATGGCGCCAACTGCCAAGCGCAGTGACAGAAAAGTTTTTTTTGTCACATTAAATGGCGTGGCAACAAGCTTATTCAACCAAGAGAATTACCAATATTTTATGTACATTACAAATGTAAAATTAATGCTATCGTCATGTAATATTGATAAAATATTAATTAACGGATGTGTAATGACTATATCTATGCAAAATATGGTCTCCTCCAATTTTGACTTAACCTACAATTATAAATACCGTTATAACCTGTGGTTTTTTCTCTTTTCCTTAACTATATCTGAGAACCCGGCAATCACAATATTAATCCACCTTTAGCGTATCCAAGTTTTGAAAAGGTACATACATTAGAAACCAAAAAAGAAATATATTTTTAGTTAATAAACTTTAACATTATTTTTTGTTTTTGAAAAATCAATTTGTTCATTGGTTTTTCAGCTGGCAACTCTGATTGTCAATTTAAACTTCAACTTTGTTTCAACTACTTCAACTTTTCCCAATTTTAGTACCATTAATGGAGACAAAAATAATCCGTCCATTATTACAACTAATATTTTGTATTTCATCCATATTTTGCTAAGGAATGAGGCAAAGCCAGTAAAAACTAGTACATCTTTTCAGATCTTGATAAAAACGATTAATAGGGAAAGAAAGAACGAATTATTGCTACTACAAAATTACATTAAAGTGAAATCTGGGTACTAGATATGGTAAAATGAATACTATCTGTTTTATATATACACATATAATGAAAAATTATAACTTATATGGTGTGGTGAATTCAAATATAAACAACAGTAAAATTTTGTGTTTCTTACTGTAAAGAAAATGTTAAAACCCTATCGCTTAGGGGTATGAAAAATAGTAACTGATTTTCAGACCTACTGAATATGCATATAAAATTACATAAAATTTGGACGAGTAGGCTAACTAACACTAAATAAGAATTTATACATTATCCTTTTGTTACCCATATTAGTTTACAGTTGTATTCTAACAGTTGCCTCTAAGTATGTTACCGAGTTATCTACACTATGTAGTATATGTGTTGTAAGTATGCTATTCTTGCCAATATTATGAAGCTAAGAGTTTTTTAACAGAGGAGGCCAGACAAGCATAGGGACCTACTTTGGTTTTAATAGTTGGTGTTCGTTTTGTTCGATACTAAACTTCAGGTAGTTCAAATACTTATCTTTAATATTATTTTTAACTACATATTATTCTTTTATTCCTCTTTTGCTTATGGATCTTGAATTTACCTGTAAGTATCACACCCAAAGGCAGACTGTGCTACCATGTATATATTGTTAACTTTAACCGATATAATCTCACAATCAAAGAAAGGGACGAGAAACATTTCTCTATCTTACTGTCCATCCAGGTATATTGCCAGGCCAGTGATTGAAATGCCCACTTTGTCCGAAAGTATGGGATTAGGAAGTAACAATTGTAATAAACAAAATGTTTTTTTTAATGGAACTTGCCTATGCTAGCTTTATAATCTGCGAGAGTACTGAATGAGTCTTTTGGTGGCTTTACCCAATATCAAATATTTATATTCTGATTATGATGTAACAATGTATGACTAATAATTAACTAATCGTGGTTTTGATCTCCACCGGGGCCAACTTTGTTTAAAATGATTTTATATTTGAAAATTTAGATATTACATGAGTGGTGTATGTTATGGTGGTGGAATACTAAAATTCCGTCCGGATCACGGCCTAGATCCCCAGAAAAAAAGGCGTAACTTTAAATTTCATTCTGTCGATTTCCGAATATCCAGAGCCTAAATACGTCGACAGTGCATCTAGTTTAGATGTTAGGTGGTTGGAGTATTTTTCACTATTCACCAAGTGGAACCCATGCATGCTGTCCTCCTATATCATAAAAAAATATAAAAATGCATCATAGGTAATATACGAAACACTTCGGTGTTATTTCACAAGCGCTTAATTTTTCTTAGTCAAAAGCAGTTATAAAGATGGCTTCCGAAACTGTTTAAGTCCCAGATGAAACCTTGTCAAAAAAAAACAAGAAAAAATTATCAACACTTTATTAAGACCAATAAGTACATCGCATTCAACAAACACATATTAATACTATCACAGTAAACACATATTCCACGCATAAAGATATTTAATTTAGGTATTTACAATTATAATCAATAGCGAAATACAATATCCATTTTATTCTATTAGTTATTTTAATACTGAAATTCATGTAACGAATGGGCCAAGAACTAGTTAACACTTAAAATGTTTCAAAAGGCTTTTTAAACAATATCTAATATAATCGGATGGTCACGATTTATAAGCACTATCGATGTTTTTTCTCTTAGTTGACGTTATGTAGTTTTTCTCTTTGTATAGAATGTCAATTTGTCTGGAAGTCAGTATTTCCAAAAATAATGTATGTATATTTGCTATATACATTTAAAATCATGTATGATATTTTTTTGTATCCCAAAATTCGGAATCACACTGTTCTACTGCGTGTAGATTTATTTGTTAACGTTATTTGAATCTAAATGAGATTCGTCAAATTAAGAGCTTGTAAATATAACTAAATAATAACAAAAAAAGAAAATGTATCCTAAAAATAGGTAAGTATAGAGTAACCGTTGCTTCCCAAACTATATACATTACATTTAAATGTTAACGAATTCTTGGCTACTCCGATTATTTTAACACTTCAACACGGTGCAGTAGTTTATGTTTATGTATTCCATATCTGAGTACTTAACCTTAAGTATATCTACGACACTAATTTAATTCAGTCAACATAAACAAGTAAGTAGGATAACTATAGTGAAATAATTTTTCACGTTACCATATTGTACATTATTTTGTACGTATGGAGGATTTAAAAACGACTACTACTACTACTAGTTACACAAAATTGTACTGCCTCTTCGAATTACATTTTATTTAATTACAAGATATTCAGGTTAATTGACTATACGCTGAAACAAGTAGTATTCGTTTTCTTGATAGAACAATTATATTATATTAAAGTTTATTATGACTTTGAATTCCATTTTCTAATGGATATATAATTAAAAAGAACGCACATTCTGTAAGTTGTCCCTTAATTACATTAACGAGTAGGTATAATATATTAAATTTATTATCAGACGACAAATAACTTCTAACAAACATTTAATAGCATCTTACAACACGCAAACAACAATTAACAATTCATTAGGTTTAAATAAAACTATAACTGTTTAAAACGCGATATCGTCGGGCTATAGGTGAAATAATTTTCAAATAAGTTTAACTAATATATCGCGTTTAAAACCGTTAAGTGTTTATTTAAATGTGTCCTACTCGCGTAACCTACACGCAGTGTTTAATTAGGTTGTATTACCACCTGTGGCTTTAAAAATCGTGTTCACAAAGATTATGAGTTCTCCTGTCTTATCTGAAAGAGAAAAATACAGATATTCACAAACAAATAAATAATATAAAACACAAGTGTGTGAAGTAAAATTGGAGAAAAAAACAGCCTCTAAATAACTCTTAAGCCGAAAATAGTGTTGAGAGCAAATAACACGAGTTTGCTAAATGTCAAAAACTTAGAAATACATCAATACTTGAATATAAAATGTCTTACGTAATTAATAAAGATTTAAGTTACTCAAACTTTATTTAAATAACTACCCAACTAAATATTTCTAACCTATCTTTGCACACTCAACAACGTATATATATATTTTTGTATTTTCAATACAATAATTACATTTAAATCTTAATAGCTATTTATATTTACAACCTGTTAATTATAACTACGCTGAGCCTCGATTTTAACGCTTACAGTCATTATTTCTAACTGTTATCTATTGAAACACCGAAACGACACTAAAGATTCAGGATTTTTTTCTGTACGAAAATGTAGTGATTACAACAATAGATCTAGACAATAGTAACATTTATACACACATAAAAATATATATCATCTCGCCTATGATGACGGAGAAATATATAAAGTGTCTTCTGAAAAAGATGAGCTAACAATAACGAAGAGAAGAAATCACAAACATTCCTTTATTGACACTCAAAAGGACGAAATAACACATCTATTTAATAAATAATTACAATCGCTTCAATAGTATTCATTTGAGTAGGACACAACGCATTGCAATTAGCACATTATGTATCAACATTCGCAGAATTATATAGACAACTATGCAATGTGATATGTCTTACCTAAGCAAAAATAGACAGCTATTTTCCCAACCCAGCCCGAACCCAACATAATGCGGGATGCAGAATCCCAAAAACTCCGCTGGGCTAGCAATTTAGAGAGAATAGGAGATGATCGAAGTGTCCAGAAAGCGTATATCGGAATCCCACTAAGCCAAGATATCGCCGGAAGAACGCCGTGGAGAAGGATTTGCGCGAACTCGGTGTGGCTCTTTAGTTTCGGAGGCCAAGACACACTTTGGGTCGCTACGCCAGCAGAGTAAGAGTAAGTAAGTAAGTATTTTTCCACGCGTCAAACGTCCGATTCTTTTCCTGACGCTACACGATATGCTAGTCCATGTTAGATCTCAGCAGGTTGTTGGCGGCGTGTGTGCGTCCGCATATGCCTAGTGATCATGTCGCGGCGGCATGCAGCGTACGGGCAGTTCGGACAGCGGTACGGCTTCTCGCCAGTGTGAGTGCGCTGGTGGGTCGCCAGGTGGTCAGATCGCGAGAATACCTGACCACAAGCGGAGCACGAGTACGGCTTAACGCCACTGTGCAGGCGGGCGTGCCGCGTCAACATATCAGATCGTGCGAAACGGCGGCGACAGATCTCACATTCGTAGGTCCGGGCTGCTTCTGGAGCCTTGTCCCTGTGCCGTGAAGCGACGTGCTTGGCCAGACGGTCCTGGACCGTGAAGGTCTGGCCGCAGATAGGGCACGCATACACCGGGGGCTGTTTTCTCTTGGGCTCGGATTTTACGGAGAGGTCCAGAGGCACGTCGTCCGGCGCTGTTAGCGAGTCACGCATCAGCCAAGGTGGGAACGGGTACTGATTGTTGTTGCATATCTGGACGGAGAGTTTGTCGAGGAGTTTCGACAGCCTCCGCTGCTTGTGCACGAAGTTGTGTGAGTGGGCTTCGGGCGCGGTTTCAGCCATGCTTCCCGGGAGTGCACTTCCTTCCCCATGCCTTCGCAGATCCAAGGAGCCGCCCCAACCTGAACAAAATACAACTATTAAGTATAAAAACATGTATCGTGCGTAGAAAATTATAAAATTTGAACACTGTTTAAAATAGAGGAGGATAGGCAAGAGTGGGGTCCACTTGTTTGTACGTGAAATATCCTAGCCTAAACAATGCGCTATTGACTTATTTTGTCTTCCGATATTTGGGAATCCACAGACTGAAACCGAAATGCGGTTAAACTTCATCTGGGGATGGTGGTACGTGGCCGTAACAGAATTTACATATTCCTGCCAATATAATATCCACATTGTCAGACGAATTGACGAACAACATGTTTCAGGAAAAATATAATTTGTTTAAAAAAATACTAGACTAGGGGACGAACCCGTCGATTATTAGTCATACGTTGTTACCATTACAATTGTTACCAGCCCTTCAAACGTACTTAAGTATTTCCATATAATTTTATTTAATTTAGGGTAAATATTCCTGAAACTCAAAACGATGCATATTTAGTTTCTTTCATCACTGCTCTATGTAGTGGATGCACGTGAGTGAAGCAAAGTGAAAGCATAATACGCAGGTTGGTTAAGAATGAAAATCTTTAGAAGGGACTTCTAAGAACATGCTCAGTACAAAAGGGAGATCAGCGTTATTGTTCACGTTTCTTCTGCGTAATCAAGGGAAACTTACTTTCTTTAGGACGTCAAAATATTAAATAAAATTTTAATGAAAACCCTAAAATATGTATAAGATAATGATCCTCTTTAAATGATCTAAAAATACACTATACGTCTATTTTTTTAAGATTGACTTGCAAATACAACGAGAAGCAGTTGACGTCACGGTTAACAGCTAAAACTTATTAAGATGAATGATCAAAATTTGCAAAGACAACTTTTGATGCGAAAATCCGAGTAGTAGGACGTCTAGTCTACGCAAACGAAGTCGCGGCTACAGCAGATAGGGATATAATCACGCGATACACGATTGTAAATGTCTTATCTTGCTTCTAACACTTTGTAAAACCTATCGCGATTTATTAACCTATAGGTAACCGTCATTGTTACAGTTAATCATTGCTATAAATTAAAAACCCTTTAAAGTTACAACTACAATAATATAATTGTAAATACCTACCTACCTACAATTTTCCAATATTTTTCGCGATGTTTTCCTAAGATATCTTTTGTTAAGAAGCTTAGACGTTTTTCATATCTGTGTTAACACAGAGTATATAATACTTAGTTACTCAAATTTAGTTTAATCTAGATTTGAATTTAAAATCCATACTGTTACTTATCGGACTAGTTTTTTTTTAAGGCCAGGTGAACTTGTCAAGTTATAGCGAGATGTCAAACATTGGCAAATACTGATAATAGATTGCAAGTTTAACGCATCTGTCATTTAACAATAATGGATGAGCGTTATCCATTGCCCACTATTGGTGGATCGCTTAGATGTTATAGCCAATGGACGTCTTTGGGACGGTACAATAGATTCGCCCCTAAGTTTTGTGAAGCAGAAGTACGGGTACTGGGTTTCGAGGACTTTTACGATCTCGCGAGGCGTTTCTAAGAACTATTCATAAGTAACCAGCTAGTGGGGGACCCAGCTTTGTATTGATATCGTTGAGTTTTTGCTTTATATATTTTGGATGTGGGCTAAAACTGTGCGCTCGTGTAGGCAGTTATTGCATTGTTATTTAAACTTATTGCTTTTTTATACGAAAACAAGGATTGAACTCAGTTAAAGCAAAGCTTTAGAGTGTTTATAATTAAAAAAAACTAAAAGTACAAATCATAAAACAATAGTTATACACCTATAAATAGTTAAAAAACATTCATGGCATAACGAGAATACAGTTTGATAATTTCAGTAAAATGATTAAAATAGGTAGGTATTAGTCGTACGTAAAATAGTTATGGAAAACAGGTACCTATATTGCTGAAAGCTTAATATTCTCATTAAAACATCTTCGCTTTTCCTACTATACTAATTTTATACCCAGCCTGTTGTCCTGTATCTTCAATTTAATACAGCGACCCTGTGCAAGAGGATTATTATATTATATTACTCGCCATTGATATGCCTGGATGAATTATTATGTAGAAAATAATATTACCTACGAATTTAATTATTCAATATTTAATAACATTTTAAATACTGTTCATTCGTTACGAAGCACTACATTCATATATTTAAACTTTGTAGTTCGATAACGTCTTAAAAAAAATCTATCAGTGGTCAGGCTGTTTAAATTACAATATTCTAGAGTATGATAGCATTAGATATATACATTTATTTTTTAACACTTTTACTAAGTTTTTCATCGTACAGACACGTAAACACCGTACACTACAAATAAATAGTGCGAGAATTTAAAAATCTAAACAAACCGCGGCAAGGGTTCCTACTTACGAAAAGTTGCTTTCACAAAAAGCGAGACGTGTTCCGAACGAGCGAAATATTCCCCGCTCACAAAACAGACATAGCACGGGGAAAAATAAACAGTGTCCACGAAAACAATAAACTAATAACAAATTTACAAAAATTATTTAACGCACATGATTTTCACAGCGTATCCACTCGATATCACATAATTACAGTAATAAGTTCACAAGCGCTGAACGCAGTGCATTTTTCTTTAGGATGCGCCTGCACACGAGAGAGGCGTAGAGAGTAAGGTCGACGAGGTCGGTATACCGGTTGAGACGCCCACGCGTCTATGCTACGCTTGGTACGTACGTGTACGTCGAGGCGTTCTAAGCGACTGCGACTGTCAATAGTGTTGCCAACTGACGGCTTATCACTATACACAATACAATATTAGGCATCGTTGGGGCTACCATGGCCACTGAGTTATCCAAGCCCCTCTTAAATCTAGTATATACGATAGCTGCGCGATTTCGTAAACATAGAATAGTTATTTTGAATATCAAATTTTTTGCAATCCTGCCTGTCTTTATAAATCGTAACTGTTACCCACAACATCGTCTGCGACTTGGTTTTGCAAGTTTGAAGAGGAATAATTCTTTAATAATGTTTCGCGGTGCACGCAACTAAAATCAAGGTGAACCAATTGCTCGTTTCCCACCGTTTCTTCGTTCCTGTTTGTTGCAATGTAATGTTATATAGTCTAAAGCCTTCCTTGATAAATACTCTGACCAATACAAAAATAAATTTTCAATTCGAACCAACAGTTCTCGAGATTAGCTCACTCAAACAAACAAACTCTTCACCTCTCTAATACTAGTATAGATATAAGAGTTTACAGGCTTTTTTGTCGCGGGTTGTAACAAAACAATTATGTAACAAACGATTTCTATATTTACAAAAATAAGAAAACAACTATTTTTAACTAGAGAGTTAGAAAATTAGTGAACTTTTAATTATCTATTTTGGCATAACAATATTATGGTTGTAGAAGTCATTTGTATATAATTTATTATTTCGATAGTAAATGACAATTATATATATTTTAAATTTAAGTTTAGGATACAATTTTTAATTTTTATTCCCATAGAAAAAAATTACAAAATATTTCTATAATACGGGAAAACGCAGTTATGTTGGCAACAGACGCGGCGCTAAGTGCCAGACAACCCCCGCTACACCTGTCTAGTCTACAATGCAACGTGCTGGAACGCATAATATCATATGCGCATACGCATACATATAAGAGAAGTAGGATTTAAGCAATAAGTTGTCTATACACTCAGCATATAAGCTCTGTTGTGTATATACTAACATTATGTTTGTATTTTAATACCTTACAAGATGAGTGGACGTTATAATCACTAACAAATCCTCTGATTAAGTTTGTTAAAGTTAGAGAGTTTTTTCTATAGACAATGAATATTTTCATCAGCAACAAAAAAAAATCTAAAGTATTTTAATTACTACTAGTCGATATCATTCTAGTACAATACAAATATATTTATAGATCCATGTTTTTTTATATCCTGCTTAATTAAGCACTCATCATTACTATTTTTTACATTTAATATAAAATAAAAAAATATATTAAAATATAATTGACAACTGTCAACTTATATAAAATAGATAAGAAATATTAATTCTTCTTATCTATTTTATATAAGTTGACAGTTGTCATAACCTTTATGTGCAAAAGCTGAAAAATTATATTCTTTATTCAAAATAAATAGAACCGTGTCGTTAATATAATGAAAAAAATGAATTTATTAAAATACGAAGTGTTCGTTAGTCTAACATTCACAAGGCTTCAGTTCATTTTAGGCAAGAAAGGGGTAGAGTGGTATTATAGGTGTCCATCCGAACCGTTAGCAATTACCTCTAACGCCAATTGTCACAGGGCATACATGTTCGAAAGAAAAAAATCGAATCTTAATAATTCTTGTTCATTTAATACTGTTTATAGTTTACGAGAGTATTACGTATTCAAGTTGAAAACTTAAACGGTTTAAAGTGCGATATATATTAGTTAAACTTATTTAAAAATTATTTGAACTACGACCCGACGTAGTTACAATTATTTTTCAAACAAGTTTAACTAATATATATCGCGTTTAAAATCGTTAGTGTTTTATTTAAACTCTAGTTAATACTTAAATTATTTAATTAATGTATAACATAATATCGGGCGTGTTCGTCTAACTGTATATAAAATTTTTATTAGGACGAGAGCACAATACATTTTTCTCGTAGCTCTCTGTTCAGAGCGTTTCCCGAGAAATCGAGTCCTCTCTTTGACGTTACAGGTTAGCAGATTATTAATAAAATTGGCCAAGCCCGAGTCGGAATCGCGTACTAGAGGTAATTTCATATTGTAACTTTTGTTAGTTATTTTAAGTGTTACCGTGTTTCCATTTAGTAATTTTATTATTATGGGATTTGATTTGATAATTCTTTTGGCCCTTAAAATTTGTCCTCAACCAATCAAACTAATTACTAATACTATCTAATTTATTAATTAATCAATATAAATTATACCCACGTCTGCGACCCGGCATTCTTACAAGTTAATCTTAAAAGATATATATTATCGCGAACAATTTTTTAAATCATGTAAAGGAGACTCAGTCTTTCAAGATAGTTTTAAAGGGTTTTCGCAACGTAGGCAACGGTATCTTCAAAGACAAATAAATTAAAGTAAACAAGTAAAATATAAATAAACGTACTCTTTCCACTAATTCATCGCTCTTAGACCACAGCGTGATGTAATAAGCCTTTCTCGTTCTTTTTTTTTAACTAGTAGTACCTGAGATTAGCGTGTGTAAACATAAAAATGCTTCAGATTTATAACATTAGGTACATATACATATTTGTCTAAAACCAATAAACAATTAGAAAAATCGACGGTATTATTAACAAATTGTACAACGTTAAGTTTTCCAAAAACATTGTCAACGATTAATTGTCGTTTACAAAATTATTCGAGTATGTTGTTTATCCGCGCTTACTAGTTTTGCGGCGTCCGCCATCATATAATTAATTTAGTCCCTTCAATAGACCTTCGTTTTAACATTATTACGGATGGGTGGGAGATTTGATTTCCGCCCAGGTCTCTAATACCTAGGCACAGATAGAGGCTCTTCCGAACGACGATATTTTAATTTTTTTATTTTGGACTCAATGGTGTAATGGAAGCTATGTACGGGTAATATCGGGTGTGTCGATCTTCACCGAGTCCAACATTTTCCTAATCAATATATACTTTATCTGAAACATATTTTGTTGTGTGCATGTTAAATTGGTAGGAATATCGAAATACCGTCCGGGTCACGAACCACGTCCATAGATGAAATGTCCATCAAGAACTGCGTTTCCGTTTCAGTCTGCGCGTTTACGAATATCCAAAGCCGGCATAGGTCCACGCATTATTTTTAGATGTTATATTTCACCTACCGTCATGTGAACCCATACACACACTTGTCTCTAACCTCTGTCATAATAAATTTTTTTACAAACTTAGCAAGTAAGATACACGTATGCCTATAATCTTATACGTTACGTCTATAGACGGCTGACGCGCACTCGGTGAGAATTTTGGGGAAACAAACTAATGCAATCGACACAGACGGTCGTCAAGCGTGTACTAAAATTGCATTAGTGGATTGCCGAAATGTCATCCGTGCCTTAATAATATATTGGTCGGCGTTTGGATTAATTTGCAACCAATATCTTTGGGTTAAGGGGTGTAATCCTCTTTTCCAAACGTATACATATACGTTACTTAGTGTTTGGGCAAGTAGTTGATTATACTTTACCCGATCGCGCTTAATCTAATTTAGCATTAATCTATACTAATATATAAAGCTGAGGAGTTTGTTTGAACGTGCTAATTTCAGGAACTACGGGTTCGAATGGAAAAAAGATTTTTGTGTTGGTTAGATTAATGATCGAGGAAGGATTATAAAACATGCGCTGAGACTAATAGAAGCGAATATGCAGCGGGAAATGGACAAAACGAGGGAAATTTTTCATCTCTGTGGGTTTCCGTTGCGTACGCTGCGAAATCGGATCAAGATACCTAAAAAATGTGTATAAAAAAATGATTTAAAATAATAATAAATCTAAAAAAAGTCCGCGACGCTACATGTCTATCTCTTATGATTAACTTGCAAGAACGACGGGAAGGGACACGATCAATGTCGTAACATTATGTTGCTAACAATTTAAGTTTATAAAGATGACGGGGTTTCCAAAATCTTATTTCATGCCGAAAATAACGTATTCTCGCGGACGAAGCCGCTGGCACAGCTTGTTTATATTATAAAGCTAGAGTAAGAGTTTTTTTTACGATGTGGAAAGGAAATCTTAACTAAATTATTTGTAGAATTGTTCTGATGTAAAAAATATTAATAAATAATAATTCTGTTGTACGAACGTTTCCCAACAACTTAAAAGATTGCAAAAAACACTTTACACTATAAGGAAACATGAGATAGTCAAAGCTTCTATTGTAATTATGTATTCTACTTATTTATTCGTTAGCGTAATGCGAGCGGATCAAGGCGGCAAAACTACACAAATGCAATAAGCAATAATCCCCAACACTAAGAAAAGTCGGCGTTTAAATAAAAACATCAGATTAATAAAAAAGTCACAAATTATGTTTAAGTATGTAAACGTTAAAAGTTAAAACGATTGTCGACCTGAAACGTACGTTAGTAAATAAATTATGTAGTTAATATTAATTATAAACTTTTTTTTGTACCCTTTCGTTCAAAGTAGTGATTTAAGCTTCTAAATATCAAAGTATAATTTAAATGTATATCTGATATTTAACTTAACTACTAAAAAACTATCTAATTAAAACAAGGGCTCACCAGATCTGTCCACGTTTAAGTCACTAGAGTCCATCAGGGTGTCCATATTACCCACTCACGAAACCGAAAGTAACGTCCCTTCGCGATGTGCCGCACGCGCGCTGTCCGAACAACGAATGAGTCCCGTTATAAAAATCAAAGCTAGGAGAAATAATAAGAAGTTGATCGTCGAAATCTTTAGGGGTAGCGTGAGAACGGGGGAGGTTCCGAGTACCAGCAGCTGCTTATGGACACCTAGACGGTAGGGTAATCTATTCACAACGCCTACTCCTGACCTTGTTATTGTTTAATACCGTCACCTCAGATTTAGTTGATCGTTGCTATGTTACTGGCTAACAAGGGTTGTCGGTTCGATTTCCATGAGGTTCGTATTTACTAAATTATATCTGGAAACAGTGAATTTTTTAAATTCAACGAAAGTTCTATAAAGGGGTGCTACGAATTCAATCTACAACCCACAAAACAAATTTGGCGGGTAGGTGTATTTGGGGTATTCAAATGTGCAAAGCCAATTGGAATATTCATTTGTATTAATATATTAAACAAAAATCATTTTTCCGCCATTCAACTAAGAGCACTACTTCTGTCCTTAGTCCTTCTTTTTTTTATTCCGTATCATATCGATGTACTTATCAAATTAAATATATATATAAGTTACGTTAAGTTTATTAATAACTTTCGGAACTGCGATCAGAGGACAGGCCATGAATTTATCTTTAACTTAAATATAACACGTTTTATCTTATTTATAATTTAAGTACTTCCCGACTCGGGGGGGTGGGGGGGAGGTTAACATTTTGTTAATAAATCAACTAAAACAATTCGCGTTTTAAACCGTTAAAAGTGTTTTAATTAATAAAAAATATCTGTACCTATTTATGTCTACTCGTGCGATGCCGGGACAGGGCCGCTAGTTTGTTATAAAGAGATTGTGAACGCATTTTTTTTTAAATTTCATTTTGAGTTTAATTGTTAAATTAACAAATAGTTTAAAAAATATAATATAAGATATTTTAAATATTCGTTTAATTTTTAAATGAAACAGTTTTCACGGTTTAAAACTTATCTATGTACGTAGCGTAGTTGGACGGAACAGACGGGTAGCGTAGCAGTTTTTACTTTGACATCAGAGATACCCTCCATCTTTAGTCTCCCCGTGACCACGGCTGCTGCATAGCATCCGAAACGTCGGGCATTACTTGATTAAATTTCGTTTCGTAATGAGTTTAACTAATATACATATCGTTTTAAATCGTTGAAGAGTGTCATTTAAATGTATACTAGTCGCGTAAACTACAGACAGTATTTTATGTCTGTTAACTTATTATAATATTTTTTTTAACTACGACCCGACGTGTCGGATGCTTTGCAACAGCATTAGTCACGGGAGGACTTGCTATAATTCTACCAACCATTTTATATCCAGAGTTCCAGACGAGGTACATGTCTGAAAAAAATATAATTGATTTAGAAAAATGTTGGACCTGGTGAGGATCGAACTCACGTCCCGTCTGCTAGAGACAGAGTGGCCTAATAACAAAAAACGGGATTTTAATAAGGAGGAATATAAAAATGCGCAATTTACTTAGCCGAAAATGAATTTGTACTATTATTTGTGTAAGAATTATGTTTACAATTTTCGGACACTGTGCTCTTGTAGATTAACATTTTTGACTATGAAAATCGAAATGACTTAAGTCATAAAATTGCAGTTAGGCTACTCTGCCTCTAACGGCCCCAATTATAGAAATTCCGTCTGTTACGAGACACCGTCGACAGGTGAAAAAGCTGTGAGGTGAAATGGCGTTTCGGTTTTAATCTGTGGATTTCCGAATATCCAAAACCAAAACAGGTTAATAGCGCATCTTGTTCAGGTGATATAGGCTGGGGTATATCACCTACCATCAACTCAACCGTATGCTACTTTAAAAAAAGTACGTAAGACACCGACAAACAATTTCAAGTTTGTTTTATTGCAGGAAAGACAAGTTATATACAAGCAACTTGTGGATAATGGAAAATAATAAATGAAAATTAGTCATAGAAAAGGGTAGCTTTTATTAAGCTGTAGAATGCAAGCTAACTCGAACTAATGAGATATCTATCTTGCGTATACGAGGATTTAAAAAATATAGATTACGCTATGTGAATAGAAGTGAATAGTTCTTTCACAATTTTTATAAAGCTTATATTGCTGGGTATTATACATTTACAAGCTTTAATATGCATAAATCTAATATTAAAAAGCTAAAGATTTTGCACGAGCCAATCTCAAGAACTACTAGTTCGAATTGAAATAATTATTTTTGTGTTGGTTAGGCCATTTTTCGACGAAGGTTCTAAGCTAAAACATCAGGCTGTAGCCAATAAGAAACAGATGGAATTTTAGAAAAAATGATTAAAATTATTTAAAAAAATGTCCGCGAGGCTATATTATAACATTACGCTGCGATCAATAGGACGGAAGAAAATTTAGAAAAGTCGGGAAAAATCATCTCGGACGGCTTCCGTTGCGTACGCTACGAGAACGATGTAAAAATATTTTATATTATACTTCTTTAAATAATCCTGAACTACTACTACTAACTAAACAAACAAACTATTCAGCTTAAATATTAGTATAGATAATTTGTACTAGAACTTAATGAGTGAAATACCGTTTCCCCCCTTAGCGCATGGGCCGAACACATTGAAGTGTCCGTTTCAATGTTTTTATTTACAGGCAAGTAAATAAAAACATCTACTGTTTCTCCGGGATTTGAACCCAGAACGTCTCACACTTAACACAATGCTAGGCAATATATTTAACTATTTAGCTTAAGAGGCGGTCAGAGTAGAACTTTATACTCTAAAAATGTTTTGTTTAAAAATAAGCGCTATTGTACAATTAAACTTTAAACACTTAAAATCTACACAGATTAGTTTTTTAGTAGGAAGATTTCTTGCGTATAACCCCTCAATGATTTAAGTAATTGATTTTTATTATCTATCTATTGTGTGGGTCCCTAAGCGCTCCCTACGCCTTCCCTACGCAATTTCTTAACATTCTCACGGCCGCCACCTGGCTGCTTGCTTAGTCTGTGGGGCTAAGCGGCGTTAAGAAAAGGCGTCCTAGGAAATTATTGTAAGTCGTTAGCGCACTTATAATATCAAAGTCACAGTATTCGCCGTTTATTTATTTTCTATTAAATAACTTAGGATAATATGCCCTTATTTTGCACCATCCTATTATTATTAGGTATTTAATTACTTATTGAAATACAGGTATAGAACTAAAGTAGAAACCAGTTGTGTGTGTTTACTGTATCGTTAGAAATTTTCGTATTTGGAATATAGCAGAGAAGTATTTTTAACTATTTTTTTTTGTTGTTTAGACAAGCATGAGATTCAACTGGACGGTAAAATATCCCAGCCATATAGCATCTCAACAAGATGCACTGTCGACCTTGTTGACTTTGGATATTCGGAAATGCACAAATTGAAACCGACTTTGTTATCTGTGGACGGTGCCTGACTGACGAATTTATTTAATAATCAGATCTCAAACATGTTTAAAAAAATTATGAAACATGCTGGACCCGACTACACCAACGAGTCCGTCATATGTTTATTTATTGTGTTACTGTGTCCGTTACACTTTAGTGAAAATGTATGCCTTGCGTAAATAACTTCATTTTATCATTATTTGAATAATGACATTTTTGTATATATAATGAAAACGTTAAAAAAATATATTTTTTCAACTAAAAACAACCGCTTACCGAAAACAGCCAATTGTCAAAGTTATAACTTATAAATATACTAAACTAAAAATTCATTGACAAATATAGGTACAGTACCTAATGATCTGAATTCCGTAGAATATTAACGTTTCCTTAATTGAAATCACTGTCATATTTATAGATACAAGTTTAAATAAAACAAACAGTTTAAAACGCGATATATATTAGTTAAATTTATTTAAAAACTCTTTTAACTACGGCCCGACGTTTCGGATGCCTTGAAGCAGCCGTGGTAATAATTTTCAAATAAGTTCAACTAATGTATATGACGTTTTAAACCGTTAAGACGTTTTATTTAAATGTGTACTACTCGCGTAAACTTCAGTTATAAATTTATTAAGTATAGAAGTTCAGTGTGAGACCAATAATACGGTACAGTTCGCTGGTTGGAGTTCAACTTGTGTTATTTTTTTTTATAGTTTTAATTCTAATTGCTTTGATAACAATGTTTTCAATATCGTGGGAATAAACGACCCCGTACTCTTGCGAATCGTACTCCGCCTGCCAAAATACTTTCTGAGAGGGGAGAGATTTCTCACGTAGCACACCTGCGCTTGCGCACAGCGCCCTCCGCCCTTACTTCGCTATTACCGTTTGACCGATATTCATGTAACGCTATGCCACATTACAAAGCATTAAGCAATGTAAGGGGTCCAAGGGAATTTCCGAAAAATAGTACAATCATACATTTTTGTAACATGTTACATACATTTTCACGTGTGTCGGAATGATTGGCAAAATCGATAACAGTTGGTACACAAACGCAGCACCAAAGTCTTGTTAGTGGTCTTATATTTTGATGATGATGACCTGGTAGGAATCGAACCCATATACCATCAGCTTTGATTGCTTCCATTGCACCAACAACTTAAAGTAGAGACTTGAACTTATAATATTTATTTTTCTATAGTGGGGTTAAAACTGGTTAAAAACGAGGGAGAATTACACACGTGTTTTTTGAAAGGGTCTTTATTCATTGTAACTTTAATAAATTACCAAATTCGGCCATCTGTGGGTAGTCCTTCGTGATTGACCTCCTTCTTAGACGTTTCATCTAACAGCGGAAATATTATGACGTGATTCAGAATTACTAAACAGATGCGCATGCGCGCATAAATGTCATTCATGCTAGCCAGTGCGTTCTTATGTAAGAGTTGACAACACTTACAAGATCAGCTAAGCAAGTCAAAGATCTATCATGATGGGTCTAACAAGCGGGATAAAAATCTTCTTATTTTTTCTTTTATAATAAGGACACAGCACAGACAAGCACAACATTCACAAACCAAATCCGAAATGCGTTTAAACTTGACGGCTTTTTCACCTGAGGACGGTGTTTAGTGACTCGGACGGATTTTCGATATTTCTGCCAACCATTTAATATAAGTATGTACAACTTATGATTTTGCTTGTAAACACTTTAACGGTTTAAAACGCGATATAGTATATTTGTTAAACTATGTCCGACGTTTGCCGTGACCACGACTGCTGCGAAGCATCCGAAAGTTTAACTAATATATATCGTGATTTAATCCGTTAGTGTTTTATTTAAATCTAGACATAGTTGTCAAAATGTTAAGCCCCTTGGTGATAGTCTAGAATCTAAGTCTACGATTGTATAACTGCCCCCTTTATGGTTATCTTTGCATATCCACTGTGTACATTGCGGTCTCCAATTCTTCTGCCCCTTTTTATAATAGCCATAATTGAAATGGAAGATAAGGATATCAATCGAATCGTATCGTGAGAATTGCCGTGGTAAGTAAATATACAACGCATAGACCACCTTATCACAAGTTCCTTTGTATACACATTTTTGTATGATAGTACGTTTTTTTCGGACAACACATTTATATTCAAAAATCTAATTCTCTACTAGGCAAGAACATTTCTGTGTCCGTATTTATCTTTTTAGACTAATTAAGATTTAAATAAAACCTTTTTGACGGAATCAAAATATTCGTTACCTTTTTTTACAATTTATTTTACCTTACCCGACGCTTCACGTGCTTTGCAGTAGTCGTGGTAACGGGGGGACAGAAGATGGAGCGTGTCCCTAATGGCAATAAAATCCGCCATTTGTTTCATTGTAAATCTAGCTAGGTTATTTCATTAATTCTCAATAAAGTAGCACCTAACGCTGACGATGCCGATTCAAGTCCTACCCGAGTCGAAAATGTTTACAAATAATTTTCGATTTTTAAATTAACTGGAACAAAATTAAAAATAAGTAAATTTGCGGGCTGGATTAATAATGATATAATAATATTTATTTTTAATCTCTTTGATACTAAATGTGTGACTAGTATCTCGGATTTCTCTATGACACTTTATTTGTTTTAAAATTTACATACCCACGTATAACTGCTAGTTAATTGTTTAAAAATTGTTGGTGCAAAAACATTTTACTGCTGAAACAAATTTACAATTGAGTAGAACAATTAACTAATTTTTAAAAAAATTGAGTTAATTAGAAATAAATGAAAATTGGAAACCAAATCTATTGTTTGAGTTTGATGAAACAGGTATATTTTTCTTTAACTAGCTATGCCCGCGATTTAGGGTATCAAATTTATCATTGCAGACAACATCCTAAGCTTTTAAAATTACAGGTGTTCATCTTAAACGTTAGACTACTGTTCCGGACATTTTTATAGATCATTAGAAGAATCATTCTTCCATACGTAGTTTTGGGTATGTTGCCGTTTTCGCAGCGCACGCAACAGAAACTGAAAAATGAATAATTTTCCACGTTTTTTTCGTATTTTCCTCTCTTTCTTCCCTAAAGCCTTCCTTGCTAAATGATCTAACTATAACCAAATAATTTTTCATTTCGAATTAGTAGTTTTTCAGATTAGTGCGTTTAAACAAACAAACTCTTCACCTTTATAATATTAGTATAGATTTAATCTCTATCAATAGATTAAAAGCTAAGATGGAACGAAGTTACACGTTATTTTGGCTTCTCTGCGAAAATCCCTAAAAATATAAACATAAACAACCTGTTTCGGGGATTATTTTTCCTGCATTAAGACTATTATCGGGGTGCTTAAGAGAATTCGAAAGGGATAGATGAAATTTTTATTATTTTATTTTATTTACGGCTCCCAATTAGCGATCTAAAATTAACAAAAAAAAGGTGAAAAATACAACTGAGTTTAATCCGCAATTATGGAGGCACAAATTCGTAGCAGGAAGTTGATTAGCGTAGGATTTTGAGAACAAAAGTATTAAGAAGCACTTCAGAAAATCCGAAAGTAAATAGAAATGATTTTTAGGTTTTTTTTTTAAATGATAGAGGAGGACAGATAAGAATGGGGTTCTCTTGATGGTAGCTGATATACCCCAGCCTACAGCGTCTAAGCTGTCGACCTATTTTGGCTTTGGTTAGTCGGAAATCCACAGACTGAAACAGGAACGCGACTAAGCTTCACGGACTTTTTCATCAGTGGACGGTTGGTGACCTGGACGGAATTTCGATGTTCCTATCACCCGATTAATATCCAGGCGTAGACTTCGACTGTCATGTTTCAGAAAAATTGATCTAAAACACGTGGGACCCGGTAGCGATCGAAGCCACACGACCGGTTGATTATTAGATTAGACCAAGGAGTGCCTCAAACTTTAGTTTGAAAAAATTGTTAAGTGACCTGTAGGAGGTCTCGAGAAGTATTAATGTGTACGGAAATGGTGTAGGATCTTACACTAGCATTTTACTCATATTAAAATTACAAGTACCAATGTTTAGCATCTAGAGTCCGAAGCTACAAAGTAGATTTTGCTCCCACAAACCGTTACGCCTTTAGAATTGTCCCCTACTTTGCGCCTTGCGTGGTAGCGGCGGGGGTTGAAGAAGAGAGGGGGCAGGGGTGCGTGTTCCCACGTAGAAATACTATTATTTCAGTTAAACAAATAATAATATACAACACTCACAGTTTCTTTACGGCACACACCTGCTTGATAAACTGTACGTACTGTTTTTTATGATAGAGGAGGAATAGACCTGGCATGGGACTCATTGATGGTTGGTCATATACCTCAGCCTATAGCATCTAAACAAGACACGCTGTTGACCTATTTTGACTTTGATAATTCGGAACCGAAACGAGAATAAGCTTCACGTCTTTTTCATGTGTTACCGGATTTTTTCATTGTACCGGATGTGTTCGTGGCCCGGATGGATTTTCTCTATTCCTCCCACAAGTGCAGCATGTTGCTGAAAAATTTGAAACATGTTGGATCTGGTGGCCATCGTACCCACGACCCAATCGATAATTAACCATAAATGGCTACCATTTGACAAAAAGAAAGTTGAAAGTGAAGTCCCGTATTCCCGATGTAGGGCATGGAGGCTGGGACAGACTCAAGTCAGTGTTTCTTTCACTTATATATTTGATTACGTGGTGCATTTATTAAAATAAAACATTTTTAACGGTTTAAAACGCAACCTATTAACTATATTTCTTCTTGTACTTATGGTGCTACGTTTCATGTTAATTGCAACAGCCGTCACTTTCACTAAATTGAGTTAAAAAAATATTTCGCGTTTTAGACCGTTAAAAGTGCTTTATTAAAGTGAGTACTATTCGTGTAAACCACAGACTATACTTAATGCCTTATGTCATATACGATGGTAATAATGTTTATTTTCCCGGGGAATTCATTTATTGTACACTTGAGTACCTAAATTCCAAACTATTATCGTATTTTATGAAAATACTTACTAAATAAGCTTATTGCTAGAAATAAACTGAGATATCGGATTTTAAGTAGGAAGTTTCATTGGAAATCTACCCGAATAGGTATAAGATAACAACTATTATTGTAAGGTTTTATAAGAATTTCTTTTCTCTCGTTATCACAGATCTCTAGTCCCGTATAAGGATGAGTAATTACGAACTCAAAAACCCTATAAGCTGTTTAGGTAAAAGTAAAAAAAAATCATTGACTGTGTTAATATAATAGTCCATTTAATTTGGGCTTTTTTGTTACTACAGAAATATATGATTTCTGAATGTTTTAACTTTCAAGCTATCGCGGTTACATACAATAGAGATCCTTATTATTTTTTCTACTGGACCCCAAAAAGTATGAAATGAGAAATTCTTGTGTAGTTTCCTTGCCCCAAAACCTATAAGAAACAAGACTATAAATTAGTATAGAACGCTGAAGTAGTATAATAATTATTAGCTTTACAACGATAAACTCCGATGCCGGATTAATTTAATTAGTAAAGATTAAACTCCGTTAATAAACATGGCAATTATAATCAATAATAACTAAACGAATAATATCTTTAAAGTTGTAACGACTTCAATAAATTATATTAAATCTTTGACGCATCTTTCCAAAATATGTTTATCTGTAACATATTTGGCGTCTGTAAAAATGTCATTTTGACGTTTGATACCTCTCCTCTCTTTCTTGACACTCGTACGTGACTCGCTACGTATTTGTATGTATTGATTTTTGGCTTCAGCGAAACTGAAATATATTTAAATATTGTTATATCAGTCGGAAGTCTGAAAAAGAGTGAAACATGTCTAAAATCCTCGAAGCACAAGAGCATTGCAAGGCAGCAGAAAAATAGTAAGCAAACATCGTTATTCATGTTCTCTACCTTTTGTTTTTGTTGGCTCTTGAAATGTTTTGTTTAAGCTTAGTCGAAGTATGTGCTTAGTTTTGGCGTTATTTTTCTCGCACAATGCTTTGGAAAGGAACTGGTTGAAGTACATACTGATTACGTTTTCAATATTACTGCGACTGGTCTTTGTTATCTAACAAAATTTAGAATTTGAATCCTTGATTATATGGCTGTCTGTCCCCTATTAAGGTACCCTATTCTTGGTTCTCAGATATGCTGCTTTTATTTTCACCACAAAACTAAAAATTTTAGTCTGTGGAGAAAGAGGACTTACATTCTTTATAATTCTAAATATTTTTGTTAACTTACCACCAAGTTAATCTACTACCTTGTTAGCTGTAAATTCTTCTGAGCCATTGTTCAAGGACAGACATACAATTATTTTTTTAAGTTGTCTTATATATTGTATTAAGCAAGATCTTAATTGTTTTTGTGCTACATGCGATTTGAATAAAATGGATGGATTATATGTATCCAAATTCATTTAGATTAGAAACAAACGAAGATTGCTTGTGAATAAATTTCACTACATAAAGCTGACAAAATAATGGACTTGTCTCATGTCTTATACAAAGGAATGAGTTATAAAATTTGTATAGATCATGCTTTACATAAATAGATGCTAAAAAGATATAATTAGTTTATTAAAACATTGTCTGGGCCAAGAAGACAATTATTTGAAATATATTTTTGCTTACTCATGTAATTGCTTAAAAATCATATTTATTACTAAAATGAATAGTAAATGTTATGTTAATTAATTCCATAGATAATGCAATAGAAAATTTATCAAGAACTCAGATAGAAAGCCAATTTTCCCATTCAGCCCTTACTTAGGATTTTGGGGTATCTAACACATCAAGATTCTATTTATTTAACATTATATTTGCTAAAGTTGCTTTTTATACTGTGCCAAATATTGTAAAAGCTGTGCGTGTAACGAGCTATGTATTAAAATAGATATTTTATTAAGATCTAAGCGAAAAAAGCAAAATAGTATGAAATAATAAATTTTTGTTCAGTATTAGTTCAGTATTATCTGTCTAATATAATTCATCACTAGAGTAGCATATATGTATAAATAATGTGTTTAAGTAAAACACTTTAACGGTTGAAAACGCGATATATATTACTTAAATTTATTTGAAAAATAATTTTAACCGCGGCCCGACGTTTCAGACGCTTTTTGCAGCCGTGGGTCACGTTTTAAACCGTTAACGTGTTTTATTTAAAGGTGGTCCCAAACATCTATTATAAATTGTCTACCATAGAATTTTCTAGTCATGTTATACTTATAACTAGTGTTACCAATAATTCCATTTCAGAAATTATACATTTTTGTGTTTTTTAGCCTAAAAACTGGTCTGCTGAAATGGAAGCCGGATTTCGATTCCGCTGCTGATGAATATAGTCAAGCAGGTAGGTTATCAAATAATATAATCCACAGACAGAATCCGAAACGCGAGTAAAGTTCACAGTTTTTTTATCTGTGGACGGTTGGTGACTCGGATAGAATTTTGATTTGCATACTAATTTGTAGACAAAGTCCCCACGACCTACACCCCAGAAACCTACGACTTTATCGACCTACGTTATCGTCAGACTAACAAGCTCATCAAAGGAGAAAAGTATCAAAAATATATTAACTTAAAAACATATATATACTGCATGTCATTGTTTTTCGGGCTGTTAGGCCCGACGTGAGCGAGAAGAGATTCTCGACGTTTCGCCATCACGAGAGGTCGCCATCAGGAGATGTTACCTCCTCGATTGCTCGAAGAATATCTCATATACTTCAGCTGAACGAGCCGAAAAACAATGAACATACGTTGGCCGTGAATGCCTTACACAATTTGACATATAAACCTCTTGGAAGCTAAATTGTCATTTTTCCTTCTATTGCAGCTCAGTGCTATCGCATTGCTCAGGATATGAAAAATTCGAAGGCGTGCCACATGAAAGCGGCTGAGATGTATGAGAAGAATCGTGCCTTCTTCCATGCAGCCAAGTCTATTGAGAATGCCATTATTGTCAGTAAGGAGCTGCTAGCACCTGAAGAAGTTAGTTTTATAACTAGCTTTGCTCGCGACTTTAGCTGCGTAGAATAGCTATCAAATTGTATTTTTGCAAAAAAAAACCGTTTCACAACAACCGTTTTGATAATAATCAATTTTCTGGTCAAAACATGGCAAAAACAGTTGCTAGTGTTCTATAGTCACAGAAATATATACACCAATATTGGCTTAAAGCTGCAACTACTAATTTCAGCTATACAACATGGCCTGCAATTCGAGCAGCATGTACCAACAGCATGGCTCTGGAGACGCCGGTGCAAATGTCCTTGACAAGGTAGCCAAAATCATTGAGGAGAAAGCGCCGGAGCTGGCTGTCAAGTTGTTCCAACAAGCTGCTGATGTCTCTTCGGTTGGTCCAAAAACTATCTTTAGAATTTCTTTCAGTGATATAAATCTAAAATTTAAGATTTTTCTATTTTTATAGCGTCCTCACAAAAAAAATACATTCACTTTATTCGGACTATAAAAGAGAAAAAAAAAAAAAAAAATTTAATACTATGTGGTTTACGATTGTAGTACTCATTTAGATTTAGGGAGGAGAATGGAAATTAACCAACTGTTTGTTAATTCCTGTTTAAAAAAAATATTCTTGTCATTTCTTATTAGTATATATGTAGTATTAAACGGAATGTATTTCTGACAAAAGTGTTATATTTCAATTTTCACACTCTTATGCAATTCCCAGGTGGAAAGCAGCCAACACCAAGGCACTGAGTATATTAGTAAAGCTTCGCGTCTCCTCGTGAAGTTGGAGAAATATGATGAGGCAGTGGACAGCCTGAGACGAGAGATTGGCTTTCACCTGGAGGGTGGAAACACGGCCGCTGTAGGACGGTTGACAGTCGCCATAGTGCTGGTGCAGCTGGCTAGAGGAGATGCTGTTGCCGCTGAAAAGGCATATAAGGTAAACATCTACTTACTCACGTCACAAGGCAAAGGAAAGGGATGAGGGAGTTATTGGATTATTTCTTTTCTTTTTAAATGATAGAGGTGGACAAACCTGAAGTTCACTTTATAGAAGAATATTTCAGCCATATAACATCTCAAATAGATGTGCCGTCGACCTATTTTTGCTCTGTATATGAGGAAATCCACAGACTGAAACCGAAAGGCGATTGATCTTCAAGGCTTTTCCATTGTTTACTATTTTGGACGAAGTTTAGATATTCCTATCACTCATTTAATGTCCAGATTTACAAATCAAGTCTTACATAGTTCAACATTTGATTAGAAGTAAGTTTATCCAGTGAGGATCAAATCATTATTACATTGTTACCATTAGACCATTCCGGTGTTATGAAGTAAATAACTTTTTTTTACATTGTTGCTCTTCATTTAATCCGGATTCTTTCGTTTATTTTGTAATTTATTTTCTATATCTAACAATTGGCCATCTGCCTATTTCTAATGCAACTGTTAATCTTTTTATTAATATTGTTTTCTACTGGGGGGATACTGTACAAGGGCATTTGACCCATTCCCTCTTTGTGGAGGACTTTACCCAACGCTCACTGTGTCCCATTGTTAATTCTTTAATATTATCCCCTGTTATGTTACCATTACCCAGGTATTTGCCTTTATTTTTAGTATAAATTATTTTTTACATATACAATAACAATGCAGAAAAACAATAACATAAATAAATAAAAAATTAAATATGTTTATATGTTATGCTTTTGTTAATTCTACAGGAATGGGGCAACTATTGCGAAGTGCCCGAAATGCAAACACTCGAGTTGCTGTTGCAAGCCTATGATGAGGAAGATAGGGAAAGTGCCAAGAGGGCTCTCGCGTCTCCGTTTATACGCAGCATGGACGTAGAGTACGCTCGTCTGGCTGGTACTATACCTTTACCGGAAGGAATCGAACCGGCACCCAAAGCGTCTGTTAGGGAAAACGCAGCTCCCTCATATGTCAGTTCATACACTGGTGAAGTAAGTATTATGACAGCTATACTAATATTGTAAAGGGAATGTGAAGAGTGAGAATGTAACAGCTTAAATTTATTGTGAATTGTGAGGTGACAAGGAGGTTGCCAAAAACAAATTAGATGTCCAAAATAGCTATTCTATGCGGACGAAGTCGTTGACACTGGTAGTATGTTATAAAATATAAAGATAAAATATATAGGAAGCTTAGGAGTTAGTGTTATTAATAGTGATCAATTCATTTTATATATAACGAACTAAAGAAAATACTTTAAACAAACAGATATGGTCTGTTCTTTACTCAAATACATATGTAAATAAATCTTAAAGGTCACGCGAAATGTATTAGCTAAATTATTTGTTCTTTTAACTACGACCCAATTTCCGATGTTTTGTGGTCACGAGCGACTGAAGAGGGAGTGTCCCTAATGTCAAAGTCAAATCTTCTAAGTTAACGCCATCTATTTTTATTTCTATAAACAAATTTTATTATGAGAAGTTGTATAAAATTGTTATTTCAGAGGGACACTAGTGAAATAACCTACGCCGACAACAACAAAGCTGATGAGCAGGAAGACGAATTATGTTAAGAAAGAGAGAGAGATATGGGAGAGCCATCAAATAATATTAATTTAGATTTTTAAGTTTGGTCCGGAAATGTATCTGGCCATTTCAAGCAATATAAGTTATTGTGTAGTTTTAATTACCACAATACATCTATTGTTTATTTTTAAAACGTTACTTTTATAAAGATTTTTAGTACTTCGACAATTGTTACGCGATTGTCAATGGCGTTATATTTTCGTGAATGTCAATTGCTTAGACTTTGATGTTAGTGCTTTCCTATGTAAATTTTGTTCTGCTGTGATAGCGTATAAAATATTAATATATTAATAGATAGACATTACCTTGTCGATATTCATATCTTTTAATGCTAAGCATTATATTCGGAAACTGTCACCTACCTTGATACCAGCTTATTGAAATATGAAATGGCCTATGTTACAATAAGCCCGAAAAACAGCGGTTCAAAGCCATTTTTACTATTAAAATATAGGTATCAAATCAGGAGACAGTTCAATATTTAAGTTAAGCTAAAATGTTAAAATAGATCGAAATATCTTTAGAAGTGAGACGTTATGGCGACACTTCGCCGATCGTAAATAGTTTTATGTATACTGTGATTCTAGTGATTGTTTTTATTAGGAATATTCCGATATGCAATAAAAAAATATAAATGTAATATTGATTTGTATAGTCGGTTGCTGTGTTCATTTAGGGATTCGAGTGGCAACATTGACTTTTGTTATTTAAAGACATTATATTTAGCATGGATATCGTTGGGAATTGTGTGTGTTCACACCCGCCCCACAGAATAATGTCAATATTCCTATTACAACCCCAGAAACTATTTTAAGCTTGTTGAATGGCTATTCCTTTAAAAATGCATTTAATGTACTATTTATATCACTTATGTCTGTTACGTTTTAAATCATGTCAATTTAGATAAAGATTGTCTGTACTTCTATATTAAATAAAGCTTCATGTTTTTGTTGCATTTACTATGTCTGTCCCTTTGCCATAAAGTAAATTTGGACTATGGATTTGTAACATGAGTATGATCTGATATTTGCTTTAGTCAGGTATGGCCAAGCCCAGGTATTGATCTATTGATAAGACAGTAAACTTAAAGTCAACCAGAAATTACTTTAATTACGTTCCCGGAGCTCATAAAGAAATATTTTAAAAGGAGGATAAAAACGTTTATTTAGATCACACGATTAGTAGTCTTTTATAAAATGATACAAAACCAAGTGATTTTTAAAAACGAATAAAAAATCTAACACTAAATAAAAATTATACTAAGAATATTACTATTTTTAATTTGATTACTCATATTAGATTACCCGGTACCTGTTCACAACTCTTTTTTGAGTCTATGCCATTAGACATGTTACAGAACATGATTTCTCCAATGTTATTTATATACCAAGAACAAAGTCATGAGTCATTAATACAATACTAATATTATGCTAACTCTAGGAGATCTGTACAATAGAGATTACTTGTTAATAGATTCACTCTTTACATTAATTTAGTTTTATGCATTTGTGTCACTAATCTTAAGTAATACTTTTTTTAGTCACTTGACTTATGCTTAAACTGTTTTAAACTACACTTACAATAAAACACCTGGTGTGATCTATTTATCACAAAATATGAGGCCACTAGAGGCAGAGTAGCCTAACTGCAATTATTATGACTTGAGTTATTTATATTTTCATAGTCTAAAAACGTTAATCTACAAAAGCATAGTTCCCGAAAATTGTTAACATATTTTTAAACAAATAATAGTTAAATTTATGCCTAAATTAATTGTGCATTTTTATTTTCCTTCTTATTGAAAATCGTGTTGCTTTGTTCTTAGGCCACCCTGCCTCCACCAGCCTCATATAGGCTACATATCAAGATATTTTACATTGCACACATATTATATTGGAGTATGCGAGATTGCAGTTTATAATTGTTTGTGTAGTTACGTTTGCATAGAACAGTATAAAACCAGACAAGAATACTACTTCTTATATATACTATAGCTGACAATATTATTTTTGCAGCAGTCTTAAATTTATATTCACATGAAGCCAAATTTCATTTATGATTTAGGACAATTAACCTATGTACAGCATTTCAGACACGTACGATTCATCAAAGGAACTTATTACTGTAAGTTTTTGTGACTAAACATGGTATGTATATAAGGTGGGACCATAGGCGGTACGGTTGAAGCAGTTGCCTCTGGTACGGCCTCTTTTTCTTTGTTATTCTTAGTCTTTCTAAACTGGAAGCCATTTTTACGTAATATCTTCCTCAATGTCTCCCTAGAACCTTTAAAATTGATCTCTTCTTTCAAGATTTGTAATAACTTGTTTATTGTTGGCACTTCTTTTTTAAACGAGTAGAATTCGTGTATCTTTCTTCTAATCACTTGCAAGTCGTACTCGTCCACTTCGATTTTACCTTTTGTCCTGACTCTCTTTTTTGGGTTTTTCTTTAAGGTTTCAGGATCTAGAAGACCCTGTTCTACAAGTCGGGCTTCTTTAACAATGTTCAAAACAGTTCGTTCAGACACACCTAAAAGATGAAGTAAATGATTAATGCTGAGGCGTTATTTTAAATCAGCTATTTGAAGAGATGTTTCCAGAAAAATACAAACAAAAAAAAATACCTGTAGCAGCAGAAACACGAACGTACACCTTGCTTAAAGGTATTATAGGAACTTGCATACGTTTTTCTTCGTCCATGAATTCCTTAACTTTTAATATTATTTCACGCACTTCACTAGTTATATTTTTCGGCATTGTGACACTAATATTTCCACAAAAAATCGTACAGTAGAAGGGAATCAACACAAAATATTTATTTTGCAATGGTCGTAGTAAAAAAGAGGCTAGAGGATTTTATGTTGAATCTATGATTGGGACAGAATATAGTTATAGGGCTTACATTTATCTCGCTGTTAATGTCACAGATGACATACAATAATATATAACAGATTATAATGATGGCTTTTGACCACAGGATAAATTGCGTGGTACGTATGAAATCCCAATAAATTATATTATACATAAACGAATATTTTGATTGTTTATTAACTGCTTGGCTATAATTTATTGCATGCGTTTCTTGTTCAAAAGGGAAATGTCATGCTTTCGTTACAATACTTCGTTACTGGCGGGAAAAGAAAAAAAGGTTACTTATTTCTAGTATCCGTTACTTAGTAACGAAAAAATACAAAATTGTATTTTAAAATTTGTCAGTTTTAAAATACAATTTTGTCTTTAAGACCTAGTCTCTAAATAAGATAATAAAGTGTGCACAACTCGGGTCAGATTTTGGCGAATCATACTACGAGCATGCTTGTCTTGTAATGCACGAAAAGGATGTGTTGGATCTCGAATTGGGCGGCAAAAGTTGGGTGAAGTCTTTATCCAGATGGTGGTATGACTCGTTTCTACTGTCCTATACGGATGAACGAGTCCAGGTCTACTATACGAGTACTCATGCCCTTAGAATGGAGCGGGCTAAGCAATTTTATATTTATAAGCAATGTATTCATCCATTAAGTAAATTCAGGTTTGCATACATAATTCTACTCAAAACTACCTTTGTACTACCAGATTTTTTTACTTATTTTTTTTAAGAGGTAATAGTAAAGTTCCTTTACTTTTGCACAAACTGTTTTTATCTAGTTTTTGAAAAAGAACTAGTCGAAAGAACCTGTAATCGTTACAAGTAGTATTTTAAACAAATATAGTGACGTAGGATAATATTACAGATTCATAAACCTATTTCATTATTGGTACTGGAACCCACACCAATAGCGTAGTGTTTGCGCCAAATCACACATGCATTATTTCACGCGACAGTTACAAACATCCTAGTGTTAGCTGAAGTTATTCAATGTTAAATATGTTTTGTAGGAGATTCTGGGATTTTGCAATTGTACCGATCATACTATTGAACATGATGATATTCTACCACAGCACTTCGATAATGTACGGCGAGGCCGATTGGAAATTTTACATCATCAACGTGTTCTTGGAGGGTTTTCTATTCCTGGACATATACATCAGTGTAAGGACTGGTTATATCGACAATGATTCAAAGAGGATAATATTGAACGGTAGACAGGTCACGTTACACTACGCTTCGTCGAAGTTATTCCTCCACGTGCTCTCGTCGTTTCCCGTTGAAACATTTATGTTCATGCGTTATGGTACTGGCATCGATTGTGCTGTATGCAAGGCCAATTTGTTTGTCACTGCCTTGGAAGTTCTATGTATATTTCGCATATACAGACTCATCGATGCGACCAGTCAATGGGGTACATACAAACGCTCGGTCCTCGTCGCATGCGGCCTTGCATTCTTGCGTATAGCCATACTGGGTTTCGTTTCTATGCAAATCCTGATGAGAATAGCTGATATTATATCTGTCCTAACAATCATTACTACTGGTAACCTAGACGACCGGTCTTACTTTGCATCGGTATTGAATATTCGATATGGAGACGCACCAGCGCCACCTAGCTACGTTTTCTATTGTTTGGAGTTCGCTAGGATCTGCAAGTCCTTCCTTTTGTTCAGCTTCAGCCTTATATCTCGTGCGTACTTCCCGGATAAGATGACGTCACTGCTGGCTTACTTGACCGCCATGATCTTCTACATGTGGAGTCTAGTGGAGTGTTACTTCTTTCTGAGCTATCTGAAGTATCCTCAAGACCAAATGTATATATGCGTGGACAGAACGATAACGCTAGCGCGGTGGCGAAACCTACCTGATACGTTTAGTGAGAAACTACTGAGATATTTCACGTTTAGATTCTCTGCAGCGAATGTGACTGAAGAACAGAACGGGATTTATAGAAGTCTTCCAAAGAGTTTAAAGAAGGAGATAGCGATTACTTCGAATAGTCGCTTATTGATACGAATACCTTATTTTGCTGAGTGGCCCACGGAACTCATAGAAGACATGGTGATGCTTTTGAAAGAAGAAATCTACATGGAGGGTGATGTTGTCGCAGAAGTAAGTATTATTGAGCCTTAACCTTTGAAGATCTTTTTTTTATGTTAGAGGAGGACAGACAAGTATAGGGCTCACTCGATTGGAGGTGGAATACCCCAGCCTTATAAAATCTACACAAGGTGCGCTGTGGTTTTATTTGGATATGCACGCGCTGAATCCGTAAGGCGAAGAGTGGGTCGTGACTCGGTCGGAATTTCGATATTCCTACCACCATTTAATATCCAGAGTTTCACACAAACACTAACCTAACATGTTTTAAAGAAATGATATCATAATCAAGCCTTACATTGCTACTTTAGACCAACGAGCGCGGCGGGCTAAAGTAAGTGTCAAGTAGTACACTGGTTAAAGCATGTTTTACGTATCGAAAAAAAAGCACTAGTTTTAACTTACAAATAAGTTGAATCATGGTCTATTTCAGCCCTCAATGCCAAGCGACGGTCTTTTTATAGTAGTGGTAGGAGTTTTGGGGATTTATTCAATACAAAACGAAGAAATGGGCCATCTTACAGACGGCGACTACTTCTGTGAATTATGTTTGGTAACGGATAGAGAGATACGCATGTCCTCAGTCATAGCGTTGACAGCCTGCAAGGTACTATTTATTAGTTTATTTAGTTTTAAACTTTAATTGAACTAGATAAGCAAGGTTGCTTGAAGAGAAAGATTTGTTTGTAGAAGTCCCGTTTGTTATATCTGAGACTAGCGTTCTGTTATGAAGACCTATTTTTAAGATTATCAACTATCGTTATATGTTTTTTTGGGCATCATGAACCGTATTTATAGCGAAGGGAACGGGAATTCTAAAAGAAGAATAACTTTTCCCATTTTTTTTCACATTGCGAACTGTTTCTTGACTCCTATTGGTCGCATGCAGCCTACCTTGATAAATGGTCTATCCGACACAAAAACAGTCGAACTTATAATCGAACCAGGCCAGTAGTTAGTGAGACTAACGCGTTCAAACAAAAAACTCTCCAACTTTATAACATCAGTATAGATAAGCTTGTTTAATCAATCAAAAAATCATATGATGAAACATCAAATCAGTTCTATGATTTTAGTAGAGGTTACAGTAACCACAGTGAGTGCTGCCCTAAAATGGTTATGGAATTTCAGATCTTGTTCCTAGAGAAGATAACGTTTAGAAAAGTTATGAGAGCATATCCAACCTTATTTTACGACCTCAAGGAATCCCTGACGGTGAAGTATACCTCGCAACGTCGCGCTACTATAAATCTCTACAATTAAATTACATTAATTAAATCACGACACTTAATTCAGCTCAGTTTTTTATTCTATCTTGTACATCTATCTGAATGTAAAAAGTATTTGTAACTAACTTGAAGGTGAATACATATAATACACAGGTGAATAAATCCGAAAAAGTTTATGGTCACTTGTAAAATTATAAGATCTTGGATATTGACAATAAAGCTGAAAATCCCTACAGGAGCGATTCAGACCTACATTACACGTTTACATCTTTTGTCTATTACTAATGGTATAAATTATATCGATAAGATAAAATAAGATTTTAATTTTTTAGTTTCTCCACCGTCTTTACAGTGTCGTGTAAAGTTTTTTTATTAGTTACATGTATTTTTCATACCTCATGGTATTTTCTTCTCTTCCTCTTTTGTTTTACCTAACGAATCGCCATACATTATATAGAAATCCGTATCATTTAAATAGAACACTTTAACGGTTTAAAATGCGATATATTTTAGTTAAACTTGTTTGAAAATTATTTTTAACTACGCCCGACGTTTCGAATGCCTTGCAGCAGCGACGATCACGGGGAGACCAAGCAGAGAGATTTAAAAATAATATCGCGTTTTAAACCGTTTACTACTCGCGTAAACTACAGACAATATCAAAATCCGTATCATATCCTTGTATATTATTATACTAAGAGCTAACGAAGATATTATAGTACTGCGTGCTGACAAGGGAACCGCCACGGTCGTGATGGTTACGTCGGACTATAACCAAAAGATGTCGGAAATACTTGATGACGACGCGGTTTACAACAAGGTTGCAAAGGACCCCGCAACCAAAGTAATGAAAAAGACGTAGGAACTTATAAACAAGTATAAAACGACTCTAAATCTCGACGCTAAACATCTCATCTCAGCCTGCCCGAAGCCACCTGAAATGTACGGGTTGCCAAAAATACATAAATTAAACAATCCCTTATGTCCAATAGTCAGTCAAATAGATTCGCCCACTTATAAACTAGCAAAACACTTATCTAGAACACTTGCCCCCCTTTAGGGGAAATACAAATGCTCACGTCAGGGATTCGTATCAGTTTGTAGAAACTATTAAAGGTCTAAAGGTAGCGGACAATGAGGTTATAGTAAGCATTGACATCACATCACTCTTTACAAACTTACCTATAGATGATTGTATCGAAATTGTTAAGAAGAAACTCATTAAACACAACATGCCTATAGAATATGCGGATATGTTAGAACATTGCTTGACAACCGGGTACCTACTTTGGAATGGGGATTTCTATGTTTGTGTATGAAGGTAGATGGGGTAGCCATGGGTTCTCCAGTTTCACCCTTAGTTGCTGACACTTTTATGGAAGACTTTCCCCGGTTAAGCCTAAGCTTTGCAAGCGATACTTTACTACGTAGTTGATACTTTTACCATCTTACCCAAAGCACAAGTATCTGCATTTCTTACACACCTTAACTCAATTCATAATAACATTAAGTTTACAATGGAACAGGAGGACAATAACACACTACCTTTCTTAGACATTTTAGTAATTCGTGACGAACACGGTAATATCGGGCATATCGTCTTTAGAAAAACAACCCATACGGATAGGTATTTGAACGGTGACCCACATCACCATCCCGACCAACTTAGTTCTGTCGGAGTATCTTTGTTTCAGAGAGCCCGCAGTCTCTGTAACGTTGCCCACTTAAATGAGTTACAGCATGTCAAGCAGGTCCTATGCATGAACAAGCTGAGAGTCCCTCCGCAGCATCCCAGGAACAGGACAGAACAGAACAGCCTCCCACAGTCAAACGTCAGCCCGCCTACCTACCATATGTGAAGAGATAACAGATAGAATTAGCAGAGTCCTAAATCGAGCTTCTATTGACACAATTTTCAAGCCGCACAAGAAGATTCAGCAATTCCTGAAACCAAACAAGTGTACTATCCCTTTACAAGATGCAGGTGTACAGACTCGATTGTGATTGTGGCCTATCCTACATCGGCCAAACAAAGTGTAGCATCTCAAACAGAATTGTACCCCTTTACACTTTTCTTCTCTCGAGGAAATTATAATGGGTGTTAGTTCAAATTCTTGGGTAGGGCATGGAGGATTAAGTGATTGCCGATGGTTCTTGATAACAGCGAATAATATTGGATTAATGTGAACAAATGTTATTGTTTTCTAAAGCTTTTCTTAAATCCACATTCTTCATTATATTATGTTTTGTAACTGGCTTGTTCTGCAAAATAAATATTGGTTTTTATAAATAGGATATTTAGAGAATAAGGATACAGAAGACCAGTGTTGGTAACTTTTAGTACAAGCTTATATGTGATACCAGTTACCAATTGGCTGTCTTGTGTATTGTTAATTTTGGATGACTGTATTATTTAATATGTGTATGCTTAGGTAAATAAAATGTTTTTTCTTTGATAACTACAAATATTAGGATCATTTAAAAAACATTAAATAACCGTATTACAAAAATACCCGTAGTGGAGTTGGAGTTATTTCTGGAGTAGGCGTGCGAGGATCTGGATGGCTGCTCACGTCCTTATTTTAAACATCACTCTTTTGGTTGCTACATCAGTTTTATTAATATTACTACCCATTTTATTTGTATACTGGCAATATCACAACAACAAAACACGCTTTCTACGTTTATATATGTTGGAGTTTATACATATTGATATCGGCTGGCAACACTTGAATGTTTATTTGAAATTCACAGGATATTGTTTTCTGAAAGAAAACTGCTATAAATACTTCTTTATAAGTCACTCAATTTCCTAAGAAGATATGTAGCTGCTATGGTTACAATACAATTACTAAACAGATGTGAAAAAAATATCTTTAAAGCCATATACATTTTATTTTCTTTTACTTTATAATAACAGGTTATGGGCCCAGTGGGCTAGAATAAATATAAATTAAAATATATGTAATGGCAACTAATATAAGAGTCGAGCCCTTAACACGGGACAACTACGATACGTGGCGTGATAAGATGGCACAAGCCTTGCTCACCAAATGCGGACTATGGGATCATGTATGCAAGAGAAACCCTACGCAAGTAAGTCCTGAAGAAATTATAAAATATAATGAAAAGGGCAGTCTAGCTTTGTCCGAATTATTACTAATAATAGCTCCTTCAGAAGTAAAGCAAGTAACGAGCTATGGACAACTCGAAAATATTTACGAAACTAAAGGTCCGGCAAGAAAAGCGACTTTACTTAAAGAATTACTTTTGCGAAAGATGTTGGATGGCGATAATATAATTGATCACCCTAATAAATGTATGAATAACGTCGATAAACTAGGTGACATGGGAATAGAAATAAATAATGATCTATTGAGCATAATGCTACTATACAGCCTCCCGCAATCATTTGATTTTTTTTTTAATGTGAGTAATGAACAAATTACTAGAAGGTGTACATAGTGATGTATGCGATCCAATGAGAGTTGGAACAATAGTTGAATCACAAAAAAATATTTCATAACATTCATTGATGATTATAGTAGATATTGTAGAATATACACAATACAATTAATTGTTCCATGCTCTGGGGGTTGCTGTGGCATACACCAATGACAATCTTGGGTATAAAACAAAATGTACTTTAAAGGGAAAGAATATTTGGTATAAATATTTAGGTTCTCATGCAATACAAAAATGAATCATTCTTAATTATCTTCGAGAATGGTTTTATTTGAACAGCATCGACTTAACTTCCTAATAAGAGCTAAAACTATTCTCATTCATTAAAAGTTACAATTCGATGTGGTTAATGTTTTTTAGGGTAAAGTCATAGTTTAGGTATATCATAACCTAGCATGTGTTAAAAAACCCCGAGCGAATCTACCTTTGCACGTCGGAAGGTCGCCGTTCCAAGTTAGATTATCTTTGCATGCCAACGCCCGGCTTCCTTTTAGCTCTACAGTTGGATCTCGACATGTAAAGTTACAAAGGTCGCTTTGATCGTTGCAGTGTGCTTGTAATTCCTTTGGAACAGGACAAGACTGAAGGATAACATTAATTTGCATTTTACAAAGCCGTAACACCTGCCGAAACAATAATAAAACGACATCTCATGTTGAGAATAATATTCACCGTTTATAGGGATAATTTGTCAATATATGAAATAATTATCACTAAAGATACTTCACCTTATTTTTTTGTACAATGTGCCCTAACACGATATGATGCCCCTCGCGTAGCAGAGAACCGAATTTCGGTGCGTGCAGGTGCTCGAAACGAACTCACTCCGGAGCTCTAGATAAAACCTCGCAAGGGTATTAGTTATAGTTTATTGTTGACCCTGTAAATAGATGTCATCTGTTATTTATCTACAACTTTAGACTTACTAACTAGTCTAACTAACTTTAAACAATAAACCTAAAAACTGATCACACTGAACAGCATTATCCAACAAATACCTTAAACAGTGTTCTCCATATTTTTGGCAAGAAAGTCACGTAGTTCATATATATGCTTCGTCTAGATTGTCATTTAAAATAACAATGTGGAAGTTTCCAGGTTGTTTACCTGAAACATTAAATGCCTTATGCTAATAATAAATTCAAATAGACTGTTAATCCATAGCTGAGATATTAAAGCCAGTAAACCTTATTATCAGAATATTTTTCAACTGCTTCATTAAAAATCATTTTTAGGGTACATAACAAAAAACAACACAAAGAGATTACACTACATATACAAGTGCCATTTCCTTTTTCTTTTAAAATGGCACTCAACTACTGTCTATAGTTGACGCGAGTAGTACACATTTAAATAAAACATTTTAACAGTTTAAAACGCGATATATCAGTTTAACTAATAAAACTACCATATTCAATCTGGTGGAGAGCCCGCTGTAATCTTTTTTACAATGCTTCTTCTTGTTCTGTATTGCGATTACGAAGAAGCCTTACAACAAAAGGCACTACCAACACTAACACAGGGTCCAAATCTGTCCTCTTAATCTGCTTCACACCCTCAATTTCAATATGGAGAACACATATTCTCCCAGTTCGCTGGCTTCAACTGCTTTCTTACTGAAAAAAACATATGCGACTTGGAAACACAGGCAGGAATGTTAAAAAGTACTTTCTACTTACAATGTTATATTTAAGTAGAATAGTAAAAAAAATCTCAACTGAGATGCAGCGCCTACGTTACCCAATTCAACATGAGTAATTGAGTGTTCTTAAAGTTATAAGCAATGACCTTTGGAATATAGTCAGTAACTGGAAAAATGCGAATAAACAAGACAACAAGCTTTGCACATGGTATGAGAAGTAAGCAAACCAGACCTGGTTCCATACATGTTTTCACTGAATACCGCTGTTTCTATCGCTGTTACCCTTTGTTATGGCTGCCGACATTTGATCTTTCGTAGTGAAGTGATAGTGTACACCATCCTTTTCGGCGGGTCGAGGACATCTTAACATAAAACCAAACTTGTCTGGAAATTCTTTTAGTTAACGCTTTAACAAAGTGTTCTTTCCCGAACCAGATGGGCCGCAGAGAACAAGAGAACGTGGCCCTTTTTGCACCTCTCCAAGAAATCGAAAAGAGGAGTAAATTTACACACATTACAGAAAATTCAGGGTCAAACCCTAAAATTATCATTATCTCAAGAATTGTGCACTAGTCCTTACAAACAAGGGGTAACTTTAATCAATAATTTCAACTAGAAACTGTATCGTAAGTCTCGACTAGTGAACAAAATTAAAATAATAACATGACGGGATATACCGCAGACTCAACTCAACACAGCACAGACTAAAGAAGCAGAGTGTTGAGAATGTCAAATATGTGTTGAATCACAGATTATGATATAGAATCAAGGATCTGTATTTTGATATGTAATTCTTACATTTTAATGTTTTGGTTTTTTGATTTCTTCTAGAACTTATAGGTATATGTTTTTTATTGTTTAACCAGTAGCAAAAGCTATGCTTTTGTCTTAGGTATGTTTTTTTTCACGTCACGGTCGCAGGTATATAAAATAGGACTATACCCATGTCAACCTTAAATAATTAGAAAGAGCTCAATATTTTTTTTACGAACTTATAATAACTTTATTAAATCACCTTATATATCTTTTATTAAATCTATAGAGATAAAAATAATATTTAATACAGGTAACATTTTTATCCTAATGATCTTGGTTATGGCTTACTTTCTTTTAATCAAAACAATTTTATAAAAGGAGGTTTATTATATTTACCAAAATACGTAATTACTTAAAAATTTAATACCAAATTTTGCACAATGAACTTATTATTATTTTTATAGTAATTTCTATAAGGAAATTAAGAGGATTTTATTCCATTTCTTTCATCGCACAAGAGCCAATCATAGGGGCACAAACCCATTTGTTCTATAACTTGTCTATGTCATTTTTGTCTTTATTATTTCCCTTATTTTCAAGCTGTTCCTAAAGTCATTCTAGTAACGTCTCTTCATTCGAGTGGATCGAGAGCGGCAAAATATCAAGTGTTCATCGCACTACTATCATTAATCTTATACTGCTCATATAAATAATTGAAGAAGCTTCGATTTGGCTTGCGATTATAAAGATTCCACGTGTTCGTTCCATCGTGGCTAAGAATTAAGCCACGATGGAACATGCAAACCAAAGCATGCCTAATACGGTAAGAAAGCAGTATATCTTCGTTTAATTTATACAATTTTATCATTGCAAATGGGATCGTTACAAGTGTATTTTTGGGCTAGATTAATCAACAGGACGAAAACAAAAGTCAGTCGAAAGTGGTCCTGCCTAAAGGAAAGACATCGATGACTCGCGGGGTTTTGGGTGAAGTGCATCCAAATGTGCAGTGCCAACGTGATATATCCAAGAAAGCCACAATTCCTGATGCCGAGTGTGAGAAAAACCCGCTAAAGGCTGTAAAACAAAGGTACTTTTCAAAATGAAATTTGTTTTATAACTGTAGCCACATCAAATTAAACTTTTTCCGTTTGAAGCGGTGTTGTAATGCTTAAACGAAAGCATATTACATTTTACAACCAATATTAACTTAATTAGAGTCAAGTTACATTTTGCTATATATATATATATATTATTAAAAATCTTTATTTTATTAGCTTCCATCTACATATATTAAAGGTTACAAATTCATGAAATGTAATTCCATGTCTTTCTAATGTGTCCTTTTATTCACAGAACCTATCGCTATGTCCAGGCAAAGGTTGACACTGGTCTTGGCGCCAAATCTATTCCAACATCGTCGAGGCCATCTCTACAAGCTACATGTGCTGCAATGCCTACTAGAGTATGTTATTTTGTCTAAATTTACCATCATTACTTTATTAACATGAATAATTCTCATGCTCCTTTTAATATTTTTAAGATATACTGAATTTAACTAACATATTTTAGAATGCTGTTAAAGAAGATCTCAAAAAAGACATTGAAATTGAATCAAATAAGGTTTTAAAACAAGTGAAGAGGTCAAGAGACCAGAAAAATCTTAAACTCAATCCCATTAAAGAGATTAGTGAAGAAGAAAAGAATCGTATTATTAAAGACCCTACGGAACCTCTAGGAAAACTGAAATTAGCAGAAACAGAAATTTTTGTTGAGCCTTTGATGGTACCTATATTAACACAAGACATTGAAGAAATGGATGCAAGTGACCCTAACCCAAGGTTGACGTCTATCTATATTAAGGACATCTACAAACATCTGACCACCCTCGAGAAGAGATATCCAATTGTAAAGAACCATTTAAAAAATCAAAATGAAATAAAAGGTCACATGAGGGCTCTTCTGATAGATTGGCTGGCAAAGCTTCAGTGCGCGTTTTCTTTGCTCCCAGAGACTTTACACTTGGCTGTTGGAATTATAGACCGGTATTTGCAGGTATTACATGGATTGTTATGTTTTTCTACTATGCTAACATTGTAAATATGCAGACACAGTCTAGCAAAATCCAGAGTTCACTAACACAGCCGTCACGCAAGCATATGGGGTCACTGAGAGTAGACTTTTCATTGTGTTTTCCTTTATTTAACATGTTTTATCAAAAATTAACTGTGAAGAATGGAATCCTTAGCAGTTTTCTTTGTTTGCTAAATTTGCACTAAATAATTATCTGTCTTTCAGGTCATACCCAATGTACCAAAGAACAGATTGCAGCTTATTGGTGTAACTGCAATATTTATCGCCAGCAAATATCAAGAAATATACCCTCTCCACGTCACTGCCCTCGTTCGTGTCACAAACCTAGCATACACCGAGAATAAAATATTGACATGCGAGGAGAAAATAAAAGCCAAGCTAAATTTAGATCTGGCGAGGCACGCCACACCGCTCAGCTTCATCAGGGGGTAATACCTTCAGTTCAATATACCGTTCTTTCTGCAATCTTTCAATGGCACAATTTGGATGAACATTCAATACATTAAATATTGAGTTTCAAGATGTTGTCCCCTCAAATAAATCTCCTTTTCCAGGTTCATCAAAGTGGCTCACGGTGCAGCAAAGAATCATCACTTAGCAAAATACTTTGTCGACCTGTGCTTGGTGGAGTACTCCATGGCTCACTATAAGCCGTCCGAATTGGCCGCCGCAGCCGTCTGTCTCTCGCTACACATCCTCCCTGGCACGCCGCTCCAGGACGTGTGGACACGTACGCTCGCATATTACTCGGGGTACGAACTAGCTCACATTCGACCCATACTTCGGAAAATAGCGACCTTAGTGATAAACGTAGACAAGTCTAAGTACAAAGCGGTCCTTAAAAAGTACTCTCACGTGACAATGGCCAAAGTGGCGACGCTTCCGCATCTAAAAAGACGCGCCATGTTTAAACTCGCTCAGAGGTCATCTTAAGTTGAGATTGTTATTAGTTGAGAGATTGATTTTGTAGATGATTGTATTGTATGAGTTTTGAACTATTTTTAAGTAATGTTTGTTGTGAGTTGTTTTTCATTTTTAGACAGCTGGCTTTTTGATAAGGTTAAGTGAATTTGGTATTGATGACTTGAAAATTATTTATTAGCAGATTTGACATTACGGACAATACACTAAGCGATGCGACTCGTAAGGCCCTTTTCGTTTTCTCTAGACGCTTCTGCCGTACCAAAAATAGAAAACCTTATCAGTATTTTAGTTTTTCTGTTACATTAAAACATTTTTTCGTATAATTATAGTAATATAATTTTGTAATTTCGCCATCTACTGGCTTAGCTCTTGGCTTAGCTCTTTCCAATTATCTAGTCTAATTTTTCTATAAAGACGTTTCTTTTTCTTTGTACACAATATTAGACATTTGCATGAAATTTTATTTTTGTTTTATAACGAAACTCAGTCATTCGACAATTCGACTGATCTCATTAGAATATATTGAAAGTTAAAAATGAATAAATTATTTAATTCCCACGTTTTGTTTTATTTCTTGTGTCCAAGTTCCAAGTGTCGTTCTCAGATTCGAAGCTGCTCCGGCCTAAGAACGCGTATCGTTAGGGTGGTTGGTTGGTTGGGGAACCACAGCTCACGCCTCGGTGTTAATTGAGTGACAACGTCAACGTCAATTCTTTTTCGTTGGTCTTCGTATTTATTGCTATTTTCGGGGGGGGGGGGAGGGGGGGGGGGGGGGGGGGGGGGGGGGGAACCTCGTCTTTTTTTTTTTTATTTTTTTTTTTTTTTTTGTTGTTGGGGCCCTTTTTTTTTTTTTTTTTTTTTTTGGGGGGGGGGTTTTTTTTTTTTTTTTTTTTTTTTTTTTTTTTTTTTCTTTTGGTGGGGGTGGGGGGTCCTTGTTTTTTTTTTTTTTTTTTTTTTTTGTTTTTTTTTTTTTTTTGTGGGGGGGGGGGGGGGGGGGGGGGGGCGCCCCGCCCCCAAAAAAAAAAAAAAAAATTTTATTGTGGGGCGGGGAAAGGGGGGGGGATATTTTAAAAAAAAAAAAAAAAGGGGCCCCCGTTTTTTTTATCCCCCCCAAAAAAAATTTTTTTTACAATGGAAAGGATTTTTTTATTAATATATCTTTATCGAACTGTGCACTGTCGTATGTCGATTAATGTGCTTGATTTGCTTGCTATTATTAGTATTTTTACCGTCATCGCTTATCTGTAACGAAACGTGAATTATCTGCCTTCGCAGCCGGACCACGGCCCAGCGTTAAACGAGACGTTAGGAGGGCACAGCTTCAAAAGCATCGTATAAATTACCCGGGCCCGACGGCTCTTGCCGTCGTATTTTACGGTTACCTACATACATCCTTTCGCTGATTTGCGGAAGATTATATTATCAACGATTTTAATTTAACTGGTCAACGACAATTTTAATGCTCGCAGACATCGATAAGTCGTATGTTGTCGATTCTGCAAAAAGTACGTTGTATGAAAATATAATTATCTCGCTTTTTCATTGAACCACAATTGTTGTTAAACCTCATTGGCAATACGCTCGTAATTATATAGTGTAGACAAATTCTCCGCTCGATAACGTAATATATCAATCCATCGATTTCGTATATATAAATGTAACCCATTAACAAAACGCATACTAAAAATTAAATATTATATTAGTGCTCTCAAAGAAAACCTAGTACTTAATTGTCGGAGGCCGGAAGTAGTGTGATAAAAAAGATCCAGGTCTGAAGAGTGTTTGTTAAAGAGTTTGCATATACGATACAAAAAAAGCAAAAGTGACTACTTTGTGAATGCGACTGCTTGCACGGGGGACAGAAAGAGTGAAGCGCTTGATTAGGTTGATGCCATCTATTTTGTTATTAAATAAGAAATAACTAGAAACAAACCTACAACGACATAAAAAGCGTTCTATTCAAACTTAAGCACGCCGCTACTATGTTTCAAGTGGTATTGTAGGTATCCAAACCTTCGGTGCAATCTCGCGCTACGTGCGAGTGCGTCGACAATGGGCCACTTCGCGGGGGCTCCTACGCGCATTGAACTCCGACGGGGCTACTCTTCTTTCGCGATGCATCACAGACGAAATGAAAGGAAACACTCGGGTTCAAAAAGAAGTAGACTCCGTTCTTCAGTCGACAATAATAAATATTATCTTTTCGTATAAAGTCGAGTTCCTTAACTATAGTGTCAATTACAAACTAGAAGCCTTACCTAATGTTGCGACTTGCGACACGTCGATTTTTCAATCTACGTCGACGGTCGAAACTGGTCGAGACACGTTTTGCCCTGTTCTCAGTTACTTACTCGCACTCGCCTCGAAATATGTAGCTGAGCGTCGGCTATAATACGTTGGTACCAACTGGTAACTAATCTGAAGAATCATGGTTCGTAGTAAAGCGAGTGCTCGGCTCATCTCATATCAGATTTTTTTTTTTTTGATTGGATTCTTACGTATTGTGTTCCTAAGGAGCCACGAATACTAACCGTGTTTGCGGCTAGACCAAGGGTGCCGTCTGTGGGAACCGGTTAGGCCTTCGAGTATCAGTCATGTTGTGAATCCGAACGACACCGCTCTCGCGCTAAATGCATTCCGTCACATACTTGCGAATTCGTTCGCGGATTCACCGCTCGGAGAGCAGTTCTACTCTCCGAGCGGTGTCGTTCGGAGAGTAGAACTGCTCTCCGAGCGAGGTGAGGTCAAAAATATAAATTGCGCCGAAAGCAATTCCGCTAAACTTTGGAAGCTAAGTAAAAGTCGAATATTGCCGAAGTAATTCCGGTGAACATGAATTCGAAGTTTCCTCCCAGAAACCTTTTTATTTTATTTATTATATGGAGGAGAACTATGAATTTGCCGACACTAGCATATAATAAATGTTTAATGTACAATTTTAAATTATGTGTCCCTTTTTTAGGGAAATAAATAGAAGGAGATTTAACCTCCTGAACCTCAGTGAAATAGAGTTTAAGAGTAGGTTTCGCCCGAGTAAATCAGCTTTTAAGTTTTTGTGCGCTGAACTTCACCAGAAAACAAGTATCAAATCTACCAAAAGGATCGGCTTAGAAGAAAAGGTATTCTATATATTATTTCTCTTATAACTGTTATCCTTTCATTGTAGGTTTTGTGTGCATTGTCCTTTTATGCCGCTGGATCATACCAAAGATTGGTCGGAGAAGGGAAATACTTAGGGCAAACAACCGTGAGTAAATATATAAGAGAAGTAACAGGATGCCCTGACAACTCCTGAATTAATTAGTTCCTTTATAAAGTTCCCAAAGACAAGGTCACAGAGGGACTTGATAAAAAATTAGTAATTGGTGGCAATATTTTTTACTTTATGATTTGTGCATTCTTACTAAAGTAAAGATTAGAAGTTATATATTGTTTATGTTATAGATTTTACACCAAATTTGGCATACCGGGGACAATTGGATGTGTTGATGGATCCCACTTTCATATATTTTCTCCTAACAGTGATATTGAACATCATTTTACTGTAGAAAACACTTCTAGTCTTATATGTACAAATGGTAATTTTTCAGGCTCATTTACTAAACATTTTAATTATAATTTTCTATCTAAATATATTTATTTCAGATCTGTGATAGTGATGATAGTGACGACACTATTACGGATACGAATCCTGAATGTGAATGCAAAGTATGGTGGAGCTACGCACGATGCAACAACACATGGGATGGGACAAAAGTGAGGCAAATAATTTTTTGCAAGAGCTACACAGAAACAATGGACAAGTTTGGTTATTAGGCAAAAATAAAATATGTATTTGTATTAGTGATTGAGAATATCATATTTAAAGCACAAAGTATAACTAGTATGCTATTTTTTCAGGTGGATATCCACAAAGGCCATGCTTCATGACACCTATACCTAATGAAACCATTGAAGGGAGTCCTGAAGCTCTTTACACAAGTGTCCACGAAAAGGCCAGGGTGGTGATTGAGAATACATTTGGGCGGCCTAAAAATAGGTGGCGTTGCCTCTGAGGTAGCTCTGCAAGAATGTGACGGAGACGATTTACTTCGGGGTAGAACTTTTAGAAATATGCTTATAGATAAAATTAGTCACCTCCATAATTTTTATTTCTTTTTTATTCTAAGTCTTTAAGTACATAGTATAACTTAATACTAATCATTTAATTTTACTTTACTTTTATTGTTATTTATAAATATTTTATGGATACAATAAAATTTTTCTTCTAGTATATAAGTTTTTATTCCGTATCACTGTGTTTGTGCAATAAAGAATATACATATAAATTATACATTTTTACTAGTACAATGAGACTAAATCATTTATAAGATCCCAAAGTATACAAGTATATATATATAGGTTTTATTAAATATAACAAGAATTGGATTAAATTTAGAACAACCACTATGGAATATCCAAAGGCAAGATTGGCAGCGCATCTCGTTTAGATGTTACATGACTAGGGTATTTCACCAACCATCAAGTGAGTCTAAATAACAAGATAATTAATTAATTAGACAAGAATGCATTATTATCAATACTACTAAATACTTTTATTCACTCCAATCATTTATTTTTGTCATCTACAAATATTTTTCAAACCTTTTATAATTTCTTTTGTTACCTCTAAGCCATTGAGCATGCAACAGAAGCTCTATTATGCTGCCGTAACTTTTCTCTCTCAAGTTCTACCACTAAACTAACAAGTTCTTTTTCAGACTACCTTGCTCTGGCCTCGGTTTCACCAAACAATTTTAAAATAATGCATTCTTGTCTTTTTTCGTTTTCTTCTTTGGAGGAGGCTTCCAAAAATAGAAGTTCGATCTGGAGGAACCACAGTGGGTTGCTGACTGCTTCCAGGAATGTTCCAATCTTCTGCAAATATTGGGTGTAATATGTGTTAAGAAATAATAAAATTAGATATTTATACATGTAGAGAACACAATTTACCTCCTGTAACTGCATATTATCAGTCAAAAATTCCGTAACTTGTTCTTCGCTATTTTTTATTTCTCGGTTGTTGTCCTGTAATATAGGAATAATTTAAAAAAGTATAAAATTTTCACATGTTGCATATTGCACATGATGGCATTATATAAATTGAAAGCTATTGAGAAAAAGGAGTACATGTGTACTCCTTCTTTTTCTCAATAGCTTTCAACGAAAGTTGTGGTTTTGTATGTACAAAACCACAACTTTCCAAAAATCCAGCTTCAGCTACTGCCGCCAGAACTCCAATTATCTGCATCATTCGATTTTATAAATCTGTTAGAGATAATAGAATGGCAGGCCCACCACCATTTGCTTGAGCAGCCTTATTAATCACTCCAAACCTTTATGAATAAATATAAAAGTAATATGCACACAGCTGATATATAATATTAGTTAAAGTGTTTTTATTTAAATCATTCTTATAATAATATGTGAATTACAATTAAAAATGTTATTATAAGTATTAATCGGGTTTATTTTGTATAACTGATGTAACTTATTTTTCTAATTTTATTTTATATCATTCTTATAATAATGTGTGAATTACAATTTTAAAATCTGTTTGTATTTCATAATTGGCGCCGTCTATGTTCAACAGCTCGAGAGCCAATAGCAAAGGAGACACATATTAAGTCTATAAGTTGGTCTACTGTGTCCACTGCTACCAACATTGTAATCTATTGTCACCAAAATAAATGGTTAATCAAATAATCACACTCGGAAAAAAAACAGGAATCTGTCTCATTATTTATAAATTTGTATAATTATGTAACTAATAAAAATCAATACGAACAAAGTATTAACCAGCGGTGATAACAAAGAACTGAGTCGACGGGCCCGCCTCCAAACATCCAATTTTCTCAAGAGTCGGGACCACAACATCATCCCAGTTGCGACAAAAGACATCTTACAGCATAGTTTAATCACCCGCCCCCCCCCCCCTTCCCAGAGCCAAAATACAACGGTTAAATGTTGATATCCAAGACGAAGACACTTGAACATATTTTTAATTATGATGATTGGCAACATTGCAAAACCATAGTATCAAAATAATAGATCATTCAATAAATATACAATTTATAAAAATAAACAGATTAAACAATTTACGAAACTCACAGACAAAACTAACTTGTATAAACGTCATGACTATCAAAGTCAATGTCAAAATTTAGTTGTCAATCTATCAAAAGTCAATTTAGATGAAAACACCGTTCAAGTACTAAACAAAGGACTAAATTTTGCTCAGACAGACTGGATTGTGATTGTGGCCTATCCTACATCGGCCAAACAAAGCGTAGCATTTTAAACAGAATTAAAGAACACGTCGCACACTCTCCAAATCTGCGGTATGTTGGCATACCGCATTTATTTTGGTGACAATAGATTACAATGTTGGTAGCAGTGGACACAGTAGACCAACTTATAGACTTAATATGTGTCTCCTTTGCTATTGGCTCTCGAGCTGTTGAACATAGACGGCGCAAATTATGAGTATCTTGGCGCTTCCAACTATGTCCTTTTTTGGCGCCATTCGCCATTGCTATTATAATATCAAATAGAGCATTTAATAAATATACAACCGTTCAAGTCCTAAACAAAGGCCTAAATTTTGCTCCGGCGCCGCGAAAAATACTTTGCGAAGAGATAATCAGCTACGTCGAGGAAAGCATCTTCAAAAATGTCATCTCTAAGGAAGATGCGGAAGCAATACGGCAGGATATATCCTGTATCCAACGCTCCAGCAAGCCGCCTAAACTTCCCTAGCGGAGTCGACTGCTCTCAAACAATTAAGTGTACTACTTTCTTTAACAGACAATACTCAACCTACTTTCTGGTTCTGATCCTCGCTAATCCGCTTCCTTCAGTCGCAATTTTATTGTTTCACGACATATGTCGCTCGTACGTGACGGAGGTCACCAACGACGGTCCGAACATTTCCCAATCCACCAAAGCAGGCCATTATAGAAATAAGACGGTTTTACGAGCGTCGTGTAGATTCCGCTGTCGTGCCGCTGATCAACCGCGTGGCGAATGTTAAATGTTATTTCGCGTCCCCAAACGAATGCAAATCGTAAAACACGTGTTTATATCATGTAAGTTAGGATCACGAATGGAATGTGAAATTTCGTTGACAGTTAGGTATAGAGCAGACATATTTGTATGTCTTTTTGATCGATTATATTTTTTTTAAACCACTACAATTATGGGTTTAAGTCGGGCCGCAGTGAGAATAAATTTCAAATAAATTTAACTGTAATATATATTGCGTTTTAAAGCGTTAAATGTGTACACAGAATTTAATGATATCTTTTTTTTACTAAAAAAGGAGGATAGAGAAGCATGGGTTTCACTCGATGGTAGGTGATACATCTGAAAACGATGCGCTGTCGGCTTATTCTGGCGTGTCAGGCAATGTAATCGGAAGTTTGCAACCATGTTTGTAACAATTATATCCGGGTCTTCAAATCTAGAACCGTTCGCGATAAACAAATGGCGACGTTTTGATTGCAGCAGCCTTCGCCACGAAGGGAAAAAAGTTTACTAATATATTTCGGGTTTTAAACTGTTAAAATTATTTTCTATAAATGTGTACTATTCGCACGAACTACAGACAATTCTTAAAGGTTATTTTTTTTTAATTACGGAGGGCATCAAACAAAGTATAGAGAGCGGGATCTTATAAACAATGAAATTTTCCGAAATAATAAACGCAAAACCATTGCACACGGCCTTTTTTCTTCAATTTAATTAATATGACACGGGTTTTATTACGCCAAGTGTTGTACGATGTGTGGGAAATGTCAAAAAGTAAATCGTGGCTGTGGAAAACCTAATTAGATTTCATACGCTCAGTCGACTGGTGTAAAGGAAATCTGAGTAACGTAAAAATTTGTTTCAACCTTTTTTGCAAGGATTGTGATCTCGTTTTATCGAGCGTGAAGCAAAGATATTTTGCAAAATACTCGAATTAATGCAGATACGTGTATTTCATTTAACAAATTATATATACTTAAGCAATTTTAACCCGGATAGTTTTTTAATGTTTATAAATTGTTTTTTTTTCTGCATATGTGTATAACGAGACAGTAAATGAGGAACTAATCAAGGCAGACAGCTTTTTATCTGCGGTTTTATGTCAAAATACAAAAGATGAAAAAATATCTTTTTCTTTGTAATTTAGTTCATTAAGATGAGACTTAGGGAATATTCAATTTTATGTAATAGTGGAAAATTTTGAGATACTTCAGGCATTTACGATAGTTTTGTAATGTATTAAAGATCGTTCTTAAATGATTGTAATACTAACAACTACTATGCCAATAGTCTAAAAAAATATAGGATTTTTATCTTAGCATATTAGTCTTTACGTAACGACGAAATCAAAAAAAAAGATGGCGGCTTTAACGTGTGAAACCTAAATGTATAACCATGTATTTGTTTATAACCAGTTATTATAATTGAATCTTTTTTGACAAGCCGGTGACACAGTACCTATTACACCAATACAATTCTTACTTAGCTGATATGTAAAAAAAATATAATAGTAGGTATGGTCTGGATTAATTCGGGCGGTCACTGTAATTGCGCTTGTAAGGTTGCAAAAAGTGAAAGTGACGTCACAGCCAACAAGTATTTCGAGTTTCAAAATGGGGTTTGTCGAGCACTCCGATGCACTTCCCGGCTTCTTTTGCAGCAATCGTTTATTACGTGAAGGATATTATCTAATGTAACGCTCTTTACATAATTACGCGAGAGTTACAAGATGAAATTAAGAGGAACGAGAGTTATGATTTGTCTAGATGGAATTTATCTATATCAATATATAAAGCTGAAGAGTTTATTTGTTTGAACGCGCTAGTCTCATAGCTAAAAGACATCACGCTGTGACTAAAGTGAGCGGAGTAACCGCGGGAAATGAGAAAAAATCCGGGAAAATTAATCATCTTTGTGGTCGGAGCGAACGCTGCGAAAACGGTTAAAGATACCCAAACATATCTATGACAGACTGATCCTTCTTTAAATGATATAAAAAAAATATTTAGATTGAAAAAAGACGCTATCTAAAGAAGATAATCTGAAAAGATAGACGCTATATGGTAAAATAACTATTCTTCGCTGACATAGCTGGTATTTGAGATGATAGAGGATAGAAAAGCATGGTTCACTCGATGGAAGATGGAATACCCGAACCATATAACTTCGCAACGAATACGCTGTGATGTTGGATATTCGGAAAACCACAGACCGACACCGAAACGCGATTAAAGTTCATGGCTTCTACTTTGAAACCGAAATGGGCCAAGGAGTCTATCAAAATGTATGCAATGAACTATTATTTAACAGACTGCGGTAGAAAAGCAAAAAAATGCGGATACCCATGCGCAGAAGCGAGTAGTCTAATGACAGAGTTATAGAATTCTCACAGTGATGTTATTAGACTGTAGTAATGTAATGTAATGTTTACGTAACAGCCACTGAATTGTGTCTGCTAAACCAGATATGCTGTTGTTAGGAAATGTGCCTAAATATACGTGGATGCTTGGACTTTCAAATCTATACTAAACTAAACATTCATGTATGACATTATCTATATCTATACTAATATTATAAATGCGAAAGTAACTCTGTCTGTTTGTCCGGTTTTAACTCCGAAACTACTGAACTGATTAAAATGAAATTTGGTACACAAATGTTTTAGAGCTTGAGAAAGGACATAGGCTACTAAGAAAAAAAATGGTTGATATTTGTTGAAAAGGGGGATGAAAGTTTGTTACGAAAGTCGTGGTTTTTGAAGCTAGAACTATGAAACTTTCTTCTTTGGCTTTTTGGGAATAGGAGTGGGAGTGCGAATGTTGCGGCAAAGTAGCACTTACAACATAGATTGGCTACGATAAATGGGCAATTACATAAATTAATAAACAGCCTAAATAATTAAAAATTCTACCCCAAGTCACTATTCCATGTGGACGAAGTCGCGGGCACAGCTAGAAAAAAATATATATAAATATTTCGCTTTCAATGATGCTTGTCGTTAAATTATATATATGTCTGTGATTGGCAGTGACTGTATGTACTTTGATCTACGAAATAATCAAAGCACTTTCCTGATTAATGTAAGAGTTTAAGCTAAGCGCAAATTTTGTTTCCACGTTTGAGGCAGCTGGGCGCCAAGGAGGAACTCGATAATACATGTTAATTATGTTAGGTACATATAATAAATAACTATGTCCCTATTTTTATTTAATCTAAATGGGTTTTTATTTTATATTCCATCATGTAATATTTGAACTATGTTAAAAGTTTTAAAAATACTTAACTTATAAAAACAATAACACTTGTGCATTCATTCACTTATTCTTCAGATGGGCCGTATTCCCACGCCAGCTTGGTGTGACTATAACTGAAGTAATCTTTTGCTAGGTAAAAATTATCATTACGTAAATACTAAATACTATCTTACCTTACCTGGCAAGCTAAGATGTTATAGAGACGGACAGTACGTTATTTAAATGTCAGGATGCGCTATAACCCATGGGCCATCAAATACAAAATGAATATTGTATTATAAATCGGTACACTTCTGAAAGATACAAACAGTTTTTCTGTTGATTATACAGGCGGGATTCAAACCCGGGACAGACGGTCTAGCGTTTAGTTTTACAAGGACATGATAAAAAAACTGACTGTTATATATGAGAAGATGGTTTAACCCATACGCCAAAGAAAGAGAGAGGGATGAAAAACAATTAAATTACTAAAACCATATCAAACAAATATACAATCTCTTCAGCCAGCATAACATGAGTGTAGTATTTATTATTTTACAATCTACGGCCACTAGCCGTTGCCCAGTTTATCAAGTTGAACTTATGTTCATCTAGATGGCGAAAGCACGATGAAATCTGATTCTTGAGTATGTGTTACAACGTTGCAAAATTAATTGTCAAATGTTTCGTAGTAATAGGATTTGTTATTCTATTGAATCCTATCGTGAGCTAAGTAAGTGTCTGCTAGAATTATTATGAATGAAAAGGTAGTTTGTTATAAAAGGAGACAGACAATATTCGGAACGCGATGTTAATGACTTTACGGCTGTTTCACCTGTGAATACTTCTACCTTCCCTTTAACATCCATATTTCCAGCCTTCTTCTAATTGCAATATGTTACAGAAAGATCAAACACTTGTAGTCGCTGGGGACCGAATCCACGACCCGTTATCCCAACCATTAGACCAACGAGCACGTAATTTATTGTATTTTGTATAGACTCGTTTTGGTGTTCAACTGACATTTTTGACTGAGTAACGTTATTCTTAATAATTGCGTTTGAAGTGGCGTATTTAAACGAACCTATCTAGTTCTTATCTAGATTAGCGACTTTCTAAAAGTAACTTTTAAGTTCTTAGTAAGAATACTAGCAAAATACTAGTAGATTTTTTTTTAGATATACATAATCATAATTTTTGATTTTGATTATGTGGCATATTTTTTTTTTTTTAAGATTTTGAATTAACTTGTTTTTAATATTCTTAAGTCAACTTTCTATTTAAGGTAAATTTTAAGTTCTTTCTGTATAAATTAAACTAATACTGTAAATCACTACTAGAATAAAATAATTTGGATGTACATAATCTTTTTTTATTATTGTTTTGTTTTATTATTTAAATAATATATATTTTTTATATTCCTCTCTTAAACTGCATAATGTCAAACTGTTCTCAACCACAACGCCAGTACTCAGCCGTGAAGGTTAAAACTAACTTCTTTAAAATTACATTTTTAATCGTAATCTTTATAGAATTTAATTTAATACATGCAAAGACCTCCTTAAAATGTCTTTATCGTGTATATATATTTTTATGTAGTATGTTGTCTAAATGAAAATACACGGGTGGGACTTAAACCGAACCATTGATAGATGCAACTCTTGCGCAATGTTACCTTAAAATTTTAGTGAGAAATTCAAGTACTGCCATCCTTTTACAATTGAATAGGACACACTTGGGTTAGTAATAGCCATTTGTGTTAGGGTGTTAGTATATTGTGTATGCAGGAAGCTGTTTCTTTTTATAGTTATTGCTTTCGCATAGCAAATAAACATCGCATTAGCTTAAATATTCAATATTATTCTAGTAACAGTTCCTAAGTTGTGTCATTTGATTCAAAGAGACTTAGCTTTCCACTTCTGCATTTTTAAGTAAGGACGGTACTACCAGTGTAAACATCCAATGGAGATTTCCAGACGATTGCACGATATCCTTTTCGAGAACACTTTAATAGCGACATGAAACACTATCCACAATCGAGTACCGTTTACCCCACCTGGTTGCACCCCACCAAAAGACGAAGGCACCTTTCTTCACCAACAGCAATACAACGCGGGCCTTTCTAAAACGGCCGGGTAACCAGCCTAGTAGGGATGAACCAAGGGGCAGTATTATGCAACAGTTGGACCCGAGAGAGCCATATATAAGCCTGGCTAAGAACTGATCGAGTATACAGCTACCGAGTGTCAGCAGACCAAGTGTTAATCAGTCCAGCACAACACGCAAGATGTACGCGAAACTCGCCGTAAGTTTCGCGTCATAACATCTGTAATACCTATTTTTATTGTGCCATGGTTTTGTAATCTAATTACAATCTGGAATCGGAGAATTCCATCTCCGGATGCCCCGCGTTGTGTGCGTTCATTCCAGGATCTAATAGAATCTAAATAATATTCTGGATTGTTACAGCTCGTCGCTTTCTTTGTCGCCGCTGCTTTAGCAGTACCAACACCTGGAGGATTCGGCGGCGGACAGTAAGTAGTACCACTTTTTTTAATTTCCAATATTTTGGCCAGTTTAGAACTGAGTTGTTATATATCTATCTGCTAAATATGTTTCTTTGTTCTTGGCACAAGGCAAACAAAAAAAATAATAATATGTAAATAAAAAAAGAAGATAATTATTATAGTGCAATGTTGAATCTTGCCTACTACATAATATATGCTATTGAAAAAAGCTTGTTAAAAATTTCCATTAATGGCCTGAAATTTGCATTTTTTGTCTTTAGTTTACGTGAATAACACATATTAAAAAAAAAAACACTTTTAATGGTTCAATTCGCAAAAAAGTAAAAAAATGTTAACTAGTTACTAGTTAGCAGCAGTGAGCCCCTATGAGAGTGCCCCCGTGAGACCACGGCTGTTGCAAAGCCTCCGAAACGTCGGTGTCGTAGGTTTAACTAATTCGCGTCTAAAACCGTTGAAAGCGTTTTATTTAAATTTGGCTTTGTACTGATATATCATTTGAAGATTTAATTGCATATCGTTTATGCACTGTTTACTGCGCAATTCATTTTGGACACATCTGTAATCATTTCGCGTTTTTGTATATTATACAATAGTTATGAAATTATACACTTTTGAGTTGTCGCACCACGAAATTTTATAATTGTTTAAGAAATACTATCTATTACAATGTGATTTTAATTTTTCGTTAACGTCACTATATAAAATAAAAGCCTATTTAGATTGACAAACGATACGGGCGGGAATGGAACTGACATCTTAACGGTTCGCACTAACCAATTGACCGACCGTGTCTTTACTTACGTGACAGAGAATTAACATTCGAAGATCATCTATACCAATGTATAAAGCTGAAGAGTTTGTTTGTTCGAACGCGCTAATCTCAGGAACTACTGGTTCGAATTGAACAATTCTCTTTGTGTTGGTTAGAGAATTATTGAGGAGGGTATACTACTAAACATCGGTACGACTATTAGGAGCGAGGAAATGTGGGAAAAACTGAGAAAATTATTCATCTTTGTGGGTTTCCGCTGTGAAAACAGTTTAAGACGCCCAAAAAATATGTATGAAAGAATGATTTCTGTTTGGATGACCTAAAACACCAATTAGGCCATCTTACTAGTTAACAGTTACGGATAAGTGAGCTCAACTCGTTTCACATGCAATAATTGATCTGCATAACCCTAGTGAAAGGCTGTGGCTGTGCTTTCGACTCGGGCTTTGTTTATTAATGCCGGGTAGCCCCTTTCCGAACTTATGTAACGATAAATGCTGAGAATTCTGATTAAACGCCAAACATTATAGAATGTTAAATAACGACGCGTTAGGATTCGATTACGGTAACTTTGCGAGTGTGTGTTACGATAAACATGTTTGTGTTAACATTTAGTGTTGCAAATTTAAACTGGCCAAATACCGACGACGAAACAGACGGCGCTAGCGTAGCAGTTTTTTACTGTGACATCAGAGACGCCCTTTAGTCTCCCCGTGACCACGCCTGCTGCAAAGCAAGTTATATTAATTATTATATCGCGTTTTAAACCGTTAACATGTTTTATTTAAATATGTACGCGTAAACTACGGACAGGTTATTTAAATTAAACTGTTATTAACAATTATAAAGTCAAAATAAAATCAAATTTCACCCTTACTTCAAAGCCACAATACGACGTTTAGATGTTATATACATTTATAAAGCACCTTGCTGAAACTAATGCCTGTCTACCCCACTCAAACATAAAAAGCAAATAATATTTACCATGAATGAATTGCCTATCACTATAAGAGAAATATTGGGTTCGAATCCCGAGGAAACATTTTTTTTACGTACGTTTGTAAGCACGCTCTCTTTATATGCCCCATTCTTCGTGATGGGGCAATGGGATTTCACAAGATTTAAACTATGCTATGGTTTATGTAAGGCCTATATCTCTTAAAGAAAATAACATATTTGTTGCGTAAGATGACATTTCTAGAGCAGAAAAAATTACATACAATTCTATCGTCACGTAAGTATCACGTCAGTTGAATATGGTTATCAAGTTTATAATGATGCTCTACTTAAGTATACAATAACAACAGATCTTCAAACAAAACATTCACTCTTACGTAACTTGTCCTACAAGTGATTGATTGATTGAGTATTAATAACATGTGTTATTGATACATCAAAACATTACATTCACTTTTGAGTTCGCCATTGGCTAAAAAAATTAAGCTATAATCGACTAGCTGTGTCAGCGACTTCCGCGTATAATAGTTATTTTGAGTATCCAAATTGTGCTAACATTCTTCATCTTTATACATTTAAGCTGTTAACCACGATATCGGTCCGTCGTTCCTGCAAGCTAACCTTAAAAGATAAACATATAGTGTCGCGGACACTTTTTTAAGAGAGGAATCATTCTTTCATACATATTTTTGTGTATCATGAACCATGTTTCTTCCACATGTCCCACTGTATCTTCGCTCCTATTAGTCGCATCGTGATGTTATAGCCTAAAGCCGTCCAGTCATCGCCGCCAAATGTAGAATCACATCATAAGCTTTGAAATCGCGCGGAAACTAAGTTCACTCACTAAAAGACTCGTAAACGATATACTAGCTATAAATTGGAATTGAAAGAAATGTTTATTATGTTTTACGAACATCGAGTTAAAGACTCTGTATAGTATTTGTATAATATGTCATACGTTTATGGCTAATAATCAACGGGTCGTGGATTCGACTTCCACCAGGTCAATCGCGGTAAAGTTGAATCGCGTTTCGGTCTGCTTATTTCCGAATATCCTAAGTCAACAGTTAAGATGTGATGATATGTGGCTGGGGTATTTCATCTACCGACGAGTGATTCTCGTGCTTATCTCTCGTTCATTAAATATAATTGCGTAATACAAAACTACCGGTGAATGCGAATCGCTTTCACTAATGATCTGAACTAATGGACAATTTTCTTGTGCGAAGCCAGAATTACTTCACTTCATGTGACTGTGTCGTGTGTCCTAGTTTTCCATCGATAGTATTGCTATACATGTAAGATGTGCCTTATAAATTGAAATATTCTTAGTAGGTACCGTTAAAAAGACTATAATGCAAAAAATCGACATCTTGTAATTGTGTACCAATTATTTATTAGGTATTAGTATTTTCTTAGCAATTTGTGCAATGTGTCTATGAAAAATGTATTATGAGAGTCTCCCTCTTAAAAACGACTGCTGCAAACCATCCAACCGTAGTTAAAAATAAGTTTAGTTATATAATTTGCGTTTTAAACCGTTAAAAGTGTTTCACATCAATGTGTTATAGTTGTAGTCATTCCATTGTCCTGTTCTCGTTTCCATTGTTTTTACCTTCTAAAAGTCGTGTTTCTTTCTTTCTTTCTTTCCAGCAAGCACGTAACCATCCACGTACCCTACAAGGTGCACACCATCCACCACCACCACGTCTCCAAAGTCCACGTGCCAGTACATGTCCCAGTGGTAAAAGAGGTGCCGGTGATCAAGGAAGTGCCAATCTTCAAGCACGTACCAGTCCCGGTAATCCAGCACGTGCCGTACCCGGTGTACAAGAAGGAGATCGTGGAGAAGGAGGTTATAGTGCCTGTTCATCATCATGAGGAGCACATCTCTCACGGGTGGGAGGGCGAATCGTTGTCGCATGGCTGGAACTGATCGGACTCTCTATAGTAGTGTTAAGGTTGGTTCTAGAAGCTTTTTAGTTCAATTAATTTACACTTGTCTTCTGAAACCAGTGCAAACCAAAAATATATGTTGCTCAATATAAATTAGTGAATTCTAGATCACGAATAGTGCACAGATGAAAAAGCCATCGTAATTGTTGCCGAGTTCAAAGAGTTTACTTTTCAATACGTCTTGGTTTATAGTTTGCATTAAAAATAAATACTAACTAAATGGGTTTTTAAAAGCAGATGGTTAGGTTATTTGATCTTTGTATAGTTTGTCGTTCACCCGATTAAAAAACAATATAAATGAGATTTAAATAAAACACTTTAACGGTTTAAAACGCGATATATTAGTTAAACTTATTTGAAAATGATTTTTACCTTCGGCCCGACGTTTCGGATGCTTTGCAGCAGCCGTGGTCACGGGGAGACTCCGTGACCACGGCTGCAACGGCAAGTGTTTTATTTAAATGTGTACTACTCGCGTAAACTATAGACAGTATCTAATATAAATGAGTTCAACTATGGTTGGCGCCTGTCTCACAAAATTAATTATTGTTTTAAGTGTTGAGCATTCATATCATTCTTTTCTTTTTCAGGTAATTTTAGGTGACATCTTCATTGTAAATATACATAGTCATTATCCTTCTGTCAACGTGTCAAATGTTTGATGTATTAAATTGTTATATAGAGGGAGTTTCAAAGAAGTGCCAACTTTTTGTGTCAAATTTTATAGGATTTTAAGACATATTTCCGTAATACGTTAGCGTTTGTATAGCGGCATCCAATGGCAAAAGAAATGTGTAAATAAACCTTCCATTTTATAGTTTACATGTACAGGATTGTAAATTCATAAAAAATGTTAATGTAGCGTCTATGTAACAAATTAATATGTTGTCAAAACTCCAGGTTTACCTTTGTATATAGTAACCAAAGAAAATAAACGATGAATGTTTGGTTTTATATATATTTTGTTTCCTTTTTTATAAACCTTTTACTAGATGGAAAGATTTTTTCCGAATTTCGGCTAAACAAGTGTTACGTACTTGTTAGTAAAGGGTATCTAAATAAATAATATTTCGACACCGCTTACTACTCCATAATGAGTACGTTAGTTTCAAACAATCATCTTCTACTCCTGGCTAACAGTTGTGTTAGGAGGTAGTTGAATTATTTGACGGACTCGTTGTTATGGTAGCAATGTATGTCTAATAAACAACCAGTCGTGGGCTCAACCTCCACCAACGTGTTTCTCATCAGATAATATACTGTTTTGAAACACGGTGGACTTCCGAAATCCGGGCTAAGTGGGTGGTAATTTTTGTTATTCCTAACAAAAATTGTGTCTAGGTCACGAACACTGATGAAAAACGATTCTTTTTTTATTCTATGGATTTCAGAATATCCAAAATAAAGTAGATTAACAGCGCAACTTGCTGAGATGTTTTATAACTGGGGTATTTCGCCCCCATGCATTTCTACCCTCCTTTATCATAAAAAAATAAAGGTGAAGCAAAAAGTAGCTTTAACATTTTACAAAATATCAGAATATCTGCATGTGTTTTCATAGAAAGACGGTTTCTTTACCGGTTTAATTATTGTAAAATAAAATTATAATGTAAAAGAAGTTAAATAAAATAAATAAATAAAAAATAAATAGCGCATATTAAAATATTTTCAAAACTATGAACTAAATTTTTTCCGTTCCCGGTTCCCTAATCGAAAGTTTAAAAACGGCTTCCTTACTAAGACTCGGTCATGTGTTTGTCTGTCTATGGAATATATTTCGAAGAACCGCAGTAGCTATTGAGTTGTAATTTTTCCAAATTATGTTTCTGTTGCTATAACAAATGATAACACACTGAATAAAATTTATATTCAAGGTACAAAGTTGACTAAAATTAGATAGTACTAAAATCACTACATAACGTCAATTTGATTAAGACTATCGTTTCCCCAATTCTCTTATGAAATGGCATATCAGTTCATACGAAGTAAACGTCAATATGTTCGTCGACAACGCTTTGCATATCGTGACCCGTAGTCCTCGATACAGGCCCGTAAAGCCCTCTGCTTTGACCGTGTCCGCGATGCACTGGAAGAGGTGTGTGCATTTGACCAGATTCCTGGATGTAGTCGGGGTGAAGAACTTGTCCTCCGTCTTGTGACTCTGAAAGAGAAATTTTATTTAAAATTTCAATATATAAAGTAAACGGATGCTTGAATGAAGCTTGTCAATATGACTAGAATTAAATCTAGTACATTTAGTGGAAAAGTACTATTTGTTAGTACAGAGTAAGAACGAATACTTCTATTGACTTTAGGTAATTTGTAAGAAACAAAAAAGTTTAAATACACGAGATCAGTACACGTTTACATAAAATCTTTTTGGCAGTTTTCAACGAATTGACGCAGCCTCATGGAACTACTCCACGGTCCATCGCGAGCGGACAGCATCATCAGAAGATGTTAACTCCTCGATTGCTCGAAGAATTATTTATTATTTATATGTTATATCTACTCGCTTACGTCAGCCGAACAGGCCGAAAAACAGTGATAAGCTGAACTATAGCCTTACACAATTTATTAAAAGTATTTGATTAAATGTGTATTACTTGAGCTGATACTTAAGTTTAGTAAACGTTTTAGACACCTTAATTATTTATGTTGCCTTAATATTTAATGATTAAGGAACCAAACGGAAGTCTATAAGAACTGGGGCAGTTCTCGTAGCGGATTATATAAAGCGATGGTGTTGCCGGCAGCGCGACATGGGCCTAGACATAACTTAGACGTAAAATGTTACCAGGTAATGTCTGTCCAATACCACTAATAGCGTTGTAGATTGATCGCTTCCCTATTACATAAACTGGCAACATTAGTATTACTTGTATTAACCGGTTTAATTTTTTTAAAGTTTTAAATACAGAATGTATTTTATCGACTTGGTCTAATGGTGGCAATGTATGGCTATTAATTAAAGAGTTCTGAGTTCAATCCCCACGGCTTCCACTTATAATTTACAAAGCTGAATAGTTTGTTCGTTGGAACGGGCTAATCTCGAGAAGTACTGATTCAAATTGAAAAATTAATTTTTTGTCGGTAGAAACCATGAACATTGTGAAAAACGGAAGAAGCATTCTTCCGTTTTTTGAGGGCTTCGCATTCGAAATGCGAATAAGCTTCACGGCTTTTTCATCTGTGGACGGCGGTTCGTGACCCGGACGAAATTTCTATATTCCTACCACCCACTTAATATCCAGGTTTCCAGACGAAGTCCAACAGTAAAGAATTATTTTAACTACGGCCCGACGCTTCGGATGCTTTGCAGCAGCCGTGGTCTCGGGAAGACTTAAGATGGAGGGTGTCTCTGACAAAGTGTTTTATTTAAATATGTATGTATTAGGCGCGTAAACTACAGACAATATTTATTTGTAGTTACCGCAATTTGTAATCTTCTTTTCGCTAAATCAAATGGATACATTGCCACTTTGGACACGAATCCGGATACAAGCGCAGCTATAGAGCTTGCCAAGACGAGGTGTTCCGGTTTCTGAGAAGTGACTTTAGTGTGGTCGCAGTCCTCGGTACACGAGTCCAAGTGGTCAAGGACTATGGGCTGAATGAAACTGAACACCGAAAAAGTTATTCCCACTTGCGGTCCCAGCTGTAGAGAGAATATTAAACAGAATTTAAAGTAATTAAACTCATTCTTCAATAATTATTTTGACGAGTTCTTTGTCTGTATTGAAAGGGTGGGTTCGATCCCAACGTGGCCTAACATGTCTTTAATCTGTACTAATGTGTAAAGCTGAAGAGTTTGTTTGCTTAAACGCGATAATCTTAGGAACAACTGAATTGAATTTAAAAATTCTGAACATTTATCGAAAAAGGCTTTAAGGTATAAAACATTGAAGAAATAGTGGGAATTGTTAAAAAACCGGGGAAAATTATTCGTCTGTTTATCGTAATATTCTATGCGGACGAAGTCGCCGACACAGTCGCCGACTAGTCACTTTATAATTATAATGACGCGTGGACCTCATTTGAAATCTGGATTTTCAATGGGTGGTAGGAATATCGAAATTCTGTCGGGATGATGAAAGCCAAGTTGTCAGCGCAACATTTCGATGTTATATGTATGTGTATGGGGTATTCACCTTCCATCAAATTAACTTGTGCTTGACTTGCCTCCTCTATCATAAAAAATCCTTTAGTAAGCTAACGGATTAGCACCGAGTATTTCAGATTACCATTAAGACTCCAGCCGCCCAACCCTCGTAGAACGCCAGCAACCCTCCCGACCTGTACACGGCCCTTGCTCCATTAAAAAGTCCCTTGTATTGTTCTTGCACTATCATCTGCCGGACTCTTATCACTTCTAAGGGCGTCACGAGAGTAGCACTACACGAGCCAGCACATATCCCGCACAGAAATTCTAGAATGTTCCTGAAATCAAAAGCTCCACTCCGTACGATAGTGTTTACACGCTTAAAGTGTATTTTTCTTAAATATGGACGATTTCAAACCGTAGAACCTAAAAATGACCTTTTATAGAGTGTTGTTGATACCACAGATAACATAGGGATAAAGAATTGAGCCTTGGCGGCCTTTTTCAAATTTTTTTACGTGCCATTATTATTTAACGAAACGACGACGGAAAAGATGGCTTTAGCTTTTTTTTACTTTGACGTCAGAGACATCCTCCATCTTTAGTCTTCCCGTGACCACGGCTGCTGCAAAGCATGCGAAATGTCGGGCCGAAGTTAAAAAGTACTACTCGTGTAAACTATAGACAGTATTTAATGTAAACCTTGTGAGAAAAATTATGATGTCATGTAAATTGTATATTTCTTTTCTAAAAATCACTATCTTTGCAATTTGTATAATGTAAGTATGAAAAAGAAACTCCTGAAATATTCTTTGAGCAAAATAGTTAGAAGCAAAATTTGCTCATGGAAATATTGATTGGCTTGAAAGATTTAAAAGTTTGCTTTAGGTGTATCAGGATGTATAATATGAAATTCTTACCTATATTTAGGGTCGACGGAAGATTGAAATGCATATTTTGTTGTAAGTTCATACACATAAAATTGACTGCTTGTTGAAAGTATGGAGTGCACCTGAAAAATAATAATAAATGGTCAAGGGGAAAATAAACTTATTTTAAATTTATTTTCCATGCATTCGAATTGTCGAAATTAAAAACTAATATTTCGCGTTTTATACCGTTAACTTTGAATTAAAAGGTTAATAATAGTAAGAGTCCCAATATAATAAAATGTAAACCACTTTTTTACTCTTTAATAGTATTTCCTTGGTCCTTAAAAAACGGAAAATATAAGATAAGTTTAGTTAGTTTTATTCATAAAACTAACCCCTAATAGGGTATTATTTGCAATGTTTGAAAGCAATAGTTATCACTTTGAAAGCGTGTGTGTGTGTAACATGTGAAAATATTAAAGTTTTCAAATTGCAACACGTTACTTGACCGAGGTTATGTCCGTGCCAAAACGCTAAGAAGCCTTCTTCGTACAATATTTTCCTGCCCGTTTCAATCAGGGTCCTCTGCCTCTTCTTCCTCTTTTCAAGTTGGGTCCTGATCTTCAATACGTCCAAAGGTTGTGTTAGGAAACGCGAGAACGCACCAGATAAGCAACCGGCTATAATTTTTTGGTGTGGCGACATCTCGTCGTCGATTCTGTAACCCACCATTTTTGGTTCATACTTTCGACGAATTTATGCCTTCGACGAGGCATGGTTCTTGTTTACCATGTCTTTCTAGACACTTGCCAGATGCGACGCAACCTGACGGAGGGTGACAGAGGAACGTGCAACCTCCTTGGATTGAAGGAACGTAGATACAATATCGAATTAATTTGTTGCGTCTGACAATTTAAATACGAGATTCGATATTTGCGTAGAGCTTGTCGAATTTATAGATAAATATAGTTTTGATTTCAATGTGGTAAAAGTTAAAAATCTTTTTAAGTTGAAATGAATTTACGATGCGGTCAGGGTTTGAACCGGCATCCGCAGTTCTGTGCTGTTGCTCTAGCCGACCGAGCTACGTGCCTGTTTGTTACTTTTTTACAATACAAGTACCTACTGCAGGCTACAAAATATATCGCTACGTTGTAAATTATAGTGTGTGTAGTTTATATTCAATAAGTGACGTCACATAACCAAATAAAAGCCACATCAAGTAACGATGTATACAAATAGCGAAGTTAACATTGTTCTATACATTAATCGACCGGATTCGGCGTATAATTGGCTATTGTTCTAGGCACACTTCTTGGGGACAGACGCGAAATTGCCGCTCAATTATTCATAAATATCATCGCTGGCCGGTGGCGAGTGTTTCTACATTTTTTTGATTAGGTGAGTCGCGTTATCAAATTAATTTGAAATCTTATCAGTCGTTTGTTTGTATTGAAAGAGCGCGCGCGTTTTCCACAAGTTCACAAAAATATTTTATAAGTTTTATGCGTAGTGAATTCAATAAAATAACTAGGTAGGTACTTTTTTACTCAGTGTTACGTTTTTCACATATGACAGTAACGAGATACTTATTGTATTAACCCGGTTAGTATTGACGGCTTCAGGCCAAAATACATAAGTCAAGTTAAAACAAGCCTTATTGTATTCGCATTTGTAAACATCAGATGTCCTTAGTTTAAATCACGGAAAAACATGAAAAGCAACAATGGGAAATGCAGAAATATACCAAAAATTTACATGCTTCATAGTTAGTAGGGCATTTAATAGCCTATTTCTTTTACAGCGCGATTTGAACCTACGGCCTTGGGTTTAGCGCTATCACAAGTGTTATTGATAGCTTCAGAGGCTTTCTAACGATTTTTATTGAATTCACAGATTGAGTTTACATGTGTGATCTACGCGATACAGGATGTCACACGCAACATCTGATGAAAACTCAAACAAAGATAGTAACGGAACAGTCAAGGTAGAATATATTATATTTTTATGAATATAGAAAAAAGCAACTAGTTTTCTCCAGTTGTAACCGTGTTTTGTTACATGCTTGAACTGACCTAAGTTACTTTTTATAAATGACATGCAGATCTTTAATAATAAGACCGATACAAGTGAAAATATAACAAATTCGGCCAAGTGTGAGTCGAATTGTCCACTTACCATAGACTAAGTCACGAATTTAACAGAATTTATTATAAAAACTAAAGGGAAGGTTTTTTCTTTTAACATAAACCTCACCGCCGTTGGTACCGCCCTAGTTATGTAAAAATAAATGAAACAAGTTTAAATGAAACATTTTTAACTGTTTAAAACGCCAACGGCAACTGGTGGACTCCCGTGATCCCGGTTGCTACAAAGCATCCGAAATGTCGTAGTTAAAATAAAATAAAAATAAGTTACGTAATATGTGTCGCGTTTTAAACAATAAATAGTGTTTTATTTGTAACGTGTACTAGTCGTTTAAACTACAGTCAAGGATAATTACATAGTAGACTCCATAAAAGCACATTTAGTTAATGTATTGAACTAGTTATTTGTTTACGATCAATGGAGCATCTTTATGATAAGTAGTTTTAAAGCAAAACTTGAGTAGTACAAAGTTTATTTACTTTTGGAGTAGCATATATTGATATTGGAACATCAATGTATAATTCTGAAACACATTTGACTTCGTCTAGAAATCTGGCTTCTTCTGTGGCTTCTCTTCTTCTCTGGCTGCTTTGTCTTTATATCAGTGGCATGTTAATATTAAGAGCATTTCGGTTTCTGTCCGTGGATTTTCAATATACCATACAAATATAGGTCGACAGCAAACCCAGTATTGTAAAGTATCCAATTTGTATTTTACTTTTGTAATTTTCACATCCTATTAAGTGTTATCTTGTTTTAGCCGCCACGTTCACCTCTGTTACCAACAATAGTCATTAATGGAGACGTGGGTATGTACAAATATATCAATTCTTATGTTCCCATACATCCCCGTGACCGTGACAGGGATGTATGGGATGTATTAACGGAAACGTCGGGTCGTAGTTTAAATATTTTTCAAATAAGTTTTTAAATGTATGAGTGTAATTTAACGTCGGCCGACCAGTAAATGAATAAATATGAATCACCTTAAATGCTAATTTAAGGAGTGAATATATATAATTTTAAATGCAATTAATTAATATATTGGAATCTTCACTTGATATAAAAGGAATGCAATGCCAAAAGGATGTAGCGGCGATATAATTTTTAACTGTTCGTCTCTAGGCAACGCATATATAGGCACAATTAATATTATATAATAGTACAGTATTTTATAGTGTTATTGGTTCAACAGAATGGTGAAGTCTACATAGACTTCCTTGTTGACGACGTTTACCTTGCCGGGCACAGCGGGCAAGGTAAAACACTTTAGTTAATTAATTTTTAACATCACAACAATTCGTACGCTTTGACATCGCCGTGTCTTCAAAAATGTTTAAGTTGTGTATGATAGGTGACGATATACATGTATATATAGCATGGAGTTAATTTTATGGATCTAGGATCTGGCCTAATGGTAACAATGTATCGCTCATAATCAACGGGTCGTGGGTTCGATGCACATGTTTTTTAATAAATTTATAATTTTTCTGAAGCATGTCGGACTTGAATTGAAAATCTATATTTTATATAATCGTTAGGAATATCGAAATTCCGTTCCGGTCGCGAATCACAGCTGACGAAGCCGTTAAGTTTGATCGCGTTTTGGTTTCAGTCTGTGGATTTCCGAATATCCAAATCCAAAATAGGTCAACACGGCATCTTCTTTGGATGTTAATTGGGTATTTCACCTACCACCAAGTGAACCGTGTCTGTCCGTCCGTCCCTACACAAATTACTGTCGATATAACTTATTTTTGTTACATTCCAGATAAAAATCTTAATAAGAAACCGCCAAAATCCCCAAACTTTGATGCGAAAATCACATCCACTTATCACACAGACTGCAGTTATGACACAGGCCAAAACAAATTACCCCCAGTTAGACCTCAGAGAAGAATTCCAAAAGGTAAAGTAAACCAAATTCTTGTAGACGTCAAAATAAAACGATATTAACTGATTAAAATGTATAATTTCGATTTAATCTTTCAGTCGATGTGAGCTCTTGTCGTTGATTGAAGACAATGATTTGCTGAACGATGGCCGTGAAAGCGTTACACAATTTATTTTTTAAATGTTCAAAGATAAAATCATTCTTGCCTACATATTTCTTTGGTATCTCGAAGTGTTTTCGCAGCGTGCGCATCGGGAACCCTCAAGGATAAATAATTTTCCCCGTTTTTATTTTTTACATTTACCGCTGAATCTTCGCTTCCATAAGTCGCATCGCAATGTTTCACAGCCTTCCTCAATAAATTCTCTTACCAACACAAATTATATAATACAAATAATAATAAATAATTTATAAATCCTACCCAATACTTCTTGAGATTAGCGCGGTGAAGCAAACAAACAAACTTCGGCTTTATAGATAGATTCTTATTTAAGTCTTGCGTCTTCATACAATAACAGTACTTTACCGGCAACTTGTAAATATACAATATTGCAAATAATTACAGTACATCGAAGGCGTAAGGACATCGCAGATGATGTGAAAGATTACCTCGATAACAATAGACAGTATCTGGAAGAGTACGTCATGAGTTCGATTCCCGTGGACGAACTTGAGAATTGGCTGGTCAAGAAAACTTGTAAAATGGTAAGAATTCAAATATAGATATTGTTTTATAGGTTATTGTATAGTAAGAGATACTAATAACATATACCCCCCACTTTGAGGGAGACTCCTCTCATGTAACTATAACAAAGAAAAGATTATGATAAAGTAACCTGAAGTAATGCAATGCGTTTTGCAATAAAATGCGACATTGTTAAATGTTAAATAAACAAATATACTTTTAAAGCCCGAAACTTTTGAGGTCCTTTCTGTCATAAAAATGTTGGTTCTTCATTTAACGTATTTTTACAGATGTATGATGAAAATGGTCGCAGCCAAGCAGTGAGTTCGAAGGAAAAGTTTATGGTAAGATAAAAACGTCCACACGACGTCCAAATTTTACTTACAAAAGGAGAAAACATAGGTTAAAGCCTTAAAAACAACATGCTTAACAATTTCGTTGTCTTGATAAAGAATGTCTAAAAATCGGAGAAAGAAATAGCTCCGCAGTAGTCAAGGTTTCTTGGGAACTTAAATCTTTATGTGAAATAAAATTTGTTGTTGCTTTAATCTGAAAGATTTAATGTTCTTGTTATTTAATAAACTAAACTTACACAAACTAAGTACTGAAACAATTTTAATATAAAAATAATTACCTGAAAGAAACAAAAAATTAAATTATTTCGGCAATCTTTGTTCTTATTATTTAAAATGGTAAGATACTTATTTACAAATTCTCTAGATCACTCCATTCACGATAATAAATACTAATATATACTAATCGTAACACTTATGAACGTCACAAAAATAAAGTATCTAACTTTATATTTACTACCAGTTCTCAAATGAAGGGCGTAGAACGAACGAGAAGAACTGGCAATAAACTCGCTGTCACTCCCTTTATCGCCAAGTTTCATTTTACATTCTATATGTACTTTTAGTGCACTACATATTATGTTTCCTTGTATAATATTATAATATTGATTAACCCTTTCCAAACAGTTTTTGTTTTACATACGATTTAAATGTATTTATTGAGAGTTTTTCCTCACATACAAAACATTTTTTAGATATATTGACTCGCTAGCGTTAGAATATTCAATTCTTTAAACTTATATCGAACAGACTCTCGGGGGTAAGACCGCAAATCGATCGAATAGCCCGTTTCTGCAAAACAAATATGGTTTGAATATCGGCTGCATTGCCCCACAAAAGGATACCATAAGACATTACACTATGGAAGTAACTGAAGTAGACAAGCTTGGCTGTATTTTCATCAGTAAGCTGTCATATCTTCTTTACAGCAAAGGCTGCAGAGCTTAGTTTATTCGAAAGATTTTTAATGTGTGGTCCCCACTGAAGTTTACAATCGAGAGTTATACCCAAAAACACAGCATCTTCGACAAAACCTATTTCCTCATCTTTTATTTGTATACTATCATTTCATTGCGTTCAAGTTAATCTTAAAAGATAGACATATACTGTCGTAACGTACTGTAAATAAATAATATAGTGTCGCGGACATAATCCAAAAAGATGAATAATTCCCCACTTCTCACATTTCCCGTTTCTTGGCTGCTATCTTTAACCTTTCTCGAGAAATGTTCTAACCAACACAAAAATAAATTAAATCCAAACAAAACAGACAAATGAACTCTCTCTCTAATTCAGTTATAGTTAGAATTCTTTGCGCTCCTTGACCAAAACTATCCGGGAATTCAGGAGTTAAAATTCCGTTAAATTTCCAGAATATTCTAAGCTCACTGAACGGTGTCACGAACGAGATACAAGTGGTGAGGGAGATTGCTCTGGCTGTGAGCGATTCCTTGCAGGCAAACGGACTTAAAGTGTACAAGATCTTCCCAGACCATCCGTGCTACATCCAATATTTTGTAATGGATAAAAATCGGGTAATTACAACTGTCTGCAGCTTATGTGACTAGTGTACATTAAAAAAAAATCACTTTTAACGGTTTTAAATGCGAAATATATTACTTATTTTCTCCCTCCATTGACCACGGCTGATGAAAAGCATCCGCAACATCGGGCCATAGTTGTAATACATTGATTTACGCCGATAAAAGTGTCTTATTAAAATAATGTGCATAATTGTGTATTTAAGACATAAATTACTACAAATAATATAAAGTGATAGGTATAGACGAATCTATTTAAATAAACCACTTTAATGGTTTAAAACGCGAAATATATAAGTTAAACTTATTTAAAAATGCATTTGCACGGTTTCTGCAAAGCATCTGACGCGTCTGGCAGTAGTTGGAATTATTTGTAAATAAGCGTTTAAAACCGTTAAAGTGTTTCATTTAATCGTGTACTACTCGCGTGAACTTACTATACTAACAGTATTAAAAATGATGTAGTAAGTTTATATTATGTTTGCCTTACTATTAATTGTATAGTGTCTAACATAGCCCAACTAAATCATAACTAAATTTGGCCTTAAGTGCAAAAGGTTCTGAGTTTGAATCTTGGGAAAACAATGGATTATTTCGATCGACCAGGGCATAGAAGTGTGTAACGGACACACAAATGTGTTTGCCCCGTGGCCTTCCGGGGATGTCACTTTTACTACACAAATGATATGGTTAATTAACTTGAGAAATTGTTCATCTTTAGGAACTAACACATCTCGTTCGAGCAGACCCAGACGATACTAAGTACGTTTTAAAAGCAGCGAAGAAGCGAACCATATTGCAGCTATCTAGAATGTCGGATCCAGAATTATTTAACACAGCGAAAAATATTCTGACGTCGAAAGAGTTGGTAAGTTATAAAAATAAAAAACACATTATTAAAAGATTTTTATATTTATTTACTATCCTTACTAAAATTATAAATGCGAAAGTAACTTTGTCTGTCTGTTACTCTTTCACGCAAAAACTACTGAACGGATTTGAATGAAATTTGGTATACAGAATTGTGAAAAGGGGGTTGTAAGGGGTTAAAAGGGGGATGAAAGTTGGTATGGAAATTCGTGGTTTTTGAACATCTAACAATAAAACTTTCTTCTTTGGCTTTTTGGGAATAGGAGTGGGAGTGGGGGTGGGAGTGAGTGTAGGAATGAGAGTGGGAGTTAGAGTAGGAGTGATGTGAGGTGAGAGTGTTGCGGCAAAGTAGCACTAACCATAGATTGGCTGCCTTAAAGGTGCCCTTCATACATTAATAAACAGCCTCGATTATTAAAAATTCTACCCCAATTCACTATTTCACGCGGGCACAGCTAGGTATACTATATTAATACAACAGCAGTTATATCGTGAGAAGTATGTTTCTCGACATACTGGTATTATCAGCGTATCCGATCGATTCTGTATGTGTAACTGATCAAAATAAAACTTTGTTGGAATTACTTGGTACTAAATTATTGAGCTTCATTTATTACGTTGTTTTTTGCTCTCCGTAGTAAATATATATCTTGACTAGCTCTTCCAGCATAATCTCATCATTGTAATATTTCCTTTTCAGGAACTCAACTATATCTTGTATCATCCGATACTAAACAGTTCTGGAAAAACTATATACGTAATAGAACTATGGAGGTCGACACATTTCGACGAACAAGATGAAGAAATGTGTTCCAACTTCTTAATATGGAACAGTTTGTTATTGAGATATTGTAATTTATATCTGGACAAGACGAGAGAATATAATATGTCCGGGGTGTTACTGGACGTTGTGAAGTAAGAATTATGTTTATATAAAAATAGAGAATTAAAAGAATTCACTTTATGGATGGTGAAATGGAACAAGATTCGTTGTCAAGCTTTTTTGGCTTTGAATATTCGAAAATCCGCAGACTGTGGACGGTGGTTAGAGACTCGAACGGAATTTCGTTATTCCTACCTTCAATTTCCAATCCAGATTTCCAGATGACGTCCAAACATGTTTCCGAAAAATTATAAATTGATTACATTTGAATGAAACACTCAGTTAAACTTATTGAAATTTATATTAATTTTATTATAATTTTTATTTATTGAAATTTTCAATAAGTCAAAGTGTTTTATTGAAATGTGTACTACCCGCGTGAACTATAGACAGTATTTAATTGATTATATGTCTGATCCGGTTGCGATCGAATCCACGACCCGTTGATTAGTAGCCATAAATTGCTACTATTGCACCAAGCATAAAAAGTTGTAGAAGCTATAAAAAATACTATGTTACTTTTTATCCTAAAATTTCAATCAAACATTGTATAATTATTTTGTAATATTTTGGTTCTAGGTCAATTTTCGAATACATAGAGTCTTTCGATCTAGTCATCAAGCGAATTATAGAATACGCACAGAAGTTAGTGAACGCAGACAGGGCGTCTTTGTTCCTCATCGATCATGCAAAATCAGAATTAGTGTCACCGCTATTCGATCTAAAATACGAACCGGGACAAGAGCGGAACATCGAAAGATCATGCAATGAGATAAGGATGCCGTTGGATAGAGGGATCGCTGGTCATGTTGCCGGGTCTGGTGAAACAATGAACATTCCGGACGCTTATTCAGATCACAGGTTTAATAGGTATGCAGTGTTTGAAAACTTTATTATTTTTTACATGTTGTTGCACATGGAGGCACTATATAATTTAAAAGCGAAAATAATTTTTTAAAAAATTTGACTCAGGCAGGACTTGAACCGGCATCGTCAGCGTTCCGTGCTGTTGCTCTACCAATTGACCTACAGAGTCCTACACCTCATCGTCGAATTTTTTCAAGTTATTGATAGAGGCACCTCTTGCGCAATGTAATTTTTTTATGGTGTCCAAAATCACTTTTAACGATTTAACAATGTATTATATATATACTAGCTTTTGCCCGCGACTTCGTTCGCGTGGACTTCGGGTTCGTCCCGTCTAGTCTAGTAATAAGTAAGAAATACGGTAACTAAGCACTGCAGAGCCCTAATCATAGGTCTATAGGCAGCTACTGCAGTATGCTCCTATAAACTACATTTAACGATCTTTTTCCTTCAGCATAAACATGCAGATTCTTCGCTTTGGAAACACGTGAGCAAGCCACATAGAGCTGACCGTGAGAAAAATTTTATGTTTTTTAAAAAACGGCGAGACTCATCTGTTTCATTTGAAAAAAGTTCTTTAAGAGGTTCAACAGGCTCGTCTATTGAAGGAATATATATATATATATATATATATATATATATATATATATATAAAAAGTATGTATATTATATATAGTATATTATATATATAAAAACTATGAGGCTCCTTGGAGATTGTGTGTCATAGTTTATAAGGTTTCGACATACTTAAACAGTTCGGTTTGGACTCAGGTTCTTCTGTCTTGTGTATACAGAAGTTTTATTTAATTTAATTTTATTTAATTTAACTACGGCCGGACATTTCAAATTAAAAATAATTGATCTGATATATGTCGCGTTTTAAACCATGAAAAGTCTTGTATTAAGATTCTTGTTCAATTAAAGTTCAGTATCCATTGAGTTCTCCGTAGTAATTAGAGCAGTCTCATCTGATAGGCCTATATACTTATAATATGATTTAGTAGCATAAGAAGTTCCAGAAGTTACCACCAACTAAAGAAGCTTTTTTATAGGAGTAGGTGTTACATCTGTTATATGATTTTAGGGATGTCGATGAATTAACTGGATATAAAACAGTCAGCATCCTATGCATGCCCCTCAAGTTGGAAGGCAAAATAATAGGGGTGGTCCAGATGGTCAACAAAAGAAACAATACGAAATTCGATCACGAAGATGAAGTAGCCTTCGAAACGTTTGCGACCTTCTTTGGTCTTGCACTCCACCATGCTAAGCTTTACGACAAAGTCATGAGAAAGGAACAGAAGTACAAAGTTGCGTTGGAGGTCTTAAGTTACCACAATACCTGCAAAGATGACGAAGTGCAGAAGATGTTAAATGATAACGAGGGAATAAGCATTGATATGAACGACTTTTATATAGACCCCTACATGTTCGACGATTTCCAAAAGTGTAAAGCTGTACTAAGCATGTTCGACGACCTATTCGATCTATCTAACTTCGATAGGCTGTCTATGGTGAAATTTATACTCACCGTTAGAAAAAACTACAGAAATGTCCCGTACCATAATTTCGATCATGGCTGGTCTGTTGCTCATGCGATGTACGTTATAATAAAGAATGATCAAGAAAGGAGATTTAATTACAAAATGGTAAGTAGAATCCATTTTCAGACCAAAAAAAAGTGTCGCGTAGCTTGGGGGAATACATTTTTGTCCCCGTTTCACTTAAGGGTTTTTCTACATGCAAGTTGATAAGACTTTTGTGCCTGCCCGAACGAAATAACCTGTTTTTAAATGCCATAATCAGGAAGGCGTAATAACTGTTTAAAATTCTTTTTACATTTCATTTATTGAAAAAACGTTTATTGCGAATGACACATAATCGTTTTTTTGTAATTTTCCAGAGGTTAGCTCTGTTTGTAGCCAGTCTTTGTCATGATCTGGATCATAGAGGATATACGAATAAATATCTCAATCAAACCTCATCACCACTAGCGGCCATGTACACTACATCTCCCTTGGAGCATCACCATTTTAACATCACCGTGAAGATATTACAACAGGTAATATTTGTACTTATGATAAACAACTGATAAAAATCCCTTAAATTACAAGGATTTTTTTAACTTAGCCTTATTGGGCACAAGTCACTACTGTCATAGTATTTTAGACCACGCTGCTTTAGTACATGTAATGGAATTTATTGACTATCCCCATTAAATTAGTGATGATAACGGATCTACTGACAAAATTTTATTTCGAGGATAGTTGTCGTCATAACTTACTTTCGAATTCCGGGCAGGTATCAAAAAATATTTGAATTTGCACTGGAGATTCGGAACTTCGACATCGTGATCTATAGTCTAGCTGTGTAATGTAGTTTTTTTTTTAATAATAGAGGGGGACAGACTAGCATGGGGTTTACTTCATGGTAGGTGATATACCCCAGTCTATAGCATCTAAACAAGATGCGTGGTCGACCTATTTTGGCTTTAGACATTCATGGAAATCCACAGACTGAAACCGATACACGATTAAGATTTTCATTCATCCTTTTCATCAGTGGAGGGTGGTCGTGACCCGGACAGATTTTATATTTTCCTACCACTAATTTAATATCCAGGTTTCCAGACGAAGTCCAACATGTTTCAGAAAAATTGTACATTGAAAAATTAAAATAATGTTGGACCCGGTGAGGAACGAGCCCACGTGAGACCCACTATTAGACCAACGAACCCGTCAGTAGATATGAATATTTTTATTTCTAGGACGGTCACTACATTTTCTCCCACCTTTCAAGCGAAGAATATCATGACATATTGAAGTATATTAAGCATTGCATATTAGCTACCGATTTGTCGGTGTTCTTTCCAAATTTAAAGAAAATGCAGACAATTCTCGGTAATGGCGATCGTTGCAGCTTTGATTGGCAAGAAGCTAATAACAGGTATTTTAAATTATGCTATAATTAATTTATTTATGTTTAAATATAGAGAGAGAAGATATCGCCCATACGTAATAAATAATACGCTTAAGAATAAACTTATACCGACATTAAAATATTGAAAAATCCTATTATATATCATGGATAATGCTTTAGGAACCATGGTGAAAAGCCCTACCTAGTACCTATGTTCCTATGTACCTTCGAAGTTTTGATGGAACGAGTACATAATATAAAAACTTTTAGCACTATAATCTTCTTCATCTTTTTATAGAAAATTAGACGACAAAAATGTTTGTATGACCTTTGTTGATCTTTGAGTAATATATATGAAGACTACTACAATTACTTCGTTAGTTTTTAACTGGTGTGATATACCTACGTAAATGAATGATTTTCTACTTTGATTTTGACATCTAGAAAAACCTATTTTTTTATCTTTATCACTGGATCACAGGCAAGTAGTCACATTTCTATGCCCTGCATTTCCATAACTACATAGTACTTGAACCCAGGATCTCATTTGTCAACGCAATAGGCTTTAGATATGATCTAAACCGTACTTATATCAAAGTACAAAAACAAATATTGTCTTCCTTTACTTATTTCAAACTTACTTGGTGCCAGCAAATTGGCGATGGCCATCTCGATGACAGCCGCTGATCTATCAGCCTCAACCAAACCTTGGGATATCCAAAATAAGACCGTAAAGGTGATATTTGAAGAGTTCTATGAACAAGGAGATAAGGAGAGGGCGGCTGGCAAGTTACCGGAACCAATGATGGACCGAAATAGACCTGAGGAACGCCCTGTGTGTCAGGTTTGTTAATATATTACTGTAACATACATGGTACATTATGACATTATGTAAATTTAAAATCGATCGATTTAGATTAATTGCGCGAGAGGTGCGTGTATCAATTGGCTGAAAAAACGACTATGACGTGTAAGCTACGGTAACGCAATTGGTTAAAGCTGTGAATGAACTCGTATTTCTTTTTTAAATCTAAAACAGATTTTTGATTTAAGACAATGTAGACTTTTGTATTAAAGATGTAAAATAAAGTTAAAATGATGTACCTACCTACCTAGTGAATTCTAGAAGTTTATAAGGTGTATAAAATATTAAAGTAGAGAGATATATTATAAATTTATTTCAATATCAATTATTTCATGTGATTTTATGAAGTACGTAGCGGATCAAAACTACAATGATGCTTTACATAAGTTTGTCTAAGTATTGTAGTCGTTTTTAAAATTGGTAAAGTATCCGAAACGTCGGGTTGCAGATAGAATAATTAATTTGTTATGTGAGACTCCAAAGGCGGAGACCAACTAGGAACATTTTATTTGTGACTTTAAAGTTTCAATATCTTCAAACGAATCGGGCTTCAAGTACGTGTATGTAGTTTTACAGAGAAACCTTACAAGTGTATTTTCTGTGACTGCAGAAAGCTTATGTTCTGTACTAATCACATTATTATTTTATATATTAAAGCGTGTGTGTGTGTATTATTCTTCCCTTAAATTAAATAGAAATATAGAATAATATATATTTTTCTTACAGTGGGAAGTTCTATTGTCCTTCTGTTCTTTTTTGCAGGTTGGTTTTCTAGAAGAAATATGTGTCCCGTGCTACAAAATTTTATGCAAAATATTACCAAACACGAAACCCATGTACGAAATGGTGGACAAGAATCTAAGCATATGGAAATCATTAAAGAACAGGGTACAAAACGAAGAATCCCAGATGGCAAATGACGATACGTTAGCTGCTATATCAGATAGTGAGCTGGATAGTACAGATTTTGATGACATTAATGATGTACAGACAGCCCACGATCCAGTCCATGACCCAAAAGGAACTTTAACTCCAGGCGAAAGCAAAATAAAGAAAGCTTTCGAGAGTATGAGATCAGATTCGTCCTGGGATGATGAGAGTGTTAAAAATATTAAAGTCAGTGAGATATTAAAAGTAATACCTCAAGAAGAGTTGGCAGATGAAGAAGGCGTAGTAACTCCTTTAAAAATGTATTAAGTGTAAATCCATCTCTTGCATCAAGCATTGTACAGACACACTTGAGTTGCTGACTGGTTGTTGAGTAAAAGTCCAGTCTAAATTAAACTATTATGTTTTCCGTCAATTAAAAATAAGGAATTAACGCTTAACTCAATTTAAGCTAGTCGGGCAGTATTAACAACACTAGTACAGTAGTAAAGAAACTATCATACTACTTAATTCGAAGTACTTCTTTTTATAATTTAGGTTTGTTTATCCCAATGCTTTAAAATTATTTTTTAATATCTAACAGTTACACATATTATATTGCTTTCATTATGTGTTCCTCGTGGACGCTCTTGAATTATGTTTTAAAGGTGTTTTTTACTAAAATATAAAGATTTGGTTCTTTATCATATTATCCTCCTTCATTTTAAGTTCTATCTCAAAAATGTAATCAAAATCATGCCTTAATTTATACTACATTTTGTATCAGTTAAGGCATAGTATACGAAAAACACATTCACAACCAATATCGTCTTGTTTCCTGCACTAATAAAACTTTAAAAGTTCTGTTTGAAACGCTCTGATTGCTAGGTACTGACTTTATATTTCTTATTTTCTTCTCGTGACTATTGATAAAGTGTAAAGTAAAACCTGAATAGCGTTCTGAAACTTGTGAAGCCCGTAAGCGCCTTTATACAGTACTTACAGTGTTAAAACTTAGAAGTCGCTGAAACTTATGCGTTGCTTTTACACGTTAAATGTTAAATGAAATTACTTGTTTGTAAATAAGAAAAGTTTTATTTACTGGCATTAAGAATTGTAAGTTATAAATAAATCAATTGGCGAAATATTATATTTTCAATTGACATGTGCAATGTTTTACACAATTGTTACACCGTTTCGGGCAACGTTTTGTCCTTGCAGGTCGTACAGTGTTAGGAAGAAACTGAAAATAAGTTGAGTTATTTAAAAAAAGTTAAAGTAGTGCGAAGCGATAAGAGATGGCGCTATATTGCTGTTTCACTGTTAATGTCAGTTGACAATACTAATCCTGGTGGATTGTTTCGTGAAAGATGGTTACGTTTTTATATTATCAGTGTAATAAGACCATCGAGATTGAATATAAGACTTGAAATTGTATAATTGAGTCGGTTAGAGCTTTTCTTAAGCTTGGTTTGAAAACTGAACAAACATTATTATTTCATTGTATAAGAACAGACGCGACTTACTTTGAAGGCTTTATGCCCAGTGTCTTCTCGACGAAGCTGGTCACCTCCTTGGCGATCACCATGTTCTCTTGAAGGCCCAAATTTCCGATAGATTCTATTGTCGCTACAGCCCCATACTCCGTGGAGACTCCACCGAAAGACAATTGACAGTCGCCCGATATTAGGCAAATGAAATTCTAAGAAAATATTAATTAATTAATTACTAAAATACGTAATATGGCACATTTGAACAACTGTTTGAGTAAACCTTTGAACAGATTAAAAAGTGAGTTGTTTTAGGTAATTTATTTTCATAATATTATAACAGCAGCCGTGGACACGGTGAAGACCGGGGAGGGGGGGGGGGGGGCGTAAGATGGATTATAGGTACGAGGACACTAGGACGTAGGACATTTGAATCTTGGGAAAAAATTATCTCGACCGAGAAGGCCCCTTATAAAAATCGCTTAGTTGAATTAGCACAGAGTAGTATCTGTTTGTGCCTTATTTACGCGAGGACACATTTAAATAAAACACCTAACTGTTTAAAACGCGAAATATATTAGTTAACACGTTTTTTATTTTATAATATAATATATTTACTCTACGGCGCGACGTTTCGACGTTCGAATGTTTTGCAAAAGCCGTGGTCACGGGGGAACTCAAGATTTCAATTCTGTAAGGACCCGGCCAGGTTCTCAAAATATTAACTACGAGGAAACAGATGGCGTTTTAAACCGTTAAAAGTAACTAACCTAAACATACCGCAGCCTAAACAAGATGTTCTGCCGATATATCCTTTTGGCTTTGGATGTTCGAAATGAAATCTGCTTTATAAAGTGTAAACTTACTTGCTCGGGTTTCCGTAGCACTTTTGAGAGCAGCGGTATTATACTGTTGACAAAATCACTTGGAATTTTGTTCTTAGGGACATTAGTTAATATTTTCAAACAGGGCATGATTACTGAATTGAATGTGTCCTTATCGATGTATCCAGAGTGACTGAGAAGAGGTCGTTACAAAGCATTGATAACTGTTGATTGCAGATATTACACTTCATATTTACTTAAGATAACATTATTCGATAAATTATAATGTTTCTCTCTTATAGGCGTATTTGTTTATCTATGAACTTGAGAAATATTATGTAAATTGATGTATTTACTCCTATTTATCTAAATAGTTGATCCGGCAACCGTTGTTTTGTTTGCAAGATTATTATTATATTGATACAATTAAAAAAAAATCGAAAATACATTAAACACTGGCTGTAGTTGCCGCGGGTAGTACGCATTTAAATAACAAATGCTATACATAATAGTTTCCCAGTGACCACGGCTGCTGCAAAGCATCCGAAATGTCAGGCCGTAGTGATAATAGTTCAAGTAAGTTTAACTAATATATATCATGTTTTAAACCGTCAAAGTGTTTTATTTGATGATGCATTAATTTAGACCAAATTTAATTTCGGATGCTTTGCAGCAGCCGTGGTCACGGGGTTCTTACATCTCCTTTGATGTCTTTTATGTCAAACTCATAAAGATATCTTGTCTTGACATTCCTTTGTTTTAAAAGAGGTGACTATCCTACTAATTACAAGTCCTTCGGGATAATTTCCGTTAAGGTAGGTCTGTACACTTGTCTAGTCAATATCCTCCTGTGTCTTTTGCACAACTCTCATTAATCCAAGAGCGGATATTGTGCTAAGATATATCTTTAGGGCGTATCTTTTCAACTATTTAGTTTAACAAAACAATTTTAAAACGTTGGGTAACGATTTAAGTAAAATAAATTAAGAATCCGTGACGACTGGTGCTGTTAAGCATCAGAAATCATCAAGCAACCTGGTACTCTTCTAAAGCATAGCAGAAGGTAGGTTGAATTAAAAATCTATTAAGCTTAAAGGGAATTCACGACACGGATGGTACTAAAACGGCATCTATAACTCCGCTTGAGTTACAATTTCTATCGCTTAGGGTAGTAGCACGGATTGCTATCGATGCCGGTTCAAGTCCCGTGCGTGTCGTATTTTTAAATACTATTTAATATGTCTTATGCTATTATATTCAATGCAAAATGTGAAAAATATTAAAGATTTCTCTTAATACTAAATCTAGACTAATTAAAAGCAGAATTTGTTAGTTTGTTTAAACGCGCTAATCTCGGTAAATATTGGTTTGAATTTAAAAATATTTTTGGTGTTGTTAAGGAAATTGTTGGGGAAGGCTTTTTTAGACATTACGCTGCGACCAACAGAAACGAAGACATAGTGGGGAATGTGGAAAATGTGGAAAAAACTGTGAAAATTGTTCACCTATTTTAAGAGCTTCCGCTACGTGCGCTGCGAAAACGATTCAAAAAACCAAAAAATGAAAATGTCTGCGAAAGTATATTTCTTGTATAAATCTTTTACTATTCATTTGCAAGAACGACAGGATGGAGAACAAAAAAGGGTTTAAAGAATTTATTTTCTCAAAGAATATACATATTCACTTAATGAGAAAACATTAATGCTTAAACTTAAATGTGTTTACATGCATCGGACTTTAATTAAACTAAACAGTGATATATAATAAAAACATGGAACTTGAATAATTTCTTGAAGATATTTATAGACTGGGCGTTTTTTAAACTTTCAGGTAACTTATTGTACAGATCAGCACCCGTAAATCTTAAACTATTTTTACCGTAATTAGTTCGGGGTTGGGGTAGTGACAAGTTGTGTTTATTTCTGGTTTGGTATCTGTGATTTTTCTTCGTAAAAGTTGTTTGACTGTGTGTGCTATGTGTGATAATTTTATGAATGTAAATGCATGTATGATAGGTAAATAGTTGAGAAATGTTAAATAATTTTGTATTTTCATAAACCTTTTTAGTAGAAGTTAGTGTTTTATAATTAAACAAAGATTTTATGATTTTTTAGAACAACGTGGGCAATAGTTACCATTTAGAAAGCTGAGGAGGTTGTTTGCAAAAATAAATATGTTTCCCAAATATACAATTCCAGATGACCAAGTCGCGGGCATAGCTAGTTAATTTATACTTATTATAAATTTATTGAATTCAGATTAACACAAATTTTAGCCAGGTTCGATTCCTGGCGAGGGAATATAAAATTTGTAAATAGGTATGCATTTCAATCGGTCAGTTGGTTACGTCCTTACAAACAAAACATCGTCAGTCACATGACCGATTGGGGGGTACTGACCTGGTTATAGCATATAAGTAATTTAAGCCAAACTTATTACGACATTAGTTACGTAAAGCTTCGGCCTTTGTTGTGAGACATGGAGCTAAGAGCCTTATTGGATAAGCCAAATTAAAGTTAAGCTAACAATTCAGAGTAAATTATATTAGGAACTTTTAGGCGAGAGTAGGCTGGCTAAGTGTGTGGTGACAAGACGAGTTTTTAGATCGATAAAATTCTTACTTAGTTTTTCTAATAAAGCGTAAGCTATAAGTGTGACAGATTTCAATACTAGCTGTGCCAGTGACTTCGTCTGCGTGCAATAGTTATTTTAGGCATTCAAATTTGTTTTTGCAAACCTCCTTTATACATTTAAGCTGTTATGTCCCGTCGTCATTAAAAGTTAATATAGTGGCTTTTTTTTTCATCCTTTCAAGAGGTATTTTTTCATGCAATCTTGAACTCATTTCACTGTGTACGGAAACCGACAAAGTTGAATAATTTTCCCCGTTTTTTCCACATTTCCCGTTGTTTCTGCGCTCCTATTAGTCACAGCGCAATTTTATAGCCTACAGCCTTTCTCGGTAATGCTCCAACCAACACGACAAGAATTTTTCCATTGAAACTAGGAGTTCCTGCGTGTTCAAACAGACGGACTCTTCAGCTGTATATATTAGTATTATTTTTTAAAAATACTTTAAATGGTTTAAAACGCGAAATATATTAGTCAACTTATTTTAACTACGGCCCGACTTTGCGACAGTTTTGGTCACGTGTTGCTACAAAAAAATCAGTCAACTAATATAGGATTATACATGTGACCCCGTGACCACGGCTGCTGCGAAGCATCCGAAACTTTTGGCGTAGTTAATTTATATATTTCAAGTTTTACATGGTGAAAAGTATTTTGTTTAAATGTTTACTTTGAAAACTTTTTGTTTTGTGTTTTTTTCTATGTCGTTCTGACGCCCGTATATGGGTTAACGGTGAGTACCAAACCCACAATGCCAGTTCACAAGATATGTTGGTGATCTTTATTACATATTACGAGATTGAAGACCACACCTAGTTGCTTAATGGCTAATAAACTTTAAATAATAATAATGCAATTTTTACGCAACTAAAGCATTTTCGATTAAGTTTTAATCTTAAGTAGTCATAAAATGGGTGTTAAAATGTTCCTTTTGATTTATACATTTATTAGGTTAAAAGGTAAAAGAATTTCTTAAAATTATTAAAACAATGTTTTCGCAAGCATTTCAAAATATTCATATTATTTATGTATATTTGTGCGTTTTTATTACAGGTGCGTAAAGGAGTGGTTCACTTAATGGTAGGTGAAATAGGCTAGCTACATAATATCTCAAATGCGCTGTCGCCCTATATTGGCTTTGGTAATTCAGAAATGTACACACTAAATTCCTTAATTTCACGGTTCTTTTCATTTTCGGGCGGTTATTCGTGACCAGGTCGGAATTACGAGCCATTTAATATGCAGATTTCTAAACGAAGTCCAACATGTTTCAGAGAAATTTATAAATTGATGAAAAACACATTGGACCCGGTGGGAATCGAAGTCACGACCCTTTGATTATTATTGGCCGTGCATTACTACCGTCGGACTATCTTGATAGCTATAGCTAGGCCCAAAATGTATTGAGGTTCATGAGAACAGTGAGTTTTAAAAGCGGCGAGTCTGGCGAACTCTAGTCTATTGTCTGTTTGTGGCCTGAGTAGAGTGGTATTTGGGATCTGAAGCTTTAATAAAAAAAATCTTATTAGTGGTTCGCAGTAGATTTCCGAGTTTAAAATGATATTCTTCTATCAACTATTCGCTTAATTTTAGTCCTTATGGTTTACTAATATTTTAAATTTAGATTTAAATTATAAATTATTCTGTCTATTTTAACCACCTTGTGCGACAGATGCAATCGAAAATGGCCGATTGTTTCTTTCCAAAGGTCGATTTGCAATATTTATTGCCATTGCCTATAGATTAGATTGTTTACAACTCGGGCCATTTATCGAATGATCGAATTGACAAATGATAACTTATTAATTTATACGTGTAATACAGATTGACTAGCTGTATCTGCGACTTCGTCCGCGTAAAATAGTTACTTTGGGCATCCAAATTTGTTTATGCCATCTTTATAAATTTAAGCTGTTCCGTCGTACTTGTAAGTTAACCTTAAAATATAGAAATATAGGGTCACGAAAAATTTTATAGAGCCACATTTCCCGCTGTTTCTTGACTCCTATTAGCCACAGCACCATGTTTATAGCCTTCCTCGATAAATGTTCGCACCAGCATAAATACTTTTTCAATTCCAACCAGCAGTTCCTGAGATTAGCGCGTTCAAACAAACAAACTCTTCAGCTTTATATATTAGCATAGATATATAACCGTAATGTGTAATCATTTTTCAATCTAATATTTATTAAATTAATTATTTAATAGAAATCCAATATTTCAATATGCAGTCCGGCGAAAAAAGGTTTCAAATCAAGTTATATTTTTTCAGGATTATTTAGAGTTTGTCTGAATATCTAGATATTAAATGGGTCCTAATGTTATAGCGTTTCAATCTGTTAAAACGGCAAATCAAATCCAATATTACGGCAGTACGGCAATTTAAAAAGTATATTTTGACTTTTAATTTTATTTCACAATCAACTAAAAATACATTAGTTCAGAGACGAGAACTGTCAAACTTATCAGTCTACACAAGACGGAGTATACACGTAAGTATTGCGTCAATCACAGAGATT